ACGCTGGTCACGACGGACGCGATGGTGAAGTGTGCGGTAGATGATTTATCGTGAAGCATCATATAATTAGCTTTTAGGTTCGAAGCTTTGCGTTCGCCTGCACGAGCTCAACAGCTATCTTGTTTGGCTGCGCATACTTCGGGATTACCGGTTGGATCCGGATGGGTAGGTTGGCGTTATCTACCTGATCGCGAGAAGTCTTAGTGGCAAACGGCTCCATGGTGTGCTACGAGATCAATAAGCGATTCTGCAGACAACAGGATTGGGACTGTTATATCATTGGCATGCAAGCTTTACACATTGGATTTGTTGGTTTTCCAAGCTTAGTTAAGGCTAATCGGTTTTTTAGGTATTTATGAATAGCGCTTTTGTTGCCCTACTATGTCCTGAACCGACAGGTATTTTGCCCGTATTGCCAACATTTAGTTTTTAGTATTCACCTTTGCCCGCTATCTCGCGCTGCTGTCGTTCTTCCACTTCACCGAATTCCTCTTCACCGGGATCACAAATCGACGTTCATTGAAGGTGTTTCAAATGTCTAAGTGCATTTTTCGTTTTTAGAGCGACTCCTTTCTGCTCAACCACTCTGTCGCTTATTGGGTGGCCGCCGGGCTGTCCTGGTTTGAGTTCTCCGTGGAAAGTTATTTCTTCCCTGAGATGAAGCTCGGCTGGATCAGCACGATCGGGGTTTGCGGGTGTCTTCTTGGCGAGGTAAGTGACGTCCTATCTCAATAAACTTTATTTTTAGGCTCTTCGAAAGGTGGCCATGGTCCATGCTGGCGTCGGGTTCACTCATCGCCTTGCCAACTCAAAACAGGCTGACCATCTGCTGGTCACCAATGGAGTCTACTCATGGTTCAGGCATCCAGGCATGTCTTGCCTTATTTTTATGAATTTTGAAACGCTTCAGGCTACACCGGCTGGTTCCTCTGGTCCGTGTCGACTCAAATCGTCCTGTGCAACCCCATTTGTACTGTGCTCTATTTCATCGCCTCCTATCTCTTCTTCCGGGATCGTTTGATCGAGGAAGAGAAGTAACTTTGCCCCATCAAATCTTTTCATAACCATTTTCCAGAGATCTACTCCAATTCTTCGGCCCTGCCTACGCCAAATACCAAGCCGAGGTACCATCCGGTGTCCCATTCGTCTACGGCTATCAGAAATGATCTCAATTTCGTCTTTCGGCGCTGTACCAATGTGTGTGATGTTGTGATTTTGCCGTTGCTTGAGTTATTTATTGCGGTTCCCGGTGAATCTATGGATAAATTTGTTTATCATCATCGAAGTGGTTAATGATTAAAACCGCTATATCGGTTGCTATTTCTCCGTATCTTTTACTGAGATCGTCGCATCATAACATAATTAAAAATTTTTGCAGGTCTAAAATGGTGAAAGCGACGTTAACCAAATTGCCAGCGCCTGACTGCCCAGTAGCTCAGGTTGACGCTCTTTTTGTTCTTAAACTTTATTTTAGCTCACTCTAAAAGTGAAATATGCGGCACCGCTGAAGGATGATCTGAAGGTGAAACTAGTGCGGACGAAGTCGGGGAAGTACAAGCCCAAGGATTTTGACCTGGAGGTTCCCCCTCAAAATCGGATTCGTGACATGCTGAATGGGCTGAATACTTCCTACGTGCCCGATGACTTGCCTTGCCGGTTCGTTTACTTTTTTGCGCAAAAACTCAAATTTAGAGAAGAACAAATCGAACGCGTCGCCCAGTTTGTGCGGAACTCGATAAAGCCGGGCGGCGAATCGGCGGCGATGTACATTTCCGGTGTGCCTGGCACGGGGAAAACGGCAACAGTTCAAACGGTTCATTTTTCCGTAGGTATTCATCTTTTTCTAGGTCATTCGCAAGTTACAAAGTGACAAGTCGGCGCCCGATTTCAAGTACGTCTACGTGAACGCGATGGAGTTCGTCGATCCTCGACAATTCTTCGTTGTTTTGTACAAAGCGTAGGCTTTGATTTTATGATCGAACAAGTGGCCTAGATTGGTTCCCGGCGCTAACAAAATTGGGGTGCTGGCCGCGCGGCGACAATTGAATGCCAAGTTTGAGATGATCGACAAGAAACGAAAACCAATTGTCATCCTCGTCGACGAGTTGGATCACATGTGCACGAAGAGACAGGATGTGGGTCTATTTGCGGCGAAAAGATACTCTTTTTTTAGCTGATCTATGACATCTTCAACTGGACGACAAACGAGAAGGCTCGGATCACCGTTATTGCCATCGCCAACACGCTCGATCTACCAGAGCGGCTGCTGTCTCAGCGTGTATCTAGTCGATTGGTGGGTCGTTTTTTTTTCGATTCTTCAAAAAAAATGGTTTAGGGCTCGAATCGCCTGTGCTTCGACCCGTACGACTTCCGGCAAATCGAGCAGATCATCAATGGGCGTTTCAAGGACACCGGGGCCTTTGATGACAAAGCCCTTCAACTCGCCAGTCGAAAGGTAGGAAATTCAATTACAACGAATTTTAGGTTTCAGGTGGCCGCCCTCTCCGGTGATCTACGCAAGGCGATCGACATTATGCGGCAGGCTGGCGAGATTGCCGTCCGGAAGAAGTCGGAGAAAATTTTGATAGAACATGTATGCTTTCCTGCGTTTTTCGCTGACTTTCTCATCATTCAGGTCCAAGCGGCGATCGCCGAGTCACAGGCCACGATCCGGATGGCCTACATCGCTAGCCTGTCGGAACACGAATTGATTTTATTCAAGGCTCTCGTCGCCGAGGTATTATTAATATTTTTTTCCGCTAAATATTGTTGTTTAGGTACAAGCGAAGGGTGTTGAGGAAATCCGCTTTGCCGAGTTGTACAAGCAGTACCAGATCCAAGCTCACGACACCTACGCGGTGATGGGCGAAATGATGGTCCGGGAGCGGGTGTCGAAATTGGCTAGGTAATTCTTTGGAAGGCAAGCCTGAATTTGGCTATATTTTAGCATGCGCCTCCTCGTGCTCGCCCCGGTCACCAACAACCCGGCCTCTCGAAATTGGTTCCTGAAGAAAATCCGACTGGCCATCTCGCTTCAGGAGTGCAACTTCATCCTCAACAGCATCGAAGAAAAGGAAAATCGATGAATACACGATATTTATTTATGCATTTTGTATCCTATGCTTTTGCTCAAAGCTAACTTTGTAACTCTTGCCCCTCCGTTGTTTGATTGTACGATGACATTCAAATCTTTCGGGTACCTGCATCTCATGACCTCATGATAACGGTTATTTGCTCAATCACAGGCTATTACTTTGGATAAATTGTTACATGTATGTTAGATGGTGTCTTGGATATGTGGTTTCCTGACCATTCACCAGATTATTATATTTTCCTATACATCCTTGTTTTGAAAAGGCTGGAATAGACCGTCTCTGCGGCAAAAACCTTGACTTACAGGATTGCCTAGAGGATTCCTCCAAAGCAATGAATCAAGAAGACGATGACGATGTGTAAGTTATAATTGTAATTCCAGAAACAGGGTTGGTTTAGATTTATCATCCCCGAGCGCGATGAGGATCTTCAGATGGAGCGCGACGGCCAATACTCGGTCCGATTCGTCGAGGACCTGCAGATCTCCATTGAACAATTTCGCGGTGAGTTGCTATATCGCCCTCGCTCAATACCCTGAACTTCAGAATTCGTACAAAAGTGCCACGATGAGCCGGCTGACGTTGAGCTGATTTTCCGCTACTTCGACTACCTTTACGTGCTGGTCAAGCGCCCGACAAATGCCGACGAAGACGAAGTGAAAGATCTACGCATTTTTGTAGACCTGGCCAAGGCGCTGGTGGTCGGTGTGTCATTTCGTTCTTTCTGGGATCTATCAAATTTAGGCATCGAGAAAGTGCAGCAGCTGATCGTTGAAGGGCTGCCGTTCCTCATCCGACCAAACTCGGAAATGCTCCAGCAAGAGGTAATGAAATTTACTTGGCGGCAATTTCTTTTTAGGAGGCCCAACAAGCGCTGCGCGGCCGTAAGAGCCTTTTGATGCACATTTACCTGCTATGGCGCGTCAACACACGACTGGAACAGGCCTGGCTCAAATGGTCGGTGAAAAACCTAGGTTATGAACAGTTTTCTTTCAGGAGTGCCCAGCGACGACTACAACAATCGAAAGCCCGCGGTCGAGGGCGTGGCAGAAAACCAACGGTCGATGATGAGGCGGAAGATGAGCCGATGGATATGACCGGAGAAGTGCCCGACGAGTGGAAGGGCATGGAGCAGTGGGCGGACGTTCGATATGTCAGTTTTTCGGATAACCCTTCACTATTCTCGTTTCAGGCGATCCTCAATCAACTTGTGCTTCTGCTCTCCCAAGAAATCGTCGATCCGCAGCATGGGAACAAGGTGCGCCACGCCATCCGCTTCCTCTGGCCCCAGGGAGTGGCCGACAAAATGTTCCTCAGGTTCGTAAAACATTTTTTTCATTTTTTGCTTTTATTTTCAGAACCGTCAGTCGCATTTTCTTGGAATGGCTCGAAAACGAGGACCATCGCTTCAAGCAGAACGTTTGGCTGGTGCAGATTTGTCGCCTCTTGGTGCCGCTTGCGCTCGGTTTCGGACAGTCGGACGGTTTGTTTTATCGGTTGTAATCTTTTCCTTTTTCAAAAATAAAGCAATTCCTGTCAAATTTAATTATCAAATAAAATTTTCCACATTTTTCGTTGAAACGCCCGTTCCTTTCAGTTCTCGGCGCCCTGATCCTCGAGAAAACCATTCACCTGGCGTGGATCAAGGACAATTTCCCCTTCATCGAGGCCATCCAACGCCAAACGCTCGACCCGGAGAAGCCGGAGCTCTACGAGGACGTCGCCGGCAAAAAGAGTACGTGCTCCGTTGTTTTACAAATCATTTATTTAAGATGCCCTGGACAATGTGCTGAGCAGCATGCTCGTACAAATGGCGATGATCAGGCCGCAGGAATTAACGTCGGCGAACCACAACACGACGAGGGCCCTGGTTTGCTTCGTTCAGGTCGGCGGCTCATTTTTGCATCATTTTGCGGGAAGTTCGTAGTCCTCGTAGGCACCATCCTAGAACGGGGTTCGAGGATGATATTCCGCTTTTTCTCACCTGGCTCTCTTTCGGCTCCTTGCTCTTGCCCTCGCGGCTTTCTTTGGGCTTCGGCTTCTGCGGCTGTTCGTCTACGTGCGCCTCTTCGATTGGCGGGGTGCTCGCCGGCTTCTTTGCCGGGGCTTCTGTAATCATTTAATTAATTTCTTATTCAGTTTTTTTGTTGGAAATGAATATAAGTTTACTTACTTCCACCACCACCACCGCAGTTTACGCTGAGCAGAATGATGAGTATAGTGAAAAATTGAAGTAGCATTCCGCAACTGTTGTACCAAATAGGAGGGAAGAAAAAGTAGGAAATAACGCACAGCTTTAGGAAAGCAATAGTTTTACGTCTCCGGAAATGTTCTGACATTGCAAAATCCGACATTTATGCAAAGTGATTTCTAAAATGCAGATTTTTCAGACAATCTCCTCGCGCGCCCCGCAGATTATGCTCAAGAACATTGCCAGCATCATGCCGTTCTTGCAAGAAGACGTAAAAATCTCGTCGTGTCTGAGAACCATTTTTTTCAGCCGCATCAACTCCGCGGCGCCGTGCTGACCGCCCTCGCCGAGCTGGTCATGTCCAATGAGCTGTCCGACGAAAAGTGCAAGCTGAACAGCATGCTGCGCGACAATCGCGCCACGTTCATGGATATTCTGCAGGCAAGACAATTCCTAAAAACTTATACAGTAGTTCTAGCGCCACCTGCGCGATCAAGCGACCCAGGTGCGTGCGAAAGTCGTCAATCTGTGGCGTCTGCTGGCCGATGCAAAGCGAATCCCGAGCAGTGTCGTCGACAACGGCATAATCGACTACATTGGTGAGCCACCTTATTTTATTCGCTTGATTTATGGTTTCCCCCCACTTTATACCTTTTAGGCGAACGTCTGGAGGATAAGCAGGTGCTGGTGCGCAAGCCCGCCATCGCCTTCATGTCGTCATTCCTGAAGAACAACGTCTACGGCCATGACGTGCGTTTGTAAACGTATTTCGCGTACATACTCCCGCTTTAGTTCTCGTGGAAGGCCAACACGAGCCATCTGCAAAAGCTGCTGGCCGAGCGCGAAGCCCTGGTGGCCAATGATCCTGGTAAGGGATTTTTTGAACTTGGCACAATTGCAAATTCCTAGATTTCGACCCCCAGCGCCGCGCCGAGGCGTACGTCGAACGCCACCATGATCTGGTCAGAAGCAATGTGAGTTATTGTATTCATTTTTCCTTACGATTTTCAGCTTGTCACGGGTTTTGCGACGGTCGATTGGGGAAGCCATGAAGAGCCGCTCGACGAAGACGATGACTTTTCCGACGACGTTATTGCGGGGTATGATTACTAGTAGCGGTTTCAACTCAATTTTAGGTGGCCTGCCTTCCTCTTCCAGGCGGCGGCCGGGACTGGCGACTTCCATGACCTGATCGGCAGCATCGTTCGCCTGTTGAAGCTCGGCGTATTCAAGGAGCTCGGCTGGGACCTAGCCGATTACAATATGGAGTGAGTCGGGCCGTATTCGTTTGGATCCTTCACTTTTTCAGGGATCCCACCGAACAAAACAAGCTCGTTGACGTCATCATGGAATACGCGTGTGATCGCTGCATGAAGGAGAGATTGATCTCGGAGAATATGGTATGATTTATTTGAAAAATGCTATCCTTTTAAATTTTTTTAGCTCCCGACCAACGATATGCTGAAGGAGGAGCGGCGTGCGGACTGGCTGGATAAATTAAGGAAGTGCAATGACAGCATTGCCTACATGCAGGTACATTTTTTTGTTTATGGACAATTAGCGGGTAGCAAAGTTTTTTGCGTATTCTGGTGTACTTTTTCTAGTGTTTTAGCAGTTTTGAGTTTTAGTTTTTTATTAAATCCCGCATTCTAGACGAAATTGCATGCGGCCTCTGCGCTTTCGGATTCTCTGCAGTCAGCTTTGCGTGGTGCGCTCCACGGAGATGCCGCCGAATTGAAGGAGGCCATCAACTTCATCATCGAGTGCAAGAATTTCGAGATTTGGTTGGCTTTTTTTTCTTTCTTCAATCACTTTTTTCCAGCGACTCTGACAAAGTCATCCGGCAAGTCTTCGCCCTCATCTGGCGCAACAACGTCGATATCCAAAAGGAGGTCGTGAACGCCGCACGGAAGATGCTCATCTCCCAGAACGAGTATGTTAACCCAATATTCGCAGAGCAACGATTTTTCAGACAATCGGATGTCGCAGACCCGGCAACCGCTAGAAAGATGTTGCAAGTGCTGAAGGGGACGAAGAAGGTGAGTTTCGAGGTTTTTCCTTCAAGCGCTTGTTCGGAAAATTGTGAAAATACGTATTTTAGGTTGAGTACAACTGCGTGAGTGAAGTGATCGAGCGTATGCTGCGCCAATACCCCGACGATGTCGGCTCCGGAGTCACCGATTATTTGACAATGGTTTGTCTTGGCAGACCGTCGATCAATTTTGCTTTAGGTGATCGGAGCGAAGAGGAAGAAGAAAATCAACAAAGAGGAAGAGGAGAAAAATATTGGTCAAGCGGAAGCTCTACAGCTGCTGGAGATTTTCTCGAGGTGACCTTGAAGCTTATCTACAATTTTTTTTGTTTAGGGTCCATCCCCAGAAGGTTCGAACGTGCCTGCGTGAGCTTCAGGAATTTATCGCGAAGGGTAGTCGCCACTCGGATGACCCGATGCAGGTTCGCAAGGCTGCACTCGCCATTCCGGTGATCATCCATTCGGCTCAGGAAGATCGAGTAAGTGATTCGTGGTTTTCGACTTTCAATTCAAATCGATCATCTCGATCATCTTTTCGTTAGGAAAGAAATTGGCCTATTTATTGGCAGTAGCTTCGATCAGGGACCTAGTTCGGTGATTTTCATTTTTGTCATGCCGTTGCAAAAAGAATTATTAAAATCCTATGTGAAACTATCTAAAATAATATTATGTAAACGCCTTTTTTAGCCCGTGGACGAAAAAGAGGCCAAGGACATCATCCGTTTGCGCGAGTCGTCGTGCCGAATTCCGTACAACGACGGGCTTTGGGCGACACTGGAGACGTTCTGTGTGGAGCGTAAGCGGCTTCTTTCTAAATTAAACTTTGATTCTTTTAGGATTCCTTGACATGGACTACGAAGAGTTCGCCACGGTGTTACGCGACACCTTCACCTGTCAGTTCAACGTGTGCGCGCAGCCGGGCCGCGCCTGCTCGCAGCTGATCGGAACGGTTCGGAATTTGGAGTAAAAATAGAAAACAATATCTTTTTAGATGATCTGGTACTGCCAGCGTGCCAGCAAAGTGCTCACCTTCTACGAGGCCGAGCACTCGAAGATGTCCAAGAAGAACGACACTAGTTCCGCGAAGGCCAAGCTCGTCTGGGCCAAATTGTGAGTAAAATCAATCTGATCTTACCATCGTTTAGGGATCACTTCCGGCTGCTGCAGGACAAGCTGCTCGAGCGCACGATGTATGCCTCCGGCGAGGTAAAAAATTTTCAATTTGGTTACGGAGTTTTTTTAGCTGGCCCAGCACATCCACATCTACGTTGATCAGACGTTCACGCGCGAGCTGAAGCGGATGCAAAAAATTATCGACTCGGACGGCCGTACGACGCAGAGCCTATCACTAGAAGAGGTATATTTTGATGCTCTTTTCATAAAATCATCTTTTTTAGTACGTCGACATGCAGAAGAAGGTGCGGATCAAGGGTGGCAAGCGCCCAACGGATGATCAATTGGCCAGAGAATACGAGGAGCCGGAAACGGTAAGTTTATTTTCTTTCTTTTTTACGCTATTTTAATAATAAAAATTACCGGTTTCCAGGGAATCCCTCAAATGCCCGTGCGCGTCCTCCTTCCCTGGGAAGCCGACTCGGCCCGACGCCAGGGCATCTTCGAGATCTTCCACGACAAGGTGCTGAAGGCCAACGACGCCAACGACCAGGAATTCTCCATCGCCATCGACGTCGCCAACGCGCAATTGATGCAACAGCTCCACCCGTCGTTCATCTTGGCCCGCGTCGTCCCGCTCGTCACGTACTGCATCCGCGCCAAGGGCACCAGCGACAAGACGCGATGCCAGGCGTCCACCGCATTGGCGAAGATGGTGCCGCTGTGTCGGCACTTTGCGAAGAAGTCGTCGTTCCTGATCACGCTGCTGATGACGGCCGCCTCAGACCCGACAATTCGAGAGAATCTCCTGGTTGCGATGGCTGACATCTACGAGTTCGTCCCGATTCCGTTCGACAACTACCAGTCGGAGCTTTTCAATATGTAAGTTTTTTTGGCTTTGGAAACTTTTTTCACTGAAAAAGTTCTCACTTTCCACAACATAAGACATATGCAATTTTCTTTAGGTGTCGCGATGTTGATCCACTCGTTCGAGAGACGGCGCTGCTCGTCCTCCTCCACGTAACGACGGATGGCCTTGTACAAGTATTTTTTACGAAAAATTAATTTCTGAAAGACGGGCAAAATCTCCGAGTTCTAAAAAATTCCTTTTTTAGAACCGCAGCGGTGTGGCCGATGTGGCGAGATGCTTTGTCGACACGTCCCAAGATGTCCAAGCGATGGCCCGCGTCTTCTTCCAGGAATTTGCTACCAAGGTATGCCAGGCTCTAGAAATTTATTTTGCCTTTAGAAAAACATGGTCTTCAACGCGATGCCCGATTTCCTGTCCCGGCTGACACGCAATCCGAAGCAGATCCCCTTCCCGGCGTTCCAGCTTATCATGACGTGGGCTATAGCTCTTTTTCATCAAATTCATAATTTTAGGCCCCTTCTCGAATACCTGGAACCCGCTGAAAACGACGATATGGTCGTCAGGGTCGTTCAGCGCCTTGAGGCCCTTGAGTACGTTTTCTTGAGGATATCGTCAATCTTTATTTAGTGAGGAGTCGCTGGAGCGCAACGAGCTGATGCCGCTCTACTTCGTCTGGGTGCTGAACATGGTATCGAAGAGCGAGAAGAGCTTCAGCAAGGTATTTTGGCTTTTGATTACGCCAAAACATTGTTGTTTGCAGATTCGCGAGCACCGAAAGGCCGTCGAGCGCTTCCTGCACATCCCGGGCTTCTACGACCACCTCCACACAACACTCGAGCAGCTAAAGAAGGTCGCCTCTCCGAATGCCCACTATAAGGTGAGAATTGATTTGCGACTTGCAATTTCTGATTTAGACCGACGTCGAGCAATTCATCGAGGAGACCAAGCAGCTCTACGAGAAGGCGGTGGACCACGAGATTACGATGAAGAAGGCGTCGGCATTCCAGGTTTGGTTCCTAAACACGAATCTTTCTAAGAAAAATCATTTTAGAAGCGTGCTCGCGGACAGAGCGGCCCGAAGACGACCGGCAGCGCGAAGAAAGAAACTGCTAGCAACGCGCGCGCCGCTGGCCGCCGACGTGTCTACCTCGACGAGATCGAGGAGGACGACGAAGACGCTCAGCCGAAGACGATCGATTCCGACGATTCTGATGATTAGCCCGGTCATTTTCTCACTCGTTGCCACTTGTATTGATTGGTTGCCTTTTTGCGTTCCTTGATCTTCGCTTTCCCACGTTGTGTGTATATTGAGGGATTTGATTTGTGTTTGGAGTACATTTCCTGTTTTGTTCTATCCCGCGTTTAACCTCGTTGATCTCATACTTTACAACTCACTTTTCGTGTACGGGATAAAGACTTTCTACCTGAAGCGAGTTTCATTTTGTACTGAATGGTTCGCAAGCCGATTAATGTTTTTCTAGCGATCATTTTTCGTTTCTAGGTGTAGAATTTGCTTATTATTTGGAAAGGATGTTTTTTTTGAATCGAAAAAATTAAAAATTGGTTTTTGTAAAGTTTGTTCGGCTTGATTCAAGTTTACGGTACTCTCCCAAAATGCGGTTTTTTGTGTTTAAATCGCTAAATAAAGGTCAGAAACGGACTCAGCGACAAAAATTAGGTGGCGGAAGGCACTTTTTAGGGGAGAAAACCTCATTTTAGTTTTGAGATCGGGTACCGTAAAGTAGTATACGGGGGTGACTACTTTACGGTACTCGCCCAAAATGCGGTTTTTTGTGTTCAAATCGCTAAATAAAGGTCAGAAACGGACTCATCGACAAAAATTAGGTGGCGGAAGGCACTTTTTAGGGGAGAAAACCTCATTTTAGTTTTAAGTTCGGGTACCGTAAAGTAGTATACGGGGGTGACTACTTTACGGTACTCTCCCAAAATGCGGTTTTTTGTGTTCAAATCGCTAAATAAAGGTCAGAAACGGACTCATCGACAAAAATTAGGTGGCGGAAGGCACTTTTAGGGGGAAAACCTCATTTTAGTTTTAAGTTCGGGTACCGAAAGTAGTATACGGGGGTGACTACTTTACGGTACTGCCCAAAATGTTCCTTTTTCTGCACGAAAGAAGCAGCAAGGTCTGAAACGTATTAATCAGCAAAAATAAGTGGGCGGAAAGGCCTATAAAGTGAAGATTCGGACACAGATTCCATCTCTCGATCACACCCAGTTTAAGCCTAAAAATAAGGCTTCGTGCCACCCGGGGCCTAGTCGCTTCGGATGGGTGCGAGCTCGTACAGGATTTCGAAATCGGGGCGCCCGAGGGCGCGAAGCGCCCAGGCGCCCTGATTTCGAAAGAGTGGAGCGACAGCCCATCCGAAGCGACGGCCCACCTTGCGCGACATGTCATAAGCCTCAAACTTCGAAGTCTCAAATCACTCATTTTTAGGCCTTTCCGCCAAATTATTTTTTGCTGCTTCATTCGTTTCAGCCCTTACTGCTTCTTTTCGTTCAGAAAAACTAAAATTTTGGGCGAGTACCGTAAAGTAGTCACCCCCGTATACTACTTTACGGTACCCGAACTTAAAACTAAAATGAGGTTTTCTCCCCTAAAAAGTGCCTTCCGCCACCTAATTTTTGTCGATGAGTCCGTTTCTGACCTTTATTTAGCGATTTGAACACAAAAAACCGCATTTTGGGAGAGTACCGTAAACTTGAATTTTCCCGTTTGTTCTTGTCGTTTTTTTTTTTGTTTGAAATAATCACGTTTCAGATGAGCGACGAGTACGACTTGGTGGCGCCAAGAAGTAAGCGGCTGAAGACCGACGACACCAGCAATGACAGACGCGTGCTGTACGTCGTCCTCGAGCACTGCTCCCTCGAATCGGCCAAGGTTTTTAGTCATCTGAATCCTAAATTTTCTTCTAGATCGGAAAAGACTACGTGCTCCTCTCCAGCGACAAGCACGCCACATTCCTTCGCAAGATGAAGCGCGACCCCGCCGACTACCGCCCGGATATCGTCCATCAAGTGGGATTTCGCACGTTTTGAAGAAATCGGTTTTTTTAGTGTTTGCTCAACCTTCTCGACTCGCCGCTAAATCGAGCCGGCAAGCTTCAAGTGTTCATGCACACTGCGCAGAATGTTTTGATCGAATTGAGTTTTCCGCCTCTAATGAAATATTCCAATTTTTGTTCCGAAGGCGTTATGCTAACATTTCGCTTTTCAGGTGAGCCCACAATGCCGAATCCCGCGTACATTTGATCGGTTTTGCGGCCTAATGGGTAGCTTAATCTTTATTGATCTTTATTTGTTTTTTTAGTCCAACTCCTCCACAAGCTCAGCCTCCGCGCCGCCGACACATCGCAGAAGCTGTTGAATGTAGGTTTATTTTCGGCTTTTCTCGAATTTCCTTTTTAGGTGATCAAGAATCCGGTGTCTAACCATCTACCCGTCGGCTGCAGAAAGTTGCTGATGTCCTTCTCGGCAGCCGAGCTGACGATGCCCAACAAATTGGTGACGAAAGAGGCTAACGAGCCGATCGTGGTGGTGATCGGTGGGATCGCGAAGGGGAAGGTGTGTCTTATAAATTTCAACTTTGCTCATATTTTTCACGCAGTAATCCTCCTATTTTCCAGATTCAAACAGACTACACGGAAGGCGATCTGAAGATCAGCAACTACCCCCTGTCCGCCGCGCTCACCTGTGCCAAGATTACGAGCGGCCTCGAAGAACTCTGGGATATCATCTAGTTTCATTGTTTTGATAGAAAAATAATTTTTGATTGTCGTTACTTTATCGTTGTCTGAATTCATCATATTCGTTGTTACATTGTTATTGTTGCGCATTATCTGCTCGTTGTTGCTATCTTTTTACCCTCCGTTAGTTTGCTAATAAATCACTTGTGTTTTTAAAGATTTTGGCGGCAATAAATGCAGAAAATATACATTTTACCTCTTTAGCTCTCTTTAGCGCGCATTTATTTCCTCGAGCTTCCGGTCTCTTTTCCTCTAATAATTATTTGCGTCCATGTTTTGGGCCCACTTACACCTTTTTTTATCGCCCCATCTCGTCACTTCTGTCAACCCCATCGGTGTGTTCTGGTCAGGCCAAACTTCAAACGCCCCCGATCAGCGCTAATTAATCTATTTGCTCTAGTGATTTTCGAGGCATTGCCCATCCCATATCACAGGCGCGAAAATTCGCAGTATAAGCGCGATTTTGACGGACAGCACAAGCCCCTGAAGCCGTCCGATAAGCACCAGCCCCTCACTTTTGACATTCCCGACCATGCGCTCTGGCGTACTTCGGCTTTTGCTTTCGACATGGGCTTGTGCTTTGGTGGCTGCTGCAGATCCGGTTGGGCCGATCACGACGCATTTTGAGGAGTGGTTGAAGTCGTTAGTTTTGGAAGATTATTGGTTTACAAGAGTGGGGCGGCACAGCCAAGATTTTTTTGGGAAATTATATCTTCTCCTTTTCTATTTTTGGATCTCCAAAAATTCCGTCTTTCTAATGAGCTTTATCGTATGATGAGGTCTAGGTTGGGTTATGATCTCAAGCCTATTCCGTGTTTACAACAAAGCTGTAGAAAAAGGACACTTGTTAAACTTATGTTATGTTGTTGATGCTTATAAATGCAGTCCGCTTCTTCCAGAAATGGCTACGGTGAATTCGATTACGCTCGCCGTGACCTTGGCGAAGTCGGCAGCTACGGCGGCAAACAGGACGATCATCAGGAGGTATGACACTTTAGGTTATACCTGTTTACTCAAAGTTAGGTCATTTTAAGGTATTATTAGGTCCAACAAACCCCAATCGTGTTCATCCACGGCAACACCGACGGTGCTTTGAAAGAACCCGGACCCTACAGCTCTGGCTCATCAGCACAGATTGCCTATTTCGAATCCAAAGGGTTAGTGAAACATTTATGAAATAGAAAATACCGAACTAAGGTACACCCAAGCCGAACTGTACGTGACCACGTGGGGCAATCGACGGCTCGACGAGGCCGCTTATCAGTAAGAGATGGAATCTGACAAGTACGACTGCCGAACTCGTTTAGGGCCCACAATTGCTCAACGCTTGTAAGGCTGCGCAGATTTGTGGAAGCTGTATTAAAATATACAGGGGTAAGTGAAATTAGCCAACGTTGTAGTTTTCTCGACTTTAGAAAAAAGCCATCCACCTCTCCGGGCACTCAATGGGCGTGACGTTGGCCAGGAAAGTGGCCAAGGGCGGGAAAGTGACGGAGAAATTTAACGGGAGTAGGTTTTAGAAATCTTATTGCTTTTAAAACTAATTTATGACTACTTTAACTAATTAGTTGCGTAATTTCAATAGATTTCTTGTCGCAAAATAGAAAATTCCGCGCAAGGGGTCCTGAAAATTTTCGCGGAAACTGCTCACGTCTGGATCACCCCGATGGATGGGTTATAAAAGGCGAATTTATTTACTTACAAAATATCGCGATGGCCGAGTGGTCAAAGGCGACCGAAGCTACGATCGGTTTCCCCGGAAGGGGAGCGTGGGTTCGAATCCCACTCGCGGTAAAACATTTTTGAGTTTTGCGCTTGAAGGGACGGTATGGGGATGATGGATGGATCTAAGGCTTACCTACGAATTCCTCGAAATCTGTTCCGGTCATCCTTTCACGGTGGTCAAAGGACGAGCGCTGCCGATTCCACTGAAAAACTGAAAATCTAAAATCCAACAAAAACCAATTTGGGATTGAGAAGGCAGGAATCTGAAGCGAAACGCTGACTAAATTGGGGAATTTTCAGGTTTTTCCATCATCAGATACCTGACATATTACATACTTTTCTTTAATATCACTCAAAATATTATTATCATCGTTAGTATGCGATAAAAACGACCTGCGTTAAAATCGAAAATGGCACGTCAGGATTTTTGAAAATTTTCGGTCAAACTTACGACACCTGGATCACCCGGATTCAAGGGGGTATAAAACACGACTTTATTTTTCTGATAAATTATCGCGATGGCCGAGTGGTCAAAGGCGACCGAAGCCACGATCGGTTTCCCCGGAAGGGGAGCGTGGGTTCGAATCCCACTCGCGGTAAAACATTTTTTGGGGGTTTGCGCTTTCTAGAAGATAAGTTGAGGGTGGATTCGGGAATTTCTATGGTATTGTAGTTATCTGATACGCTCGGAAAATCTGATATTAATAAAAAATACAATCTTCCAGACACCTGCGATCTCGGACCCCCGCTCACCGAGCAAATCGACGTCTTTTTGGGGCTCTGCGGCGCGAACTACGGCATGTGCGCCTGCCTCGCCTCGACGTATACTTGTAATGAAATTGTAAGTATCATAAGAAGCTTTGTTCTATTTACCTTTATCATACAATTTAACTAATAAAATCCACTTTAGAACGGCTTCTGGCCTGGGGACAGTTGCGGCTCGAACGACAGCAAAATGTGTGGCGTCAAGGTCCGCAGCTTTTATTGGACTTTTTAGACTCACAAGTTTTTCTTTAATTGCCTGGGCCCTACGTTTCTAAAAGATACTTTTCAGCCTCTACCCGAAAAATGCGATCAGCAGAACTATTCCAGCCTGCTTTATCAGATGAATAACGACGGTATTCGAGAAGGACAAAATGTTTATGCGTTGTGGACAACTGGTAAGTCCTCTACTGTATTACTATAACTAGATTAAAGCTCAAGAATTTGTAAAGATTAAATTTTTAAGTTGATGACGTCGTGATTCCGGACGACAAGGTTTGGGGCAAGTACTCCTCCCGTTTTCCAACGACGGACTGGGAAAAAGCGTTTACCAGTAAGTTTCAAAACAATTACTAAAACGGCTATCCCTAAAACTAAAAAATCCGGATCAATTCTTTCAGATTACACCCATATGCAAGTCAAAGAATTGACCGTCGACCTCCAGTACGGCCTATTCACGCATAATCGGGCTAGCAGGCCTTAAAAACAGCATCTTTATTTTTTTTATCATCTCCTTCACTCTTTTATATATACTTTATAACAAATCCACGTTATTTTTTCCCATTGCATCACTTTAATATCTGGAACCTGAATTGCCCTGAAAAACTCGAATTTAAAGCTTGTTTTTATGATATTTGAACGCACCAAAATCCCGGTGACTTTTATAGTGTGTTTTTCCTGTGATAAACTTGCCGTATTTTACTTAAACTCGCCAAAGGTTTTGTGAATGAAATAAAAATATTGAAGAAAACGATAGATGCTTATTTCCGTGCCTAATCCCCGGAGGGACGCAGCAGATCATCGAGGATTTGTGAGCAGCTCGGGATTACCCTTGTGGGAGGTGGACCCTCGCTTTTTTAGCAATTAAAAACGTTTTTTTATGATTTTTAATGAAAAACCGTCGAGCACTTCCGTGACAATCCTATCAACGGCCTACCGTACCCCTAAAATCCGTTGTTAGGTGTCATTCGTCTGATTTTGGTTTCGTGCGAAAAAAATCCGTTTTTGTTTTTTCTCTGCTCGTTTCCAGCGAAGGATTCGGATTCGCAAATAAATTTTATAATGCTGTCGTTGGTTTACAACAAATGTAGCTTTGGGAGTTTTTATCGCTAGCAGCTAGAATTAAACGTTTTTTAGCTACATAACTTCATAGACTTTTGCCCTGGGTCTACTTCATAGATTCGATGATTTTTGCCCGGTTTACAATCCGTTTTATAACTTTTTCTAAACTAAAATCGGTTACGCCATTGTAATAGGAAAAGGGTCCCAGCGCGCCCGAATATTTTGGGGGCCCGACCGGGGGCGAGAGAGCCCGGCCGGGCCAGAAACCCCGACACAACCACAAAGAAAGTCGAAAATTATAGGTTTCCTGTCGGGAAGGGGAAGTAATTAATAAAAAAGGGTTTGTACCCGTGTTTTTTCAGTTATTCCGATCACTAGCTTGAAAATGGACAAGGAGAGATTCATAGAAAAGCTGAGTGCAAAAACGTAGATAGAAAAGACAATTTTGTTGATTTACTCGTAAACCGTTACTTCTTGCGCCTCGGGCGGCTGAATGAATCATAGGAGGACGTTTTCTAAACAAATGCGCGGCTCTGATTCACCCTATGGAGGTCCAAAAAGCCAATGGCAATCGATGTCCATTTTCGAAAACATTTCGAAATATCGCGTAGTGATTGGAAATTGCCAGATTTCTTTCAAGGAGACCTTTAAAATGGTTTTACTTTCTGCGCTCATTATTCTCTCTTTCGGTTTTATTTTCAGCCTGAATTTTATATCTATTTTTCAGGATGAACGAGCCAATGGATGAGGGTTCGTCCTCATCCGCCGCCCCCGTGGCCCCGATTGGCCCTGAAATCTTCATGCTTCGCTACAGCTTGACGGCCAAGGAGGCCGAAGTACATGAAACGTAGGGTTATAGCAAATTTCTCTAGCTTTTTGTTTAGTTTCAAATCCGCCGCCCACCGTCGGAATACGGGTGACCGTTCGGCGAGGTCAATCCCAGCCTTGGAGGCACTTGGGTTACGCTTGGAGGACTATGTGAAGACAGTCGTCACTCCGGCCTACATCTTCTTCTTGCTCAAGGTGGTGGCATCCATAAACTTTGTAAGATTGTGTTTTGCAGGATGGCCGTGTGTTGCGTCTCGGTTACAGCGTGGAGAATCGCTCTGTCAGCCCGCCGACCCGGCATCCCAACGCCAAGGCGACTTCGGCTTCCGGATCTGTCGCGTTTGCTGCTCCAAAATCCAAGGTATTAAATCGTGCTTTTGTCGAAATCCCGATCTTTAGCTACAATTCCTAAGCAAGTATCGACGGATGCTGGATGTTGGCCGCAGAGACCGAGCTTCAGTTCTCGTCGACCGGACTCGTCCGCTTCTCCCAGCCTCTGATGTGCCAGAAGACCTGATCGCACAAGCACAAGTGGTTCTACAGGGCAAATCCCGTGAAGTCATCGTCAGAGAGTTGCAGGTGTGTTTTTCCGCATCTACATTTATTGTTTTTTTAGCGCACAAACCTCAACGTCAACGAGGCCGTCAACAATTTGCTATCGAAGGATGACGATGAAGGTTGGGTTTCCGAAAGTTTTCAAAAACAGTTTTAGACGACGACGACGCTATCGGCGAGGTCTGCATCCCCGAGGAGCTGTTGGCGGTTCTCGATGCTCAATCTGTTTGTTGCGCCCCCTTACAAATATCATTCGATTTTAGATGCAGCTCGGTGGCCACGAAGACTATGCTCCCGATCTTGAATCGGCCTTCATGCTACAGCGCGGCCGCGCCGCCCGACGAGATGCCGCTCATGACAAAAATAGTGCGTTTCTCTAGGACGGCACTTGATTAGAATACTTTTAGAAGACAAGAAGAACCAGTCGTCGTACAGCGAGTTCACCTACGACGACAAGGTCGGGGAATGGCAGGCTGAAGACACCGAGGAGGCTGCTCGACTTCGTTTTTCTGACATCACCGCTTGCGCCTCGGAAATTCTTGGCCTTGCCGGTGGTGTTGTCTATGGATGGTCATTCACCAGCCAACACGGATCGAGTCAGCCACACTCAAGGGCTTCTGAAGCTGTTGGAGGTGAGGCGAAGCATTAATTACTCTGCAAATCAATTTTAGGATCTACCGTCGTTCGTCTGATATCCTCCTACCTCCGCGCGGCTGTTCTCTACGAGAAGCCGACTCGCGAAGGTGTTGTAAGAGAGATGGCCTCGTGGCTCGACCCCTACCTCCTTCCCGGCAAGATTGGAACGGCTTTGATTGTAATAAATTTAGTTTTTTTCTCAATTAACTTTTCCTCAGCAATCCCTGCCCGCCCAACCGCAAATCGACCGCAAGGCCCAGGGCGCCGATGTGCACTTCTTCTGCTCCGACTACTTTGCCGGCTTCATCACACAGAATGGATACCTTCACTGGTGGTAAGAAACTAATCTAAAATCAAGATTTTTGATTTAGTGGCGTTGTTCCCGCCGCGGAGAAGGTGCACAACTTCGGCAAGATGCGCAACAAGGCCCGCAAGAATTGGAGCCGGGACAGCCAAGCCGAGTCGGAGATCGCCGTCGGTGTTGAAGTGCGCCCGAAGACTTCGCCGCTTTACGAACCGGGCAGTGTGGCCGTGTTACTGAAGGATGGGCAACCGAGAGTACGTTTTTTTTACCTTCGGCAAAAATATGTTTTCTCAGGTCGGTGTTCTGATGGAGAAGGTGTGGTCTGCATCAGAGACGTGCCGCTTCCGCCTGATCGACGAGGACAAGTATTCACTCGACCTTGCCGAGCTCCAGAAAGAGCCCCTCAAGGCTGCAGCCGCTCCCAACAATGGTTTACTTACATTTCCTACGGGTACCGTTATTTTAGATCAACTCCCGGGCTCCCGGAAGCGACGCGCCAACGACAGCAACGAGCCGAACTACCAGGAGCCGTGGCCCATCTCCGACTGCATCTTCTTGTATGAGCAACCGCACGAAAACGTCTGGATTGTTGTCCTGGTGAGCTTGACGCCCCGGTAGAAGTCCGTTTTTTAGCACGACAAAGAATCAAAACAATGCGTCACGGTTGATCCGCGCGACCCGACTTGGAAAGATGTTCCGCGGGAGGAGATCTCCGTCGCTCATCCAAAGTTCAAGGAAAGCCGACATCAGTAAGTTTTTATCTTCAGTTGCATATCGTTTAATTTTCCAGCATCCGGCAAGTGGCTCATCTACAAGTCCGCGGCACCGACGACACGCTGGCATTCGATTCGCCGAAATGCATGGAGCCGAAGAGGGTGACTGTCAGGCTCCCAATTTCGTACGACCGCCTTTGTAACGCCGTTGCTGATGAGAAAGGTAAATCTGCTATATTGTAAATTATCGCTTTTTAGGAATCCGTTGCCTCGTCTGCTCGGACGGCCTGTACCAACTTATCCGTCTTTCCGTGACCGGAAAAGTGCTGTCCAAGCATTCACTGCCTCTCACTTCTTCTTCCGTGTTCGCCAGCAAGGAGGATCTGGCCCTCGAAGATATGCCCATTCAGCCTGAGCTTGTCAACTTTTCAAAGGTAGCGTTTTCTTTCGAGATTTTCTATTTTGCCTTTTCCAGGAAGACATGGTGTTCATACGCTCGAAACCCGGCTCGGCGCTTATTCTCATGTGGCGCGATGCAGAGGGCGGCTTCCGCGAGCTGTCCACCTACCATCAACCCCTCTCCCCGCTGCAATCGCTCTGGATTGGGCAAAATGTCGATGAGCCTGTCAAGTGAGTTTATCTGATCTTTTCGAACATCATCCTCATTTAGAAATGCTTCCGTGATTATCCTCGGCCTGGGCCCACCAACCAACGGCAACCTTCTACAGGCCGTGCTCGACTGTGACGAAGAAGCTGTCAAGGCGTCGATGGCCGAAATTTGCGCAGGTAAATTCCGTTCGTCCCCACTTTCGGGCTTCTTCTGGAATTCACCAATTTTCTGTCTAGGACCCGCTCACGACGCCCAACGTCAGCTCGGCATCTACCACGACAAGGATAACCTTGTGGCGCCCACGTTCACGGATATTGGCGGAAATGTGCTGCACGCGGCCGTGGCCCTGGCAACATCCGCCACAAATCGCGACCAAGCGGATAAGGGAGAAGAGGGTGAGTTTCGAAACGAGTTTTGTAATTTGCCCGAGGTCTTTGGGGGTCATTAGGAGCAACGAGAAGCCTGAATCCTTTCATTTTAGGAGCTGAAGGCAGCAAGACGATGGATCAACGCTGGTCTCGCCTACTACGCTCCTCGAGCGACAGCAAGCGCGCGGCTGCTTTGGCGGCTCTCGGCGGACTGGCCAAAGAAAAAGGTGCCAATTTTCTGACTCTTTCTAGATTTTTTTTATTAGAACAAGCCGAAGCTGGCATCAAGTTCCCGAACGAGGCAAGACAGCGTCAGCTCAGCGCCATGGAGATTGTCAAGCAGCTCGTTCAGCTTCCGTCCAAAGATCTGCTCGAACAAATGCTCAAGCATAAGGTACGGTATTTTCTATTTAGTTATTTTATTTCTTTTTTTTCAGGACTGCAACGGGCTGAACCCCTTCTGCGCCGCCATCGAACAACGCGCCTACACCTCGGCGCGCATCATCTGGGAAGCTGCCGTTAAAGCGGAAATCAAGCTTGACACCCTACTCGAACCGCCGCCAAATTGGTTCGCCCCGCCGGAGCACAGCAAGAGCTGGCCGCTGTTCGTCCTCTGCTACAACGATACGTGCTCGTTCACCTGGACCGGCCAAGACCACATCAATCAGGTATTCGTTTTCGTCTGACTTGATTTTCTCTTTAGGACATCTTCGAGTGCCGTACCTGTGGACTGACGGGCACGCTTTGCTGCTGCACGGAATGCGCATTCACCTGCCACAAGGGCCACGACTGCTCGCTGAAAAGGACCAGCCCCACGGCCTATTGTGACTGCTGGGAGAAGTGTCCGTGTAAAGCACTGGTAAATTTTCAGTGTGGCGATTTTTAATGTTACGTTTTAGGTGGCCGGAAACCCGGAGGCTCGCCTCTACCTGCTGAAAGAGCTGCTCGAGAAGACCGACTGCTACAAGTTTCCGAACCAGAACGGACAGCACATCGTCTACTTCCTGGCCAAGACCATCGCCCGCCAAGCCACCGAGCAGCTGCCGTGGCAGAAGAAGATTCGCCCAAAGTCCATGATCGACAACGGTATATTTTTTAGACTGTTTTCTCTAGAATTTAGTTATTTAGTACTCTAGAATTCAAGCTAATTGTCCCTTTCAGACGCCGAGCCGAACACGCCCGAGCAAAACCTCGAGCCGCCGAACTTTGCCACCAAGGCGCTGAACGCGTGCTTGAGCAACCTGGACGTCGTCCGCCACTTTGCCTCCGAGCAGATGAACGACGGTCTCCTGGATAAGGGCCGCCTCGACGATATCGGCAACGTCGCCTATGGGCAGAGGGTTCGCAGTGAGGACCTCGATGCGACAATTTTCTTGATGCTGACGAAGTAATTTTTTGTAGGATTTTAGGGCTTAGGGTTATATCTCTCCTGCGTTCGCCTCAACAATTTTATTTTAGGTGTCCGACCGAATACCTGAACACCCTGACGCATACGCTGATCAAGGGACTTGCCAAGGACCACGATTCGACGGCCGCCCTCATCTGCCGTCTCGTGCGCTCGATTCTTCGCATCTACGTACTCCTCGTCAACCTTTCATCAACAGCCGCCATGGTCGCTGCTCATGGTCTATTCTCTACGGTTCGTTTACCTATCTTTTTGAACTTTTTAACTTGGACCATCCAAATTTTCAGTGGGCCGTTGAGTGTTGTAATGAATACCGAATGATTTGGGTATCCTGACTTTGCTATTTATCTTTCTTGCTGTCCGCGACTTTTTATATTCTCTTTTTTAGAAGCAATTCACCGTCGAGAAGGACGAGAAGAAAAGCGAGGACCGCTTCATCATTGTCAACTATCGCAGCCTGACGGGACGTGGCAAGTCGCAGGAGTTGAAGCCGGAGATCATCATCGAGGCTGTCTCCCGCTCGCACAAGTTCTTGAAGTGCTTCCTCGCGTACACCAGCCTGGAAGCCGCGCAAATGGCTGCCGCCTCGATTGCCCCCGTTCTCGTCGGCAGGGCCCGAACTGTTGTCCCGATGTCTGCTCGTCCGAAGGAGACTGACGTCTTTAATGTGAGTCTTGACATTATTTACTTTGAAAACCTTTTCAGCTTTTTATGCCTTTTTTTCAGTTGATCGAAACCACGCTGATGAAAACGGGCAATGGCAAGGGTCGTTCTTCGGGCGACTCGCCGCAAAAAGACCCTTACCGCGACACGACGGAGAGCGAGCAGTCTGACGCTGAAACGGAAGACCGACGCCCGGCCTCGAATCGTCTGCTCTCAACATCCAGCAACCTCGGCCCGTCGACTACCGCCGAAAATGCCAATGACGGCGCTGGCCAGGCGATCACCGAATCCACAGGCCGACACGCTATCGTCTTGAGCACCAACAGTGCGCGTGTGCAACGAGCGCGCAGCATTTCGTACACTAGCGAGGATGATACTGAGGTGCGATTCGTTCAGCGTTTTTCATAAAATTTATTGCTGTTGTAGAACGAGGATAACGATGACAACGACAACGAGAACGACGACCAGGATCGAGAAGGCGAGCACGATGATGACCAGGACGAGAACCATGGAGACGAGCAGGAAGATCAGGATATGGATGATGATGATCACGTAATCTTCTAGAATCTTGAAAACCTTTAATTTTCAGGAAGATATGGAGATCATCGACTTTGACCAGATGCCCTCCCGCGCCGCCATCCGGACCGGGATCGGCTTGCCGCCGGAGAGTGATGAGAGCGACGATGACGAGACGAGGCAAGAGGGTCAACCACCACCCCCACCAAACGCTGGCGATGAAGTCCGGAACGCGGAGCAGGGCAGCTCTTCCAACGACACGAACACCAATCAAGTCCTCAACCGCCTGAGCTCTGGAGCTGCTGCGGAAACGGTGCGCCCGGACGTCCAAATGCGTCGTGATCGCCGACGGGTTGGTTGTTGGCCAAAAATTAATTTCTTTGTTTTAAGGCAATCGCTCGACGCCGTCATCCTTCGGGGATTGTCAACCGCTTCCGGACCGAAACGATGGGGACGTCGGGCACAATGGATACAACGGCTGATGAAGCCGAGAAGAAGCCCAATGAGCCGAAGGAACCGCCGGCAACAGTGAGCTTGTTCCTCTTTTGCTGTTCATTTGTTTTTTAGAGTATCAGTGACAGCTCGCGACATCTGTGCTCCGCATTCTACGTGCTCGCCCGTATGGCCTACGAGGTGGAGATGGTCAGCGCCGGCACCAGCCTCACAAATAATTCTATGGTCAGTGGACAGTCAATTAATCACATACGATTTTTAGAACTTCATCGACGAGTGCTTGGCGCCGGCATGGAGATGGTTGGTCGAGGCGATGGACGCCACTGAAAGACAAATAAAGCTCGCCAAGGCACGACAACAGGATCTGGACGTTGAGCCTCAGTAAGAATGAAGATAAAAAGTATAGTAGCCCATTCTAGAGCTCTCCCCCAACATCTTCACGAAGTGCCCACCGTGTCCGCCTACTTCGTCGATCTGATGCGAACGGCCAGCGGAGAACAGGGCGAGAAGTTTCCGACTCTGGATTCCGCCTTACTTCGCCCTCTGACGCTCGTGGCGGACATCTTTCTGGCTCGCTGCCGTACCCTGGACCTCGTCCAGTCGTTGCTCAGCGGTGTCACCGAGGAGGAACGCCAGAAGACGGCCTTCTTTGAGGTAAATTTCAAGTGTCACGGCTTGAGAACTTTCTTTTTTTTAGCGCGGCCTCGAGTTCTGCTACCCGGGAATCGTCCAAAAGGCCGACAACTCGGTTTCCACCGAGCAATGGCGACTGGCCTCGAATCCGCTGCTGTTGACGCCCAAATACTCCCGACCCAACTTCTACCAACACGACAGCCTGAAGATGACGGCCGACCAGTGGAACGGCTTCTACGCCGATAAGCTGAACCTGAAGATCCCGGAGGGCGGCTCGAATCCCCCGGCCTATTGGACGAGGGCGAGTGGGCTTGTCGTCAAGCAAGACATACACATATTGCTGCCCAAACCCGAGCCCAGCCTTGGTCTTGACTGCGATGCGACTCTGAATTTGTTGGAGGTGAGTGAAAATTATGGCTTTTCTAAATAATTTTTTTCAGGTCCGCGCAGAATCGCGCTGGGCGACCACGCTGGAATGCTTGGCACGTAACTACCATCAGGACATCTTCAGCATTTGCGGCCAGGAGGTGAAAAATTGATAAACTTCTTGAACTAGAAATTTAGATCACCAACTCGTTGATGATCACCGGACATGCCAGCTACAACGCCCGGGCCCAGTTCTTCAGCCAGAAGGTCTTCGACAACCCCGGCCAAGCTACTTGTCGCGAGCTGGTCATTGAGGTATGCTAAATTTGTTTTTTTAAATAATAAAATTGGTTTTAGAAGCTCTCGCGCAGTCACGACAAGCTCGTCCGCAGCACCGTCTACCAGCTCAATGCCCAGTTCACGAGGCGTCTCGGCCAGAAAACCGCCGCTACCCCTCCACTTTTCACACATAAGGTATTGGCGGAAGTTTTGAGCTCGTAATATTTTTTTTCTTCCAGATCAAAGTCGGCTTCGAAAACGAGCCCGGCGAGGGAAGTGGTGTGGCTCGGGCCTTCTATTCGGCGCTCGGCGAAGCTTTGATGAGCCTCAAGAACCTGCCCTTTGAAGATCTCGGATGGGACAACAACGAAGAGTTTCTGTACGGCGGCGCCCCACCCGAGGCCAGTCCCCAAAAGCCCTCGCGCAGCATGATTGACTACTTTGGAGGTATTATCAGATTTCATGCTCGCAATTCTTTTATTTCAGCTATCGATGAGCCATCATTGATTGGCCGTCGCTTCCAGCTGTTGCCCACTCGAGTCTCAAGGAGCCCGAAGAAGGCAAGTTTTTTCGGAGGCATTCCAAAAATGTACTTTTAGTCGTCGCGCAAGCTGACCCTGAAGCTGGCCTCGGCTCCTTACACGCCGCAGCGCATCGCTGAACCTGCCCCCAACGTCATCGACGATTCGCTCACGATCCGTCAAGTCCCTGACCTCGCCGATAAGCTGTTCAATCAGTACGTTTAATACTCTTGGCCTTATAACCCCTGTATAGAGTTCAAGCCCAATATCCGCAAGCTGCCGAGCGTATCACCGGATTGCTGGTCGATATGCCTGTGCAAGAAGGCGTGCGCATGAATATTAACAAGGACGGATGCTTCCGCGAACGGCTTCAAGAGGCCGTCGATCTGCTGAAGAAGGGCGACGCGGCAGACCGCGCGATGTTCGAGTCGCAGGCTGGCGAGGAAACGACATCCGCTCAAGAGCCGGTTGTGCCGAAGATGGACACGGCTCCCTTGTTTTACCAGGTTTGTTCAATGCACGCGACATATTTTGCGATTTAGCCATCTGCTGACCAACCGGTTTTCGCCCTCTCTCCGGGTGCGATGTCGCCGATCCGGCTCAGTGCTTTCAGGAATGTTGGAAGGTAAGGCGTTTTGCACCGCCCGCATCTTCTTTGTTATAGAATCATCGGGCTCTGCCTCATCCAGCAACATGTTTTCCCGCTGCGCCTGCCGCGCCACGTCTGGAAGGTCATTCTCGAGCGGCCCACCTCCTTCCACGACCTCGCCTTTGTTGACAAAGAGGTCTGGCAGTGCTTATTGAAATCCAAGTTCTTCTTTCTAGCTCTACAACCAGCTGCGCACGCTGATCGCCGACTTGTCCGGCAGCCAGGAGGGGTTGGCCGAGAAGCTTGACGCGCTGCAGTTGGACTTTGTCACCACGTTGCCGAAGGAGGAAAATGATGGCCAGGTATTAGTTTTATCGGCTTCATTTTTAAACTTGTCTTCAGTCTCCGACCACCATCGAGTTGTGCCCCAACGGCGGCCAGCAGCGCGTGACGGCCGAGAACTTGCAAGAGTACGTGCACGAGATTGTGAAGTGTCGACTGACCCGTGATGATCTGATGAAATGCTATCAGGTGAGTTCCAACGCATCATTTCCAAGTTATCATATTTTAGTCCCTTCAACAAGGTATCAGCGACGTCATCCCCAGCGGCTACCTGGCACACTTGAGCCCGGAAGACATGACGCTGCTTGTCAACGGCATCGCTGAGGTAATTATTCGGGATTAGAGTTTGTTTTACGGTCCTGTTTAGATGGACATGGGCCGTCTGAAGCGGTTGACCGCTTTCACCGACGAGTGCCGCATCAGCCCCGGCGAGATCGAGACGATCCGCAAATGGTTCTGGGAGACGGTCGATCGGCTGTCGGAGCGCGAGAAGCAGGACCTAGTCTTCTTCTGGACCGGCTCGGCGACGCTGCCAGCGCTCGACGAGCTCTTCGTGCCGCGTCCTTCTATTGTCATCAGGTGCGTTTTAGCTTTTTGCTGACCTCGATTTTTCTTATCATACTTTCATTTCCAGGAGCCTCTCGGACGCTCATCTCCCATCAGCCAACACATGCATTTCGCGCATCTACCTGCCGCAGTACTCCTCGAAGAAGATCCTCGCCGCCAAGCTGCGCACGGCCATCCAAGTGAAAGTTTTCGGCTTCGTTTAGATGCTCCTTCCCCCTCCTTCATCATCATCATAGTTGGTGTGCCTTCTATCCATCGCTTAGTCTCCCCTTGCCCCTAGTGTGTGTTGAGATTTGTCTCCTCACCCCGCTAATCTAGTTGCTTCTCGTTGCTATCATCTCTCCATTTGCCCGTCCCTCAATCCTAAACCTGGGTACCGCGAAGAATTGTTCCAAATAGTGATATATGGTCCTGTTGAGTGCTCTTGTCGCCTTTCCCCTTCCCTGTCCTCCGTTTATCGACTGTTACATATATCGTTTTATAGTGTTAGAATTCGTTTCATTGTTGGTTCTCACGTACGTGTCGTTTAGATAAAGAATTGAAAAGTTGTTTGGGCTTTTTAAATGCGGAAAATTGCATACGAATATTGGACTAGAGATTCTTTGGCTTTCTGCGCCAAATAAAACCAACATTTCCACTCGACCCCGGCTAGCAGACTGTCGGCTTTCCCGAAGATGGCGAAGGTACTTGTTTCTTGCTGCCCTTCTCGACACTGCTGTGCTCCTAGGAGCTGCCGGCGAGTGTGCAGCAGCGGCTGGTCGTCTTCGCCACCCAGGTCGACCAGTCCCTCGTCACCTACTCGGTGCGCACGCGATCCAGGCCCGTCGAGTAGGGGACAGCGTCTTGCTTTTGAAAATTTTGCTCTTCTCAGCCGCGACGCCGTGTTCGACAGTCCACCAACTTGGGGTGAGCTTTTCCACCCGGGCTTTCTGGCTTCCTGCCAGCAACGCAAATTCATTTGGGCGTAAAAAATAGCATCTTTGAGCCTGTTCTGAAATTACTCCACATTTCCAGCCCGCAGCGAGAAGACGAGCAAGAGACGCGACAAATCCGACGCGTAGGCCGCAGAGGATGATGATGGCTTATCGGTTCCCTTCAGCCCGCACTTGACCCAGAATCCGCGCTCCACCGCCCCGCAAGACGTGGCCATATCGCCGACGAGCACTGCCCAGCAGCGCGCCTGCGAGGACCGGCCGGCCGGCTCGTCCGAGCCCTACGCGTCCGAGTCGATTTTCGAACAATCGCCGAAGCAGTCATAATGTTGGCTTGAAGTAGTCAAACGAGTAGTGACCTTTTAGGATCCGAGCCCAACGCTCAATCTAAATGGCTTTTTTCAGGGTATCCCGCGTGGCTGCGCAGCCGATTTGTCTCCTCATCCTTAATCCCGCCGATTCATTCAAGAAGAACCATTTATTAAACTGTTTCGCGAACCGGTAAACTGAATAAAGCACAATTTCACTACGATCACATTTTGAAAGACATAAAACAAATTATCAGCTGCAAAGTGTGCAGTTACAACATAACCAACAGAACAAATAACCGGATATGTGGCCAGTGAGATCAAGAAATGGAAACAAAAACAACTTATGTGTGCAAGGTGAGAAACAAGAAGGAAGGCTACTGTTCGGCAAGCAAATCGGCCAGCGTGCTCTTCAGCGTCGGGTCGGATTGCAGATCGGCGGCGATTCTGAAAGCGAATTGGGGGAATTTTTGAATTTCTCACTTTCGAATCGGCTCGTCGTGATCCTGGAGCAAGGAGCGGGCCCTTGAATAGTGCGTCGTGCCGTAGAGAAGACACGCCCGCACGACGGCTTCGCGTTGTTCGGCCGAGCCGGCGCGCCGCTCGCAGAGGTGACGCTGAAAAATTAGAATAAAAAAGTCAGCCTGATTTACCTCTGCGAAGGCAATGATTACGGAGAGCAGCGCCTCCACGTGGTCCAGGCTGCTCGCCTCGACCTTCGGGACGAGCACGAAGATGGCGCGTATCGCGAACGCGACCAGAAGCCTTAATTCAGGATTTTCAGGAAGGAGTAAAAAATTTACATTGAATTCTTGTCGCGCATCTGCCGCGAATTCATCGACACGTGCTCGGCGAGAAGTCGGGAGAGTACGCCGAGGTGCCTAAAATGAAATTAAAACTTTGAGATATCCCTCACCGTTCCATCGACTTCGGATGACTCTTCAGCCAGCTTTCGAGCTGTGCGAGGGCGCGCTCGATTTTCGCGGGATCTTCGTCCTGAAAAAGATCATATTTGGCTAATTTAGAAAAATCGCACTGTGAACACAACGTTCAACGTCTGCGTCATCATCACGTCGGCCTCCTTCATTCGCCAGTGCTGGCCCTGGATGGCGACATAGCCGACGGCCCAGTCGGCCTTGACGCCTGTAAAAGACCAGTAAAATTCTCTAGACTGAAGAAAATAGCAAGAAAGCTCTAAAAACTTACATGGAAAATTTCTGGTGAGCCCGTTGACAAACTTCTGCAGCTGCTCAAAGCGGGCCCGATCGTATATGACGGCCTTCGTTTGGTCGACAAAGCTTTGGACGAGCGGGCGGAGGACCGGGAAGCCGAGGGCGGTCACCTGTAAAAAAAATAATATTCCAACGTTCAGAAAACTAGAAAAACTACAAACTAAAGAATACTCACCAGCGCATCAATCATCAGCACGGCGGCCTCTTCCCGGATCGGGTCCTCGACAACGGCAGCGCAGACGTAGTGAGCAAGCACTTTTAACTATAGCAAAAATATTTCAAAACTTTTTGCTTTACCTGTGCATCGGTCATCTCCTTGAACATGGCCACCTTGCCCTCGCAGGCGCAGTAGGAGAAGAGCCCGAAAACCGAGCCGGCGTTCAGCCTGAAAACATGATGCTTAAGAAAATTTCCGGAAGCATACTTTGGATCGTAACTGGAGCTCAGGTATCGCATCACCGTTTCCAGCGTTTCCGGGGTGACCGAGTGGGCGAGTTTTACGCACAGAGAAGTGACGGCGGAGCTAGAAAGACCATAATAATCCGAAAATACGCACAACGCCTACTGTTTTGCAGTGAAAAGTGAGCGCGTCTGCTGGACAATATAAGGGCCCGGCTCGATAATTTCCGGTCTCCGCGCGACGTAGAGATTGATAGTCCTAAAAATTAACACGTTCTAAAAGCCGTAAGAAACTACCTCGCCGCTTCCGCGGCCGACATCCCGTCCATCTCGGCCATGTTCTCGAGCATTTGATCGGCCGATGACATTTCGCCCTGAATTAAAGATCGTAATTGACTAACTATAGCTGTAAAATACCTAAATTAAAATCCTACCATTTCACTAGTGGCATCCACACTCGACGACGTCACCTTCACGCCCCTCGACGCAAACTGAACAAGGAGGTCGGCGACCGGCTTCGACGGCTTGGCCCCCTTGAGCACCTTCTTAGCCCATTGCGTCAGCCGCGTTCGCACCGTTGAATGCTAAAACACGAAAAATACAAACGTTTTCAAGAAGCCCAAACCCGTTCAGAAGCTTGAGAGAGGACGAGCATGGCTTCGAAAAAGGAGTCTGGGTGGTCGAGTAGGTACTAAAAATTCGCTTTTTGATAATTTACGAGTTGAGCTGACCTTTAAATTGCTTTCAACAAACTCCATACACGACAGCGTCAGCTTCTCGCACTTGCACATGCAGATGACATCGTCGATGCCGATTTCCAGCTCACTAAACGTGGAACATTTTTAATTTGTCGTAAAATTAATAATACTATCAATAACGATAATAAAAGCCCATACCTATTTTTGGATATCGCCGACTTCAGCCTGGCCGTCAACTCCTTCGGCGTTACTTCGGGGGCCTTTGGGACGGGCATGGCCAACATCTCCGGCAACGGCTCCAGCGTCAGTAGCTAAAGAATTTTATAATAGTAAATTTCTGATCCTTACATCCATCGAGTCCTCCTTTGTCGCGGTCTGTCGTCGCTGAGCTTCTTCGACAAAATCGGCTCCACCCGTGGCGCCCCGATGGCGGTAGCCGATCGCGAACGGAAGGGCGCTGACGACTGCGCGTTGTTCGACTGAAAACAATTTGAACATTTCCAATTTGTTGGGCAGACCTTTATTCTGGTCGAGTTTGTCGAGCATGGTCAACAGCCGGGAGGCGCAGTGCAGCGCCAGACCGAAGCGTTGCAGCAAGGTCAGCGCCGTCTCGGGCGTCAGACCCGCAAGGGCTACCTGAAAAAAAACCCTATTTTTAGCAGTAAAAAATCCTCACATTCACAATCCGCTCGTCGTCGGTGCATAGCATTTGGGCGACGATGTTGTCCGCCAGGACGTTGACCGGCTCGCCGTTGCAGGTCACCGTCAGCTTGGCATTTCCCTAGAAACTGATCAATCAAAAATTCGCTAAAAGCAACCTTTGGAAACCAAATATCCATCATCTCGCTTCGCGCCGCCGAGCCCTCAGTGCCTGAAGTTGTGCAGAGAAGTTCAAGCTGGGCGGCCACGACTTCAGGGTCCGCCAAGAGCTCTCCTTTCTTGAGCTTGATGTGATAGGTGGACGGCTTGGCCTCCTTCAAGCCGTTGCTGACCACAAACTTGTTGTACCTAAAAAGCTAGTTCCCAAATTCGGAATTTAAGTGTTACGTGTTGAAGAAGTCGAGCAACGGCGGCCTCAGCTCCGGCTCCTGGATGTAGGGCATTGACGCTAGATCCCTTGCTAACTAAAAATATATAGATACTTCGTAAAACGCTATTATAGCCAACCTCCGCCAAGTCGTCGCCAAGCTCCAATCGTTCGGAGAGGAGCTGCAGGTAGACGAGCGCGTACAACGGGCTGTTTTCGAATTTGCACGCTTTGGCGAGCAGGCCGCAAATTTGGACCCTGTCCTTCTTGAAGTAGGGGTCGGCGCCAACGGCCGCCAGAAAGTGTGGTGCAGGGTCGGCCCACTTCGCCTGTTCTGCGCAGTATATTCGATTCAGGATCTGGATCACGGGCGTGCGCCGCGTCGACTCGTGGGTGGCCAACTTGCCGAGGAGTAGCAATAGAAGTTCATTGCCCGAAGTGAGGCTCTCGGTCAGTCGATCGAAAATCATGTTGTTTCGCTCGACTTCCTCGGCTCCAGCATGCGGCTTGACGGCGACGTGTTGCACGATGAGGTACTCGCAGAGGGAGGCGATCGGCAGCGTCGTCACGGCGTTCACGTCATTGCTGAGCGCGTTCTGAAAAGAACCATTAAAAAAACTCTGAAAATGCTCGTACCGAAATCGCAAACATCGCACTGTCCGTGCCGCACTCGTTGATCAGCTCCTGCAGCAGCTCCGGCTCCCGGATGTTCGCCAACTGGATGCCGATGTTGTGCGAGCTGCACAGGATGGCCAGCGAGTGGATCCAGTCTTCAGGTGGGGTGCGGGGCGTGTCGCCATGGGGCGCGTAGATGAGCAGCGGGGCCAGCTGGCTGTTCTCCAGCGTCAAGTTGAGGCGGCCGGTGCTCTTGCGCTCGACGGAGAGGGCCAATTCATCACCCGTCTTCCGAAGATCGGGCTCGCCGGCGAAGATTTTGTCGAGGGCGAATTGAGGGAATTTGAAGTCCCTGAAAAAAAGGTATTTTTCTGGATGCAAGATTTTCTGGCCGTTTTTCTAGCTTTTTTAATTTTAACCACAAAGTTAAAAAATTTTTGAAACATTCTAATAAACTTCACGAACAGTTTACGCCAAAAAACGCACGTAACATGCAATCAAAACGAGAACAATGATAAATCATATCTCCCGCTAACAAACCAGCACCGGAAAAAAAACTAAAACTTACTCAGTCAGCGCCATCAGGATCAGAAGCCTGATGACAGCGTACTTGTCGTGGGCGAGCTTCAGAACGCTCGGCGCGTGGCCAAATGCGGCCCAGATGAACACGTTGCCGACCACTTTCCAGTACAGATCTGCCGTGTACAGATCTTTCGACTCATCCGCCAAGCTGTGCCTTGATGTGTAGCGCGCCAGCCCGAACATTAGGTCGATCAGGAACTCGCTCGTCTCGTCGATGAAGGCGATCATTTTATCTAGACAATATAGACTACTTTTCCTCTAATATAATATCAAAATACGCCATCTTTTCAAGCTTCTCTGCGCTATTTCAAGCCGTTTAGAGCGCTCAAAATCGTCAATTTTAGCCTGAAGTTAAACCAATTTAGATATTTTTCAGTTTCAAAATAGTCAATCTTTGTCCCAGCGTGAGATAACAAGAAACCAAATCCAACCGGCATTGGTGAAGTACTTGACCAGCCGCATCGTCATCAGGGTCACCATCTCCAGCCGGTCTATCGAGTCCACGTTGTCGTCGAGCATCAGCTTGATCAGCAACGGCGCCGTAGGGTGCACTTCGGAGATTATCTTGTAGCACGGCGTCCAGTCGGACTCGCTCGGGCCGCCATCGGTTTTGAGGAGATGAACGCCCTAGAACCAAAAACATAGTCGTTACAATGCTACAACACCTTATCCAAGAATAGGATCTGATACATGGCCGACACATAGAGCTTCTTCTCCTCCTCCGCCGTCCCAATGGCCAGCTTGTAGCGTTCGAGCCATCTAAAATGATTTTACGGCTTCTGCTGAATTGCTTACACCAATCCATGCATAAAGTACGCGTTCAGCTCGGCAGAAAAACGATTGTACAGCAGCTGGTTGAAAATGGCGCCCTGACGACGTTTCGAAAATTCCTCGCGCACCTCAAAAAATTTTTTCTTTGAAAATTGAGCGCACCTGCTGCGACATGGCCGTCCAAACGACGTTACTGCAGAATGGGATAGTCGAGGTGAGGATTTGCTGTTGCTAAAATATCTTTCCAATTTTATCGCACGCAAAAATACCTCAAAAGCCTCTCCAGACTCCATTCTATCGGCATAACCCTGCAGAAACGCCTCCAGGAAGGGCGGGAAGCTGAACTCGTTGCGGAGGTGGGACCTGGATACCTTCGGTTTTGAAAAAAACAACTTTGATACCTGGCAAATTCGCGGAGGAACAGTGAGAGGGCGCGGAGCATTTCCGGCTTGTCGAAGAGGATGCGGGCTAATTCTTGAGCCAGGATCTAGAAAAACAGTTTGAAACGCTAGAAAATTCGTGTATTACCTTCATATAACTTGCATTGTTCAGCGAGATTATTGCCAGCAAGATGGGCAAGTTGTGAGTGGCTCTGAAAACTCACACTTTGATGAAAATCGCAATTTTTGGCATATCAAAAATTCGATAAAATCCCACCTCTCATGCGGCTGCCCCAGCTCATTCCAAACTATCAAATTGATCGCCGTCCGCATGTTGGCTTCATTGCTTGACAGCGCGCCAAGAAAGCCGAGAAACACCGTCTGCACCTGCTTGCTCTTCAGGCTCTTCATCTTGAGCAACGTTCGCAGCACCTCGTTGTCGGTGGGATCCTAAAAATTGGTTTTGAAAGGCCCAGAAAATCTTACGGTAGCATCGGCAATATTGGCTCCAACACGCAGTAGAAGCTCAAAAGCCTGACGAAGCGTCTTCGGGTTTTGTAGCCAAGCGTCGAGACGTTGAGCAGCGGCTAGCCGTACTTCCGGGACGCCTAAAAATTACGTTTTTAGAAATACAAGCTCAGCCGTACCGCAAAACGCCGCCATTGTACGAAGAAAAGGCCGAGCTGGGGTGTCGCTCTTCAGCTCCCACCAACGACGAAGGTACTAAAAACGTCAATTTTTCTTGTGTATAAAAATACCGTAAGCACATCTTCAGTAATATTGACACGTAGTGGCGGTAGAGCGGCTTCTATTGCAGCTTCATCAACGTCTAAATAGAAAAGTTGTAATCAAAAAAGAGCAGCTTACCACCACCCGCTTCTTGGGCCTTCTTTTTCTGTTGTACGCGCAGTCGATCTCGTTCAGCCTCCCCGATTCCCTCAACGTTTGCCGGGAATTTGTCGGGGACATTCTAAAGCAGAAAAATAGTGGAAAATAAAGTTAACCTACAGTATCCGGGGTCCAATCCGGCGCTACAACTTCTCCATTTGTCAGCTTGTAAGCGGCCGCGTCCGGGAAGCGCGTGTTGAAGCGCTTCAGGATGAGAGAGACGAGTTCAGCACAATGGCTCTGAATCAAAAACTTACGACGAAAAATTACTTTTTTACCTTATCAACCCAATTTCTGTCGCCCAGACAATCCGATAAAAAGGCTTGGGCATAGATGTTGTGGAGCTGTTGTTGATGCTACAAATAGGTATTGATAAAAGTTTCTTTTCAATAAACCATGGCCAATCTGGTAGGGATCGAGGCGAGTATCTTCTGCTTCTCAACGCTCCAGCCTTTCGATTGAGCCAGAGCCCAGAAGCACACTTTTGGCAAGTAGGGGTTCTAAAATACTTTATCAAGCTTCAGACAAAAGCTACTGACCGTCAACTTCTGTGAGTTCTCCGCAATAACAAGGACTATGTTCGCGAACGCGCCGGCATCAAGCGACACCTTGCTGGTGACTTGAAATTCTTTAAAAATTCGCAGAAAGTAGGCCACGATCAGACGGCAGACCTAGATTAACAATTAGATATGAGAAGCCTCTCTAACCTTGTTGTACTTGCCCTCGTTGACCGAGGTGTTGAGCAGCTCCTTGAACTCCTCGTCGTTCAACTAAAAGGTATCCGTATTCAGCGAATTCAAAATACCTCGTCACATTTGGCTTTTACCCCAAAAGCTCGAAGCTCTTCGTATTCTATCGTTGGGCGTAGCAGCTCGGTGTTATTCGCTTAAAACCCAGAACTATGATGATTTTTTAGGAGACTCACAGCTCGAGCCGGATGCCGAAGAGGTAGCCAAGTCTGTGGCATCGTCTGTTTTCGGCTTCTTACTAGCGTTGATTCCAGCAGCGGCCTAAAGACATTAACTAAAAAAAACTGTGTAAAAACTGACCTGGGCCAGCGGTCTCTTGTTGTAAACCGCGTTTATCGAGGGCAACGGCTTGATGGCAAGGTCCTGGGGGCACATCGTGCCCGCGGGCAGGGGCTTCTTGACCCGTTTTGACAGGCCGCTCATCCCTGTAAAGGCAATTTTTGTAATATTTTGTAGTTTTTACAGCGATTTTAGAAAGTTATAGAAAAGAAAGTTTCAAGCCGGCTAGCCGGCGATTTTCGGGTCGACAGCGAGTGGCTCCTATCGACGACGGTTTGAGATTTCCGCCCCGTAACTGGTTATTCAAAAAAATAAAAATAAGTAAAATAATAATTCATGAAGAATTTCTTGACTCTCCCATCGATTCCAAGGTAAAAAAGAAGATCGCAAGCTACTTTTAGCATCACTACTTTCCAAAATTCCGGAAAACAAAAGCTTTACCACGAGAGGGATTCGAACCCCCGCTCCCCTTCCGAGGAAACCAGTCTTAACTCCGGCCGCCTTTGACCACTCGGCCATCGTGGTGTTTATATTTTAACCGTCCTTTTCTTTTATACCCCCCTCTTTCTCAGTGAGCCAGGTGGGCTCCAGATGCTCGAAAATTTTCAGAAATCTTTGTTTTCTCAATTGCAGGCTCAAAAATGGTGCCAAAACGTCTGCCCGCAAGCCGCACCGGAAGCGGAAATCAATTTAGGTAACTTAACATTTACATCCTCATATAAAAGCCGTGCAGATCCCTGAAAATGCTCTACATTCTCCCCCACCCCGCCTCGTCCGGTCGGGCTGCAATAACGGTAAGATATTTTATTCATATGCAAAATGCAAATTTCTAATTTTTAGACGATCGACAATGGGCGGCACGTCGCGGAGCAAGTCGCCCTCGCCAAAGAAGAAGAGCACCGACCTCGAGAAGCAGAGCTGGTACCACGGGATGCGGCCCCGGAAGGAGTGCGAGTGAGTGAGAATGAGTTGGATTGTAGAGAATTCATTCTTTTAGGGCGCTGCTGAACGAGAAGGGCGATTGGCTGGTGCGGGCCACCGACAACGACAACGAGGGCCGGCTATCGGTAGTGCTCACCGTGCTCGACCAGAAGCGTGTGGCCAAGCACCTGATCATCACGTTGGTGGAGTTTGAGCTTCGAGGAGTCTGGGGAAAGCTTTAAATTATAATAATAACTAGATAGCCTTAATACATATAACCCATTTTCATACCATTTCAAAGGGATTTAGATGTAAAAAAGCGCATCCTCAGCGCGAAATATTTTTGACTTTTGAGTGAAAAAGATACGAAAAATGTCCCCCAAAATGTCAAAATTTTCAAATTTTCAAAATCTAGAAACTTGATGGTTCTTTAGGAATAGAAAAACTACTAAAACTACAAAATACCTTTTTGCCAGGTATAGGCGGAAAGGGAAACCCCTCATTAAACGACAAACACCAATTTTTATTCCAGTAAAAACGAGAAGAACCGCTTTATCCTGTCCGCCCTCAAGGAAAAGGACCGGGTGCAGTTCGACACGGTGGCCGAGCTGATCGCCTATTATCAGGTATCAGATTTCGTATTGAAAACATCTTTTTTTCAGAAAAAGGGCGGCATCGGCGCGATCAAAATGGGCAGCCCGAAAAACCGGCCGACGTGGATGATCAAGCACGAGCAGGTGACCTTCGATGAGAACAAGGTGAGGAATAGCGCATTATCAAAGCTGTTGTGGCTCAGGACAAGCTCGGCAGCGGCAATTACTGCGTCGTCTACAAGGGCATTTACAAGGAGGAGCAGCGGGTGACAAATGTCGCTGTGAAGGTGGGCATTTTGAAAGGAGCAATAATAAACACTTTTTAGGTTTGCCTGCAACTGGACGAGGAGCGCAAGCCGGACCAGATCACGGCGGAGCGGCAGAGCATGCTGCGCGAGGCCGAACTGCTCGCCAGCTACGCGCACGAAAATGTCATCCAGGTCCGTTGCTTTTTTTTATAGAAATAGATTGAGAATAGTAACGGGCCCTAGGTTGTTCTGTAACTTTTCAAGACTCACTTCTCTTCTCTTGGTTTCTAATTTGCCGAAGAATTAATTGCCGAAGAAGACCAAAATTTCAACTAAAGATTTTTTCTAGGTTCTTTTTATTGTTTTGCCACTGGATATATAGTGAAACTCCCCCCCCGATGATGCAAAAGAACCCCAAATAAATGATTTTTTTAGCTCTACGGTGTCGCCGCCGACCATCCGCCAGTGCAGATCGTGCTGGAGTACTGCCCGGGCGGCAGTCTCGACAAGCATCTCCAGGAATATCGCGACAAGATTGAGACCGCGGAGCGGCTCCTCTACATGAAAGACGTGGGCTTAATTTGCTTGATAATACTACGATAATTTTGTAGGCTGCCCGAGGCATGAGCTACCTGCACGAGAAGGGCTGCATCCATCGCGACATCGCTTCGAGGAACTGCCTGATCGCCGAGTCGGGCCTGATCAAAATCGCCGACTTCGGGCTGTCGAAACTGATCGCCAAGACGGAGAAGGAGGCGGATCCGGAGACCGGCATGGGATTTCCGGTTCGGTAAGGATCCAGTTTTTCTACTATAAATATAGGTTTTCTAAGCGTTTCTAAACGTTTTTACTATACGAAACGTAAAACGTTTACAAATCTGCCTAAAAATACAACAAAATATGGATTTTTCGACAAAAAAGACCGATTGCCCACCCAAGTTACAACTAAAAGTTTCCAATTTTTTTAAAAAATCGGTTTTGCGCTTGAAATAGAGTTACATTTTACGAAAAACACTCTGAAAATATTAACTACGGAGTTCTGATAATTTTTCTATATCTCCTTTTAGTTGGATGGCCCCGGAGAGTCTGCAGAAGAAGCGCGAATACTCGACGAAATCGGACGTCTGGAGCTACGGGGTGGTAGGTTTTGCTTTTTTTGCGGCTCGAATTACCTGTTACAGATGGTCTACGAGACGTTCAACAACGGCAACAAGCCGTGGCCCGACTGGGAGACGAAGAAAATCGCCACGCACATCCGGAAGGGCCGGATGCCCGAGCTCCCCGACACGATCCCCAGCGAGTTGCGCGACTATCTGAAGACGAAAATCTGGTAGATGAACTTTCGGGTGAATTTGCTACTTTGCTTTTTACAGGAACGTGGACCCGGAGAAGCGCGTCGACATGGACGCGGTGTGCAAGAAGGTCGAGGAGGCGAGCAGGGTCGTCGGCCGCCCGCTGCGCCCCGTCATCAAGCGCCAGACGAAGGGCGGCAGCAAGGACAAGGGCACCCGGAACCAGGAGAGCACCAGCTCTGTGGCTGTACGTTTTGAACTTGTTGAAGTTCTATGATTCTAAACCTCATAGCAAGTCTTCTTATTAAAATTTAGCTAGGTTTCAGATGGAAAGCTTTTTGGAGCACGTCGGAAACTTTCAGAAATCTGAATTAACGAAAATCGATATTTGTGGTTTTAATAAATTTGGTAAGGTTTTTGACTTGTCGGAATAGAAAATATAATTTAGAAACACGAAAATGGGAAGGCTAAAAAGAATATCCCGGAAAAAACTATAAAAACTATTGTTTTTCAGGACTAAGCGCAACCCGTCGTCACCTTCTTACATCTACTTTAAAGGTATTTCTTTTTCCGTGTAAAAGATTTCTTTTTCTTTTTCAGGAAGCCCAGCGACTTCTCCTCGCTCGTGCCCTCGCCCAGAAGCTGCCCGCCCGTCAATTTTATGCTAAACGTCTTCGATCTACAAACAAACATTCGTGCCCCCTGTATTATTAAGTATCGCCTTGCTGCGGGAATAAAAAATTGCTTGATGCGGTGGTGCAAACAAATGAAGCAAAATAACACAGCGTGTGCACGGCACGCGACATTTGTGAAATGTTGCACCATTCCTGGTGCCGAAGCCGGGACATTGCCTCGAAGAATGGAATTGGTAACTCGGCGACCGGGTTTTATCCGCCCAAATTCCCCTCTTGGCCCTGGAGACGGCTCTGGGTTTTAGGTTTTTTACTGGCCAAAAAGCCGTTATGATGAGTGCTGAAATTGGAATTGTCGCTCTATTATTGCTTCATCGAGTTGATAGCCAGTTTGCTGATGTTTTCTACGCGGCGCCGTGCAACGTTTCGCTGACGCCGGCGTGTATGAAATATTGCGTACAGGAAGCGGGATGTGATGCGTATAGCGATGGAGGAAATCAAGGTATATATTGTGAGTTTAGGAGATTTTTACCTTCGTTAGCTCATCGGTTTTGATCTATGATGGTAAAGAACCTTGAAAAGCTCGGAATTTCAAGAATTGACCAATACTGTAAAGCTCGATTTCTATGTTAAAACATGAAAATGAACGATTAGAAAACATAGAGCTTGCAAAACACTTTAGAAAGTTGCTATTTTGATGGAGCTTCACATGACGACACTCAAATCGTCACGCTCAAACGAAATGTTTCAATTTCCAGCCTAGACATGTCGAAATGCAGCTATCTTTGCGCGCGTGGGTCAAAGACGCGGAAAAATGTAGTGTTTTGCTTCAGCTTGTGTGTTTGATCCTCCAGATCAATCGATAAATGGTGTAAAATCGGCCATTAACAAAACTTGCACTCCGTATGAAGTGAATTATCAATATGTGGTGTCGAATGAAGTGAGTTTTCAAGAAATCGGCGCTTTTTTAGAGCCCTATGGTTTTAGGGAGATGGTACAACACCGTCGTCATATCTCAACCTATTCCTGGGCGTTCATTGCCCGGCCATCGGTTGCTGGGCTATGCAGACCCAAGAAGCGATGAGTTTTGCGCAGAGTAGGTCATCAAAAAAAAAATAAAAAAATCATCAAATCTCGGGCAGAAATTTGATAATCTGTTTTTAGAAGTGCTACAGGGCTCCGGGCTCGGTGATAGCCCGTTTTTCACCGGAATCACCTACAACATCACGAGTCGGGCTTTTGCAAATGGCTGTGCGGCTACGGCTTCCTATCAAGATTTTCTTGGCGACGTTGCTTCGGCAGTAACCGGGCCTGATTGGGAGTTGTATTGTCATTATGTAAGTCGTAAGGACTACCTGGTAGCTTTTTCTACCCGTACGTACAGACCAAAATGAAAATAAGGTTTTCAGATAACCGGCACTACGAGCCAATTTACGAATTGTCAGGAGGTCGAGTTTGCTTCCAGCGGGCCCGTGAATTTGTTCGGGAAGATATGTATGATAGAAACATTGGCGGCAAGTGCTCCATCATGCGAAAGCATTCCGGATCTGGTTGTGACATAAATAAAGCAATTCTTAAGCCGCTTTACACGGGGCTTTCTGACCTAGAAAAATTTAAAATTTTCTTACGGGACTTTTTGAGTAACTGTCTTCCAAAATTACTTACAAAATAACACTTAGTAGAATCAGAAGTCAACAAAAAGCTTGACTATTGAAATTCTGAGCCCTGTAAGCTCGTCAAAACACCCCTTCCGCTTCTCCATTAACTACCCCAGGCGATTCCCCATCTGTGCCCGGTGACTGCCCAACGCTTCCACCTTTCGCGTTTCGACGCCCCCTTCTCGGATTTCCGGTTCCGCGCCGTCCGCGGGTCCCTCGGTGGTGCTGTTGGAAGGAGGGAGACGCCCCGGGTGTCCCACAAAAAATGGCCACATTCACGCCCCGAAGCGGGCAAACCCGCGTTCCGCACGGCTCCGTACGTTTTCCGCACCTTCTTTCTCTGGCCTCCGACAAATTTAGCCGCGCCCCGGATTACGCGCCGTCGTTTGGCGCGTGTGTTTCGGTGATACCGAACCAACGTCTGCTTTTCGGTTTCGTTTTTAAATTCTTGTTGTTATTTAGGTGGTTTTCTTCGTAGATATCACCTGGAATTCTGAATTTTACATATAAAAGCTAGCTTCTAAATCGCTTAAAAGAAAGCAAATTTCGGCTTCTGTTTTGAAGACGGTTGAATTTGATCGGCTTCCGCTTTCTTCGTTCCTAATATTTAGTTCTACGTTGCTTTTAGCTCTTATAGTGTATTAATTAGACCAACCTCCCGGAATGGCGAATTTCCTGCGAGCCCTCCTATTTTTCTGCACATCGGCCGTTTTTGCCGCCCAGGAGCATCCGCGAGCCATTGTAATCCACACAGTTAAACTTTTTTAAAAAGGTTTTAGCGAAGCGCCACGATTTTGGTAGACGATACCTCGAACGTAATCAAGGGTAAGTTTAACAGGACGCATGTAAGCTGAAAACAAACGAAAACCTCTGCAGATTTTATAAACGGCGTCCACCCCGGGCTGCTGGTCATCGTCGGGTTATTGATATTTGCTGGCTGTGGATTTGAATTGGCTTATGGTAAGGATTTTACCACTCGAAATCAAAAATAAGCTTTGGAACGTAACACCGAGGTGTCAGGAAGCTTCCATGTGGTTTTTGGCCAAAAAAGCAAAAAGTCTGATGAGAGTGGGATTCGAACCCACGCCTCCGGAGAGACTGGTGCCTTAAACCAGCGCCTTAGACCACTCGGCCATCTCACCGTGGGGGCATGGCGCTGGAGAGGGGTTATCTCCCGCCAGTCGCAGGTCTCTGCGGTGCGCCCAATATTTCGCTGGCGGAAAAGGGTCAGTCAGGCCAGGCAGGGGCCCGAGAGAGCAGCCAGCTCATTTTTGTGCGAATTTTTGGGGATTGTGAGCTAATAATTTCTTAAAAATAAACATAATAATATGGTTAATATATTTCAAAACTCAGCTTATAATGATATCACCACAAGACCACAAAAATCGGATCTGTATGCCTTGAAATCTCACATTTCTTCAGCATAAAGCTTTTGGCTAAATCCTTCAAAATTCAAAAAAATATAATTAATATTTTATAAACTTTATAGTGCAATAATAACGTCCTAGAAAGAGCCAACTATCCCCCAAAATAGCCGGAAGCTTTGAGCATTCAGTTATTTTCGTCGAAAATATGTTTCTTGGGAAAATTGAAAATACTTGTAAATGTAAAATTAGCATGATAAGAATTTTTTAAGGTATGGACATTGCTTTTTCGCTCCCTATCCCCCAAATACGTCACGACTCCCAGCAATTTGTCGCGCCAAGATTCGTCAAACATTCGTAGCGAAATGTGATCCGCGCCACCACTCGGCAGCGACGGTTTTTCCGTTTTTCCGCGTGCACGGGTCCGCGGAAGGCGTTGCCGGACGCGCAGAAAAAGTGCGACTGAGACGAATTGTTTGCACGCGGCAGCAAATTGGTGGGGGCCGTGGTCCGCGGCGGGGATCCGTTGTCTTACCCGGGCAGACGATATGTCTGGCTGTCAGGATGGGGAATTCTGGATGCGGAAAAGTAAGCCTGGCCCGATTTTAAAATACTACGTCGTTATTTGGCCAAATTCTATGGCAAAAAAATTAATCAACAGTATTTTTTCGGCTAGAAAATCTTGTTTTTTTCAAGTTGTTTTTCGTTTTCCAGGGGGTTCCGAACCCGGAAAGGGGATTCTTGAACGTTTCTAAACCAGATGGTTACAGTCGCTTCGCGACTGCAACCATCTGGCCTTCAGGCTACCCTACATGTCCCACTCCATCACATCCTTTCCCACCTCCATCAATACCCCCCATGGCTGAAATCCCCGTCAAAAACTACCTAAATACCTTCCCGATGGTTTAAGATACCTCCCCTAGCCGAAATCCCCTTCTAAAACAAAAATAACGACCGACCGAATGGAATGAGAGAGAAAAAAAGAAATGAAATCCCCGTGAAATTTTTCAGCCACGAAACGCGCGTCACCTGGCTCACTATGTCCAAAATCAGCCCAACCTCCGCCCCCTTTACTAAGGAAAAACTTTCAAAGTTAATTTTAATAATTTAAACAAAAACTTTTTCATAATTTTTTTTATCAGTTTGGGGGTTTCTGACCACGCTCTATCCGAATCCGAAGAGAGCTAAGGTCTAGCTCTTTTCCCCTTCGAGTTGAATTCGGGACCGGACAGACGGACAGACGGACAGACACCACAACTTTTTTATTATAGTTGATTAGTAAATCGTTATTTAGCCTGAATTTTACATCAAGAATTCGCTAAACATTACTTTTTGGGATAGAAAACTTCGTTTTTTGCTAGTTCTCGCGCTCAAATTTAATTTATTTTTGGCAAAATGATAATTCTAGGGCTAAAATTAAGTACCTGGCCAGCTAGCAAACATCCCTATGAAATTCATGACATGCTCAAAAAACTTAATCATCGCGAAATGTAAAAGATCTGAACAAAGTAAGCGTTAAATTTTGGTTTTTCGGCGTGGAAAAGACTATTTTCAAATTTTCCGGTTGAAAATCAATTTATTTTAGAGCCCATTAACTCTTCTAAGCTTGAAATGAAGCTGCGGCAAGCTAGCAAACTCCCTTCGGGATTTGACTCTTTGACGAAAGCCTTTCAAAATCTGATCTTCAGGCAGCCGCGGCTCTTCCGGTCGTCAGGTGACCCACGTGGCCAGCCGAAATAACATCAAAAACGCCAAGGATTTCCAGATGGCATGAATTCATCATTCTAAATCCAAAACAACCCAAAATGATTAAAATTATCGACTTTTTGGCCTCATCATATCATAGAATATTCCAATTCACACGTGTACTTGTCCCAAAAATTGCATTTTTTTTGTTTTACACGAATTTTCAAAGTTTTTAATAAAGTTTTTACGATCTTTTAATACAACTTCCGGTATTTTGTAAACTTTATTAAACACAAAAACAACATATTTATTGAAAAACATACCCATCAAATCATTTTTGTGATACTACGTATAGCAGCGCGGTGTTTCGGTTTGTAGCCCGATTCGGGCCAGGGAAAGACACGGTTTTTGACAGACAAACAGCTTTTAAAGGGACATGGAAGGATCAGCATAAATGTACACGACATGTAAAGTGGAAAAAATCGTGAAGAAAAGCTCAAGGAACGTACAAGGCATTGTAAGGCGTATTTTTCATCGTAAAGAAATGGCTTTGGTCGTGGAAATGACCAGATTCCGCTCGATGAAGTCTAGAACGGTAGAAAAGGAGAAATTAAATTGTTTAAGGAAGAAAGATCCTTTTAAAGATTATTCATTAGCCTTAATCGGCCTTCCCCCATTTGCTGACGCCATAATGTTCCTAATGACGATGTAGATACAGTAGAAGTGGCAAATGTTGACCAGGATCATCGCGCAACGATACGCGGTGAACGTGAACATTCGACGGATGTTTTCGCTGGAATTTGGGAGGTTTATACTTTTGTGAAAGCTATTGACACGATGTAATCGATTGATTTCTGTGCGCCATTCGCGCTTTTCCCTGATATCACTTTTTCCGTACCTTACTTCCTCTTAACACCCCCGTGAAACTTGATCCCCACCTCAAAATAGCCCTTAGCAAGTAAGTGGTGGGCGTTATTGTCAAAACTGGCCTCCCGGAAAAGACGTGCGAAGCGAGAGGTGTTTCGCAAGGCTGGTCACTGTTTTTTAGCGTTCTTTTTCGGCGATTTGTCTGCTGGAGGGAAGGCGGAAAGCGTTGGAATTTGGGGTGTGAGGGCGACAACTGTCGCACCCACACTCGCCTTCTCTACATACGCAATCATTGACCTCTTGCCCTCTAGCAGGACCACGGCTTGTCAAGCGATAAATTCCATGTTTTCGGGTGATCGCGTAAAAGCCAGACACCAATTGCAATACACCAAAGGTTGAAAAGGAGGAATTTTGAATTTTTAAGCGCCTATCAAAGTTGGGGCACTGTTTCGTTAGCGGGTGGGGGGTGGGTCAGGGCTAAAACCTTATTTTTCTTTTATTCAGCCTAACTTTTATTGTAATGCAAAGATAGACTATTTTAATAGTGTTCCGGGTAGAAAAATGAAGACGTGTACACAGCCCGGCTGGAGATTTCCTGTTACCCCCCCCCGGCCAACCCACCAGAACCAAAGTTTGAACCCACCGGCGATCATGCTTAGGGTTGCATGGCAGACAGGGCCAGAAAAACCGCAGCTTGCAGAACTTGATTATGCCCCAGGTGAGGGCTACCAGCTTGATCCACGAGGAGAAGAATACCGGATTCGCCAAGGACAGCCGGGGCTCGTTTGTGAAGAGGATGTTGAGTAATGTGGGCATTGGGACCTGAAAAGTCAACGAATTTAGCTAGATTTCTCTCTATCGCTCTCATTCTCTCCATCTCCCCCTCCGTCTCCCTCTCTCTCTCTCTTTCTCTCTCTATCTCTCTCTCTGTCTCTCAGTCTCTCTCGTTCTCTCTTCCCCTACTCTCTCTCTCTCTCTCTCTCTCTCTCTCTCTCTCTCTCTCTCTCTTGTCTTTCTCGCTCTCCCTGCCTCGCTTACGCTATTTTGTACGCTACTGTACTCTTCCCATTAAATCCACCCAAAAGTATCCTTGTTTACTCCCCCCTAAACACTTCCCGATAACTCGCTCCCCGTTTGCGTGGATGGGACACACTTTAGCCGGCCACCACCACCACGGCCCAGTCCAGCACCTTCCCCCTGCCTCTCCTTCCCTGCCCTGGGGCATGTGACGCCCGTAAGAAATGGCCGAAAAATGTGTGTGAGCGATTGTGGCGGCGCACACCGTCTCCTCGGCTGGGGTGGATTTTACTTTTTAGGGGAGGGGAGGAAGTTGGATATTGATTGGATTGAGGGGAAGAGCTGGAACACGAGGTGTCAGTCTCAAAAATCTAGAAAATCGCCGGTTGAAAGGGAATAGAAATTTACCCCCAAATTGACTAGATCCAGACACCTATAAGAGGTCGCGAAACCTGTTGACAATATAATTTTCTTGAGTATCCTAGAGCTTTTTTTATGGAAAAACCCGACTTTTAGGGCCACATTCTGTGTATCTTGGAGTGTCGCGTAGCTGTCGGCAGCTAGTCGAATGGAGCTGTGCATTTTCACGCTTTTGAGTATCTTAATACGATTTTAACGTTTTCGGTTTTGAAACGTAGAGATGCGCAGGGCAAACTGGCAAAGATCTCTTATTTCGAAGCAGTTTTTGGCGTAGCGCGTACCTGTCGAGACCTAGTCGAGGGCAGAGGTCGATTCTGGGGTTCATAATCTGTTTGAAATAAGTTTAAATTAACAAGCGCTGATATTCTCAAGGCAAGCTAGCAGAGACTCTTGCATTTTAATAGTTTTGGCTTTCCGACTGACTGCGTGCTGCTAATTTTTACGCCAATGTACGTTATTAAGTAATAGTAAACTAGTAAACAAGCCTTTGACTTGTGATTCACTATGCTTCTCCCCCAGCTGACCATAATAAAGTTGGAATGCGGGCCACGAGGCTGGAAATCTGTTGAATCCGGGGACCACACGCCTGGGCCCACACATTTTTGACAAAAAACCATGCGCCCGGGGCCCTGGGAGGGGAAAACGATGGGATTATTACGGGATTGCCGCTTGTCGGCTTTTGGCATGGACGAGCAGTGTAAACTGTCGGAAATTGGGGAATGTTCGGGAGTTGATTTTGAAATGGAAGGTGGAACATGGCCAGGAGGGGTGAGTCAGCTAAAATGTAGGAGTCGCACGATTTTCAACGCTTAAAAGTAGAAGAACAACGTAAATAGAAGTGATTACAGTTTTTAAATAGCATAACTAACATTGTAATATTGATAAAACGTGGAAAGATAAATTAACCGACCGATCGCAGAATTAATGAACACCGGATAGATTTTACGGGAAAAGCGGCTGTTGCACCCCCTTTAAAACCCGTACGCCGTCTCTAATAAACCCCTAAATCATCCCCAACCCTCGTAACTCTACCACCAAACTCATGGCCACACTTCACGTTTTTAGGTTCTGAAACTGCCCTTTTTTCAAGCACCGCACTGGCCACATTTTATGTGTGACCGGGAGGGGAATAAAAGACAAATGATGTCCCCTCAACGGCCATCAAATTTACGAAAAACACATGCCAAATCGACGTTGATAGAGAGAGAGGCAGAGAGAGAGAGAGAGAGTGAGAGAGAGATAGAGAGTCAGAGAAAGAGACAAAAACTGATTTGACGCTTTTTTTAATCTTATGAAAATCGAAATCTCACCTCTTCGAGCGCTAGCACCAGACTTTTTGCCAGCCGGGCCGTATACACGTTTTCTACTTCGTATTTTAACGATTGGCACACGTCAATCATCTGAAAAAATCGTATAAAATTATAGATCTCATCTATTAAACGATCGTTTCAAAATTTGCGAGCTATGACCCAATTATTAAAGTGTTTAAATAGTTGTGGACATTTTTCTTAGTTTTAGAAGTTAAGGATGATCTATTTAATAGTTTTAGCTTTTCAGAAAAATATATAGCAACGCTTTAAAGGTATTATTACTTCTTTTAGTTTTTTGAGCATTTTAGATGATAGATTTATAGCCTCACCTCAAAAATATATACAATCACCGAGACTCCGGCGAAGAAAAAGTACCCGTAGGCGGCGTAGATGGCTTTTTGTGATTGGAAATTCGGCAGGAATTCTGCTATTCTAAACTTTACAATATGACATATAAAATTTAGGATTCGTTACCTGTTACATACAAGAAAATCTGCCAACAAATCGAGGGTGGCTGCTAACAAAGTGACAATGGAAATTACCCGTAACGGTGGCGCCCATTCAAGGTTTTCTCTAAAAAATAAAAATTTAAGGTTTAAAATCGAAGAGTTTGTGAGGTTTTATACATTTAAAAAAATACTCTGGAAACTTACGCCGGTTTATCGTCGTCCAGAATTATTCGAATACCCATTTTCGACGTAGAAGGTGACGTGGAGGGAAAGCTAAATTAACGATTTTTGTGGTATTTTTATTTTTTTAACGTTTAAGGAAAGGTTTTGATCAATTATAACATTGAAAAAAAGGAAATAAACGATTTCAAGCGTGCTAAATTGCGTATATAGTTTTAAAAGCGTTTAATTAAATTAAGGCGCTCCAGCTCCAAATTGCACAGAAAATTATAAGAAGAATGATTTATTCGGAACTCGTTGTGGTTTATTGTTAGTTATTGCTAAAAAGTATCGCTCGACATTGAGCTCCAACCGATCAGCCTGAGCTCATCACCTTCTCAAAGGCTAATAAGGGCTTTAAGGTACCAGCTTCACGAGCTCGTTTTGTACCCCGAAAAGTTGATGCTCAAGCCTCAAATTACACGACGCTTCGAACAGATCGGAAAAGATCAGCCTCCCGAGCGTTATGACAAATTTTTGTACGAGCTCGACCGGGAAAAAGGACATTAGTCAGAGAGCCAGAGTACAAAAACCAGGAACAGCTCAAAAAGCTCGGCCTCAAATTATGAAATGAGCCCCAGGGGGCATGTTTGTGTCCAATGACTCATCAAACAGAGCAAGGGCCGGCGGGGAGGAGGAGGAGCTGGGGCTCAAAGAAGGGCCCACGCCCCCCTCAGGGCCCTAATCACTCTATTTCTCTGATCCTCACATTGTCTCTAACAAGAAAACATCGCACCCGTCTTGTCAATCACGATTTTTCGGATGTACCCGCCGGTTTTGAGGCCCCGGAAAAACAACAAGCTATCGATAAGCCGGTTTTGTTGTCTTTTGGTTGTCGGGTGTTTTAAAGGGACTGTGAAGGCAGGGCTTTGAATTTTAGGTATAGAAAAAGGGGACCAAATTTTGTAGGTCAGTATGGGGTTTGCCATCTTCATTTTCACGTTTTCTGAAGAATCTCTGCTAGTCTGCCACGTATTGGCGAAGTTGGATAATTTAGCATAAAAATAGCCGCAATTCGTAGTTCTTACTGAATTTGTAATTTTTAATTTTGGCGTTTCCTAGAGAATCTCTGCTAGTTTCCTGCTAATTTCAGTTCATTTAGTAGCATTTTCCCTATATATCTACTCTATTTTATTCGTTGCATTTCCAAGCTCTCTTGCCAGTAATTTGTAGTCTTTTGTAGTGCTTTTGTTGTAGTCCTGTAGTTTGTAGTCCGCTAGGTTTTTGTCACGAGGTCTTTCAATAAAAAAAAACTTTATTTCCAACCACACAACTCTTGTACATGCATTATACACGACAGATTGAAGAGAAAATGCCAGAATATCTGCCCGATTAAGTAGTTTTAATTGCTAAACTATGGAATTTAGTAGTTTTAATTTAACAATGTGACGAAATTAACGCTTATAGGTGAGATTGTGGGCTTGGGACTCCTTGAACTCGTCGAGGCGGATGAAGTAGCGGCGGCATCTGGAAGGGTTTTTCTTTTTCTTGTCCTCTTGTCTTGCTCTCTCTCTCTCTCTCTCTCTCTCTCTCTCTCTCTCTCTCTCTATTCTCTTCCTTTTATCCTTTTATGTCTTTGAACAAATTTTCTGCTAAACATTCAAAACTAACTTGTCAATAATGTAGATGAACAGCACGTAGACGACGATGAAGAAAATGGCGTAGCCGAGGTGGAAAAGGGCATAGGATGTTACAGTTTCGCCCTTTTCGTCGGCAACACCGAAAGCACTAAAAAACTGGATATCAGGCAAAACTTTTAAAGTCAAGCCCTTATAGTCGACTTCTTGAACTTACCGATACGTCGGTTCCAATGACCAATTTGATTTTGGGTCGAAAAGCGTGATCAAGACGCGGGTGACTGTCACCATTCGGGCCACCAGCAACCCTGCCTAAAAATGCGATTTTTTAGCTTTTCTCGAGCTTCCGAGCTGAGCTGCTTGCCGACACTGTCGCTATAAAAGATCCTCTACCCACCACCAGGACAATATATGAAATGAGGATGTTCGGATGTTCCGTCCAGAGCCCGTAGACGAGAATCAGGCCGCAGACGAGGAGCAGGGGGAAGAAGACGAGCTAAGAAATTGAATTCTAGTACCCTTTTTACGAGTTAATTTTTATGAGTTTTCAGAACGCCTTATCTTCAACTTTTATTCACCGTTTGGGTGATTTTTAAAGCTATTTGATGTTTCTTATGCGTATTCTCATGCTCGGAAAAGCATGAACTATCCCCAAAAGTTTTTTGGGAATTCCGGCTCGATATTCTCCCAATTGCGACAATTCGATCTCTGCGCTCTGCTCGCAATTCCTTTTTGGTTCAGCCAATCTTGCACGTCACTTTCTGCAACCGGATGGAAAACCTTGACCACCCGGTTCGCAGGGCTCAACATGCGCTCGAGTGGAAAAGATTGGTGCAAAAAGGAATGCGGCCCCGGCCCCGACGGATACTGTTTTACGATCGCCAAAAAAGGGTTCAAAACATTGCTAGCTAAAACTAGAAACTACAGTGAAGCTAGATTTTAACTGGCTATTTGACATCTCTAAAAACCACACGAAAACCTTAGCCCTTCAGAATTTGACCCATTTCAATACTCACCGCCTTCCCGTCGAAATAAACTTTCATAAAATATTCCGCCCCATGGCAGATGGCGAATAGAAACGTGAGGATCGTCACGTAGCAGGCGGCGCGCTAAATCGGGGGTCTACAGAAAAATCTTTGAAACCGATTTAGTTATTTGATATATTTTTGAAAACTATGAATCAGCCAAACTTCGATACCTTGATGTGCGTCTTCTGGCAGCACGTCAAATTCTCCTTGGCCCAATAGTCGAACGGGACGTACGGGTGCTCGATTTGCCACATTTCCTTCATTTTTACCTAGGGATTATAAAAGTTAGAGGTAGACAAGGAAAGAGAGATAGAGAGAGAGATCGAGAAAGAAAGAGAGACAGAGAGAGTGAGCGAGAGAAAGCCAGAAAGTGAGTAAAAGCTAGCGTAAAAATATCAAAAAGTTAGTCTCAAACTGTTTAAAAAGGAATTCCAAGATCCAAAAGATCACCAAACTATCAAACAGGTTCAGAAAAATCACTCGACGAGCTCAAAAAAGATCTTGTATCCGCTCAACTACCCACCCCATCCGTCAACGTGCCATTCGCGCGGGATTTTTGGGCACAAAATAGGATACCTTTTTGGTCCCCAAGTTCCCCGGCAGGACTGTTTTTTGCACGCTAGAATTCGTATCGGGCCCGCCCGGGTTAGCGGCTGATTGACAAAAAAGTGCTGACCGGCCGATCAGCACGAACATATGGGCCCTCGAAAACAGACAAAGCCCACGGCCGGCTGGCTGAGCAATTTATGTTACGGGGGACGGGATGTGTGTATAAAGCCGACCAGAGATAGAGGATATGTATTTTGTTCTTTTTCTATGTGAAAAACTCAGATTTTTTAGAACAGATCCTTTAGAACGCTAATTTCCGATGAAACCCCAGTTGTGATGGGCTAAAACAAAAAAGTAGAAGTAAAAAGTAAGTATTTTCTAAATCTAAACGTCATACTTGTCGATAAGAGTAATTTTGGGCCCAAAAACAATTAGCTAAATGTGGTATCGCCAAAAAATCTGACAGCTGCTCTTCATGAAAAAGATCCTTCATGAAAAATTTCAAAAACCTAGGCTAGGCCGAAAGTAAGGTTTTGTAGGTTTTTTGTAGTTTCAAAAGAGGCGGCCTTCAACAGCGTGTTTTCCACGAGAAAACCAAGTGCATGAAGTGCCAAAAGTTATAGAAAATCGGAAATCGATGCTGTAGAACGTGTGGGAGACAAGAATCACTTCAAATAGTAGCCCTTTCTTGTCTTTGGAAGCCTTTTCCAAATAACCACTTTTTAGATGCCAATCGTAAACAGAAAATCTGATAAAGCTAAGCCCGGCAAAGCCAACAAAACCTGAGAACATGCAGCACAACGGGCTTCTTCTAAATCCTGTTGGGACATATCTAAACCTAGAAATACGAGCCAGCACCAAGCCAGCAATAAAATCTGGCCTGTTTTGCGTAGTGAACACCCGGGCATCGAGCCTCCTCCTTACCCCAAATTGGCAGGTCGCGGCCGGGTGACCTTGAAGAGGGGGAGCCCCGGAAAAAATGGACGCCTCGAAAAATCGGGGTGGGGACCGGCCGGCGAGGGTCAACCCGCGGCAAAAATCCTTTCCGACCTATCCACCGACATAGAGAAACACAAAACGGTTGGCGCGCGGCCGTCTGTCATCGACGGAAGGCCCCGGAAATCGACAAAGTTTACACGTGAGCCGGGCGCTCCTATTTCCGGATACATGCATGTACCACCGACAATTGGGTGTAACTGGATGTTCCGGAAAAACAACTTGAAAAAAGGCCCTAAAAACGTATCAATCTTCTACCGTTTGATGAAATTTTCCACTTAACGTTTCAATTCAAAGGATTCATCATAGGGAAACTATTTTTTGATCATTTTAAATAGATAATAAACAGAATCAAAAACTTTTCAAGCCAAGACCCATAAAAGCCAGAAATGAGATGTGAAAACTACAAAAGACACGAGATAAAATTAATAATGAGCGTAATCTCTCAACAACTAACAAAGGGCGATCAAAGTATTATGCGAACATTCAAAGTAACCGTAAACTGTCAAGCCCGTACGAGAAAGTAGAAAATTGGGATTGAGGTTAACATGAAAATCTGTTCAACAAAAATGAAATATCCGAAAAGGGGATCGTTAGTCCATCACCGCCAGCTCTTCCTCGATCTTCTGCAGTTCGAGCATCGTCTGCGCGCGTAGTTCTTCGAGCGACGCGCGCTGGGCGCGGATCCCTTCCAGCTCCTCGTACACCTCGAGAAGAATTTAAAGCAGAATAAAAAAATATTTTACCTGAGCTAAATGGCGAGCATTATCGTCGCGGGTCCGGTCGTATTCAGGCGGCGACTGTCCTGGTGGGGGCTTGACGATCTTGACGTTGGCCGGGGAATGCGACTAAAAGACAGGTAAGCGAAAAACCTATCAAAAATACCACAGGGATCTGTAGTGTTGCGGGGGCGATGATCGGGTGCTCCCTCCAGTGTTGCCCCGTCATTCTTCGAATCTGGTCCCGCAGTAGCGTGTAGTCAGTGACACCCTGGTTGAGCGCTAAAATGGTTAATTAGCATATTTTCAAGGCTAAGTAAAGGCTTTTGGAGACGATAAATTGCGCTCAAAATTACCGTACATAGCAATAACCGCCACATCAATTGGGAGAAGAGCGGAGCCACGGCGCGCGCGATTACCTTCATCCAGTCCTAAAACGGAAATTTAGATCCTTGCGCTTAAAATACCTTCGATTCTTGAACAAGCCCGGTGATCTCCCGGGGAATGATGCGCAACCTGGCGAACGCGCAGTACAAGTCGGCCCACGCTCTTTCATCAGCGAATCTAAAAGCAACATGCCTTTGGCGAAAATTCAGGATTACCGAATTCCCTCGGACTCTGTACTAATGCCCAGCCCAAACAGCACGTCCTGCGGGATCCCGTCAACCAATAGCCTGCGCCACCGCCTGCCATCATGCTCCGTGTCGACCGTCCTTATCTTTATGCTTGTCAACCGAGCAAGTTCCCCGAAGAACTCAGCGAAATGCGGGTGCGGCAACACGAGAAAGTCCTAGGGCCAGAGTTAAGAATAGGCTGCTATTATTACTTTGTCATCGTCCTCCATTGTGAGCGCACCTGTGGCATCGACGAGGTCATCTTGTTGGTTCTGAAAAGTAAACATTAGAAATGCTGGCATTTCGGCATATTTGAAAAAACTTTAAAGCTATTAAAAAGTACCGGTGAGCGCGTGGCTTGTTCTGGCTCCACAGGAGCTTCACCCTGATCCATGTCCTCGTCGCTACCGTCTGCGCTCACCGACATTGCTTCGACGGGAGGATCTGCTAGGGAAGCTTCAAGCGTCTTCGGCGGAAACGAGTCCCGTTTAAAAAACGCCCTGTCTGATGGCGCGGCTATAAAATTTTTTTGTAAATAAAAAATCCTGACCATTCCCATAAACGAACAAGAGACTCTGTGGTAGCTGCAGTTCTTCAGGCTGAAAAAAAAGTTCAAAAGCCGGTGCAGATCCTTACAATATTCGGCTGCAGCACGCCAGCTGGCAGTGCGAGTGGTCGATTCCAAAAATTGCTCGACTCCTTCATTAGGTCATTGCGTAAATTCTAAAAAACGTGCTAGAAATCCAATTTTCTAAATACCTTGCAGGCCTGCATGTGGGCCTGGGCGTCACGTAGCTTGCAGAGTCCATCAGCCTGAATGTCGCAAGGCTGCCCTCGTACACGGCATGCGGCCAGTTTCTTGTTTAGACAATTTCGAAGGGCCCTGAACCCGGACTCGAGCAGCTCGGAAAAATTCTAAACCAAATACAGGGCTACGAGAAACTGCTGACCTTGTAAAAAAGCAGCGATATTGCGGCTGGCGGCAAAACGTGGAGCTCGATGAAGCGGGTCAGCAAGGTGGTGTATGCTCGTTTCGGCGCTTCCGTCCTAATTAAGTTTTGAGGTCTATCAAGGTAAAAATTACCCCGGCGCCAGGGTTCCCAATAAGCAAGCGGGGTAGTTGAAGGCGTAGTAGTGGACTCCTAAAACAGAATTTCATCGGGAGAAAGTCATTTTTAACTATAAATTGCGGCTTTCCCTAGATATAAGGGTAAACGAAAGGAAATAGATCCAGTTCCGCACCTGCTGGATGGACAGCGCGCTTCAGCATTCCGCCAGTAATCAAGTAGAACAATTCTAGACATTCCTCCTCTGTTAGATCTTCAGGTGATGCCAGGAACCCATCCATCACTAAATCTCGAATATACACCCTCGCTACGCACTTGTAAAATCAATTTTTAGCACTAAGAAACGAATAAGAGGTATTTACCGGGAAATTCTCTATATCATGTGCGATTCATAGACAAAATTGAAGGGATCAAACTTTATTCGTAGCCATGCGACACAACAAAATCACCAGTATGTGGAATAGATGTCTATAACTGATTGCAATTAACGAAAAGAGGGGACGATTATCACACTAACAATGGGGGATGCTGAAAACAACGAAAGTGAGAACCAAATGGTGAGGGAGCGGGGAATGTGGCCGAGATCAGTGTTAGGTGATTATGCTTGTTTCATCAGTAGGCCGAGCGGAACGTCTCGCGCTTCAGCTTCGTCCACTGCTTGCCGGTGCGCGTGATGCCGAGCACAAGCTTCTCGCCAGAGCCGCCACTTCGTCGCGGGAGTACCTAAAATTGGAATTTTGGGTAGTTTTGGAGGTATACCTGCATCACGCGACAATCCTCCCAAGTGCCCGAGTGCATGTCTTGGGCCCAGATTCGATCATTCGTCTGCACGATCGTGTCCTCGGTGTTGCAGACGAGCTCGCGGCCGTCAACCTACAATGAAAATTGGTTATTTGAAAAACCTTTTCCCGACAACTTTTTGCAAAATTCAGTTTCGACGCCTGGTGGTCTTTTTTGTTCTATTCGTACCCAAGACAAATTTTTCGGATCAGGACTTTCGAGAACTGGCTCGTCGAAAAAAAGTAGATGAAAATCAAAACAGTACCATAATGCGGACGGGGCCAGAACGACTGCGCCCGGAAGAGCGCGAGCGAGATCGGCGGCGCGTCCTGCTGCGGCTACGGCTGCGTCGTCGGCGAGACGACGAGCGCTCGCGTTCTCTTTCCCTCTCCCGTTCACGATCTCGCTCCCGTTGCGAGCCGCCGCGCTTCTTCCGCTCGTCGAGCGCCTGCTTGAGCAGCTTGTGCAGTTCCGTCAGCATTTCGAGCTGAAAATGAAAGCATTTCTCGTAGACTAAATAAATCCCTACCTGGCGAACTTCGCTGAAGCTCTTCGCCTGGTCGCCGAGCGCTTGCACGGCCACCATCAGCTGTGAAAGATGATCAGCATCGGCTTGCGTCTAAAAATGGGTAATGCAAAAACCAAATTCAATGACCTCTATTCTGCGCTCCAGCGATTGGATGACCTCTTCGCAGTCGGATATCACGCGTGGCACACGGGCCAACGGGTCTGCCGGATCGAGCCAGGCCATGCTCTGAAAAATCTGAATATTTCTAGAATGGAAAATGGAACAAGGCCGAGTTTTGAAGCCAAAAAGGCTATAATGAATTCGGAACAGGAGGAAACGCTAAATTTTTTTAAAAGTAACTGGTTTCTAGTGCCCAAAAATAATCGGCCATCATCGGAGGACGGTTTGCATATGTGAAAAATGTTGTTTCACAGCATCAACGGTTGTCGTTTACGAGGTTGGCTTCTTCCCAGATAGACCCCCGTAATGCAAAACTTTCCCAACCGCTAGGAGCTTCCTCATGGTTCGAAAACCAAGACCAGCTTACCGGGATCACGAATTTGCGGCCAGCCCACAGCAAACCGAACGCCGTGCCAAGCCCGTAGCCGTTCGGACCGCGACGCGAGGTCCAGTTTATCTTATTGCCGGACGGGGCCAACGGATCCACGTCTGCCTTGCTGGTTTGCGAGCGTGGCGCGGGTGCAGGGGCCGTCGTCAAGAAGGGCGCAGTCGTGTAGTGAGCGGAAGATGACGCTATGGCGCCGCCAAGTGGTGTCATCCTGTTCATCGCTTCATTTTGGGCGTGAACAACAGCCTCCTCACGCAATTTCGCTTCTAGCCGCAACTTTTGCTCCAGCAATTGGCTGACGCGAAGGTCTTCTTGCAACGATCGCTCTTTCTCGTCCAATTCTTGACGGACACGCCGGAGCACGTCTTCTTCGGTGTAGACTTTCGGGGCGGACAGCGATGTGTGGATGAGTTGTACTGGGTTATGCGGGATGAGCGGCACTGGTATGGACATCAGAGATGGCACTTGGCGTTGGATAATTGGGGGCGGGTTGAAGGCGCCCAGAAGTGGTCCGTTGTAGGGTCGCTCGACGGGAAAATGCGAGACGTCCGCTTGTCGTCTTTTCAACTCCATTTCTTGTATGTAGATGGCACACTCTCTCACGGAATGACCAGAACCACCGCAATGTTTGCAACGCTCCCGTTCGCTTCTTTCCGGCCTTCGAGAACGCATCGTCCTTGGGTCACTTCGATCCGACGGAACCGATCGTGGTGCACATCGCTTGGCGGCTCGAACGACGGCTTCTTCCAGCATTGCCCTCAACTTGATGACAGTTTGCGGCTCCAGATCGGGCGCAGTGAGGATATCTGGGGGCCAAGCACCACCTAAAAGCAGAACTTTTTGAGGGTCAACATGTGCACCTCCAAATTTGGCCAATTTTAATAAATATGAAGCAAAAAAATACAAATTTATAAGTAAAAGCAATGCCCAAAACGGTACCTCTGTTCACCTCGTCGGCAATAATTGAAAACGTTTCGACGGACTGCTCGAAAAACGGCAACTCCTTCTTCTAAAACACAAATAAAATCCAATTGAAAATGGTCGCCTAGTCAGAAGCAATTTCGACACAACATCACAATTTTGCAATGTGAAATAACAAAAAATTATTACCGAAATCTCTGGATTCTGCGCGTAGATGGCGAACATGCTTATAGGGAAGATGTTGAGCTTCCCACACTTGTCTGTGAGGTCTTTGGCTGATGAGGCACGTGCTTGGTCTCGGCTGAAGAAGATATTAAAAGGCCATCCGCGAGTCACCCGAAGGGTCCCCAATATGGCTTGTCACAGTTTTTTTAGACCCCGTTTTTTCGATGTCATGTGAAAGAGCATGGTCGAGTTAGTAGGGCTGCATAGTTTTGAATGTTTAAAAAGTTCATTTTTGGTGTTTAACTGGCCGTTAAAGTTGACTACCTCCAAAAACTATCTCGAAAACTACTTGACCAAATTTGCTGATAATTTGTGACAATACCTAATCTGGGGCGGTGATCATTTTTCTAATACATTTCAAAGCATGAAAATGGCCGGAACATCGGAATCTCGCGTACTCAAATGAGTTTTTCAAGAATTACTATTTAATAGGAAGTCGTCGCCACTCTAGAAATATACGTAAAAGATGCGCAATTAAATTTTACATCCAATGATGTATTTTTCAACTTGGCGACAGATTCCTATTAAATCGAAAAAATGGCATTTCTAAAATTAGCAAAAACAGCTCAAAAACATAAATAGCTTTGTTTTTTCGCAACCGAAGGCATGCAATCGGATATTGATGCGAAGTCGAGCCTGATACAAAAAAGAGCAAAACGAAAGATCATTTCTACGCGAAATTGGGCTCGGCGGGGAATCGAACCCGCGATGCTCCACCTGGGGGGCACTGGGACCGCCACTAGTGGGCGCCGCCACCTCCCCAGGCGAACGACCCGAGTTCAATCCCAGCCCCCTTTTAGAAATCGAATTTGTTTTTGCTCTTTTTTTGCAATCGCTTTATTTTGGTCTTTAGATACGGAACATTGTCTTTCTGTTCAGAAATACACAAATTTTTCCTTTTTAGTGCCTTTGAAAGTCGTTTTTCGATTTAATAGGAATCTGTCGCCAAGTTGAAAAACACATCATTCGATGTAGAATTTACTTGCGCATCTTTTAAGTATATTTCTAGAGTGGCGACGACTTCCTATTAAATAGCAATTTTTGAAAAACTCATTTGAGTACGCGAGATTCCGATGTTCCGGCCATTTTCATGCTTTGAAATGTATTAGAAAAATGATCACCGCCCCAGATTAGGTATTGTCACAAATTATCAGCAAATTTGGTCAAGTAGTTTTCGAGATAGTTTTTGAAGGTAGTCAACTTTAACGGCCAGTTAAACACCAAAAATGAACTTTTTAAACATTCAAAACTATGCAGTCCTACTAATTCGACCATGCTCTATCAGATGGCATTAAAAAACGGGGTCGAAAAAAACTGTGGCAAGCCTAGTTCGGCTCTCCGGCAAACGGCCTTTTCACTTTACTGCCCGCCGGCGTTGGAATAATTTTTATTGTATCTTCGTGCGTCATCTTTATGATTTCTTTTGGTAATTTTATGTCATCTTCACATCGTATTGCATGCGTTGGAGAGATTTTTAGAACATGGGGATGCGGAAATGATTTTTCTATGTTTTCGGTGTTTCTTGTTGAGAAACACTAATGCCGACAAACCGGGTTCTTAACGGAACATTTTTCTGATTGGCTTTCGCAAGGGAAAAATGTGGTACTGCCGGTTTGATTAATCTACGGAGGCTGGAATTTCGCGGGGGAGAATTGCGTTGTCGTGACCGGCGGTGCGTTATTTGTTATTTCGTGTGTAATTACTTTTACTGAATTCTAAGCGCTTTGCTTAGTTGCCCTTCGAAATTGCCTTTGAACGTATCAATGTCGACACTGCTTTCTTCCGTTACGGTGATGCCTAATGCAGGCGGCGGGGCATCTTTCACCAGCTGCGCCGATAATGTCCCCGATGTCTATGCGGTAGTTATGTTTCACTTATTCCCATCGCGACGCGGCGGTCGTTTCTTTCGCATTGCTGCTTCTCGCCGATCACTTCTGGCATGGCCAAATTACTTGCATCTTCGTAGGGTCAGACTGTTGCAAAGAAAAGACTAACACATTAACATCTTTTAACATTCAAGGAAACGATAGAAACGTACTTAATGCCGAAGCCGCTTCCGCTAAAGACGGCATTTGGCAGCCCATAGATGATCGTGTCGCATTGTTGGAGTCTGTCACGATACGGCTCCATGTCGGGCGGAAGGCAAATTCCATTCTTCTCAGGGATTGTCGCATCTAAGTCTTCGGTTAATTGTAATGCGAAAATAGCGTATACCCGACACCCTTGAAAGTAGACGCAGCCGCACGTGTGTCTTGCGACTGGCGTGCACGAGGATGTCATGCAAGAGCTGTAAAAGTATGAGATTGCAAAATTGTTTGTACCGTGCCGTAAATGGGATCTATTTCTATGATCCCGTCCCGGATCTGGTTGGCTGGCATCGGCCGCCAAGGCCTTTCGGACGCTGAGCGGTCGCTGTCGAAGCGCCGCGGTGGAGATTGAAACCTAAAAAAGTCAAACGATATCAGGAAATAAAACACCGTTTTGAGGTGTCGTCGATGCGACTTTTCCGCCCCGCATCACCGTTTTCTCGCTGCTAAAGAAAATTATTGAAGGTGTCATTTCACTAACCGGCCGGCTGCGAGTGCTCATGGCCCTCTTCAATCCTTGAAAGGGGTTCTAAATCAACATTAGCTTTTTAAGCATTATGGGATGGCACCGTTACTTTGTGTTGAAATTCTCATTTCTCGTAATGACTCAGAATTTGGATGGCTAGAAACCACAAACGAAAAACTTCACGAAAATCTCGGCAAAGATTTATTCAACGCAAACTCAACAATGTACGAATCAACAAAAAAACAATGAACAAAAATCAACGAAGCTTGTTGGTAATCTTGGCGCCCTTATTCTTGAACTTCTTGCGATAACGATCCGTATTCTCCTCGGTATCCGAATCGTCCAAATGTCTAAAGAAAGAGGTAGGAATGAATTGAGCAGGATGATTGACCGTTTCCCCTTTTTCTTCCTCTCCTCGGCTTCTTTGATTTCCTCTTTTGCTGCCTTCATAGCTTCGGCTGTGCGTTCGACTAGCATCATCACCTCCTTCTCGACGCAAGGGTATTCGGGAAGCTTTTTATCTAAAACAATATTGGGTAAGTATAAACAAAAGAGCAACAAACCTAAATGCGTCTCGATCCGCTGATAAATCGTCACATCGTATTGTGTGACAAAGGTGATGGCCATTCCGGACCTTCCGGCACGCGCAGTACGTCCAACCCGGTGCACGTAGTCCTTGGCTTGGCCGGGCACATCGAAGTTGAAGACAAAGTCGACTCCGGGAATATCCAATCCTCGAGATGCGACGTCAGTGCAGACCAAGATGTTGCGCGAGTTGGTCTTGAACGCGTTGAGGGCACCCAATCGCTTTTGCTAAAAAACACCAGTGAAAACGCTAAAAAGTTGCTTCACCTGCGTCATCTGCCCGTGCAAAGAAATCGCGTCCATGCCCAGCTGCCGCAGCATTCTTGTAATTGTGTCGGCCAGTAGACATGTTCCCGTGAAAATGATCGCCAGCTTCGGTTCGGCCAACTTGATTTTGCTCGTCAGCTCGTTTAGGATGTAGACGAGATACGCTTCCTGAAGTAGGTGAATATATCGAGAAAACGCTCCTCACCTTATACTTGAAGGGAATGAAGATATAGTGTTGTTTCAACGTATCGACCGTCTTATAACGCGAGTTGACCTCGACACGAACAGGATCCCGCAACGAAGCACGCTCCAGTTTTGCGACCTAAACAAAACAATGAAGAAATCCAGAGAAAGCCAACCTTTTTGGTCATTGTTGCCGAGAACAAATATGTCCGTCGTTCTCTCGGAATTACTTTCAAAATCTTGTCCAGCTCCTCTTCGAAATCGAGGTTCAAAATTCGATCGGCTTCATCCATCACCAAATATTTGAGGGCTCGCAAAGAAAATCCTGAAAAATAATAAGCAGGAAATATAGGGCTCACCTTTAGTATTTTCAAGGTGATCAACTAAGCGACCCGGTGTGGCGACAATGATGTGGGGAAGCTTTGCCAGAGCGATCGCCTGCGTGGCCATATCAACGCCTCCGACAATGACGGCTAAAAGTGTCTATGAAACGCAAAAGGAGCAGATGTGGGGGCATCTGGAGGTTCCGTCTCAAGCTTGTCTCCAAGTCTAAGCTAACCAAGCCAAGCCCAGCCTAAGCATAACCTAAGCCAAGCCTAGGCTTAAGCCCAATCCTAAGCTAAGTCTAGAACAAGCCTAAGCTAGGCCTAGACTAAGCATAGACTAAGCCTAAGCTAAGCCAAAACCAAGCCTAAGTTAAGCCTAAGCTAAGCCGAAGCCTAAGCCTAAGCCAAGCCTAGGCATAAGCCAAGTATAAGCCAAGCACACGCGAAGTCAAAGCTAAGCCTAAGCCTAAGACTGGGCTCCAAAAAAAGATCCCCCCCCCAACATCAATAGCTCCCAAAAAGGATTCGCTTACCAACTAACAATCCGATTCTCGTGCCCAAATCCTCGAACTGCTTCGCGATTTGGAAGGCCAATTCTCGAGTGGGCGTCAGCACAAGCGCATAGAGCTTCTGCGGGTGCTCCAACAACGATTGTAGAATCGGAATCGCAAAAGCCCCGGTTTTTCCAGATCTAAAAACAAGATATCTATCAACCAGCGTAATTTACCCAGTCTCTGCCAACCCAATCACATCCCGCCCGGCCAGTGCTGCAGGTAAGGCAAGCGTTTGAATCTTCGAAGGCGTTTTCCAACCCATCCTTGTACATGCCTCATCCAACTCATCCGATACACCCTAAAAATCATATCAACAGCCAAAGCGAATCCATTACCAATTCTTTGAAAGATTTTGCTGCTTCCGGTTCGCCTTCTACATCGTCGGCATCGTTTCCAATGCTCTAAGAGACGCTTTGACTTTCGATTAAAAAAATCCAACCTCAGCTGCAATCTTTGTTTTAATTTTAGGGGGTAGAGCCTCATGTTCATCTTCAGACGACGAATCAGACATCCTGAATGCAGGTTTACCGAACAGAGCGGCTCAAATAAATTTCCAGTCATAACGGCCATTGCCTGCGCGTGCACACGCTACATAGTGACAAAGGAGTCCAACGAAACGAACGACCAGATGCCTACCAACAAGCAGCGCGAGAAAGATCCTTTGCGAAAATTGATCTAACGCCAGGAACGTATGTAGTGCATTTGCGGCCAAAATCTTTTTCAATCATTTATCAACAACAACAAATTAGCAACCGAAAAATTTTAAGAGATAAGGGCGGAGGCGGTGCTGCTCTCATACTTCCAGGTCGGGGGGAGCATCTTGGCGGTCTTGTAGTAGCGGGCCAATCGGTGAATCCTGGACTCGACCAAGATGAGACGGTACTTCGAGTCACGGTCCTTGCGGCAACGGTCCAAGTGCTTGCGGATGTTGACGGCCTTCTTGACGAGGTGGTACAGGTCTTCCGGGATCTCGGGGGCCATGCCCTAAACAAAAGTAAAGGACGGAGAATGAAAATATACCTTGGCCTTGAGCAGCCTGACGATCTTGTTGCCGGTGATGCGACGGACCTGGGCAACTCCGTGCGAGTCACGAAGGATGACACCGATCTGGGACGGGCGGAGACCCTGAAAAAGCAAATATAGAAAGGGTACGCAAAATTAAAAGCGGGTGGCCCCGAAGGGCACCCGACCCTCTAACAGGTAAAACGTTACCGAAATGAACAACTGTGGTAGGGGAAGGAATCGGACCTTACACCCTCCAGGTATGTTCAACAAACCTTCTTGGCCAAACGGCAGATGTGCTCAACGACGTCCTCGCCGGTCATCTTCAGCCATGTCGGGACGGAGCGGCGGTACGGGAGGGCCGATTTGGCCATGCCCTTGCCGGGGTTGTGCATGCGACCCATGACGAGAGTTTATCTGAAAAAACTAAATTGTAGGCAAATATTGAGTAAAGGCGAAAGTGAGTAAGAAAGCGTTGAGCGAAAGATAAGCAACATATGGGCAAGAATGAAGGATTGATTCGCTGTCTATGGAAATTTAGCCGAAGAAAATACGGAAAACAAATAAGAACGATGAAGAGGAGGGCGTAAGAAAAACCTGCGAGCGCTGCGGGGAAAAATCGAGAAATGGGCCAAAATTCAGCGAGGCAAGGCGCCTCTTTTCCTTGCGTGTACGGTCGATGGAGCGCAGGATAAGAGCGCGGCCCCATATGGCCGCCCGCTGGTCCGCCCCAACTTTCCGTTCGGCAGTTTTTTGCATAAAAAAAGTAAAAATATACTTAAAAATGCCTATTAATACATGCTTGAAAAAATACTAAAAATTCTATGGAACTAAAGAATAAATTTTGGGATCGGATTGTGAAACAAAAACTGAAAGGATGGGGAAGAAAAATAGGGAGCAAACTAAAGTATAAAAAATAGAAAGTGTGGCTGGCAGAACTAAAAAATTTGGCAATTCTCTTTGTATGTCCAGCTAGCGGCGTAATACCCATTTTATCGTCAATTAACTAGCTTATTAATGCCTTTGAGCTCCTTCGAGGTAAACAAGATAATATTTATTGAACTATACTATATTTATCCGCAAACATAGCGATTTTTAACTTCAGTTTTCTCACTGCCTGAGCAACATGTGGTCGCCGGAAAGGGGCACTGTTTGGGAGGGCACTTCTCAGTTTCTTGAACGTTTCCGCTAAAAAAGGATGATTTTTTAAATAGACGATTCCCATGATGTCTAAAATCGTCAAATCCGTACACGCAGTTACAACCAGGGCTCGCCCCGTTGCAGGCTCGCTTCCGATTCTTCGTTCCGCACATTCCACAGGTTTTCGTACACGTGGTCCAGCTTCCCCATGCTGCCCACCTCGCGGCGCATGCTTTCTAAATGGGTTTGCTAGTCCTGGGAAGCGCTTCCAAAGTATTTCGATGTTGTTTTCTGCGACTCACAGTGGTCGTTTTTGGTTTTGTAGTTGTCGGTTTTGTTGTTGTCGTAATCTTTTCGGTTGTTTTAGCAGACGTCTTGGCATCATAGACAGAGCTTGTAACTCCCGAAGAGCTTGTCGACATTTTTGACGCCTAAAAACTGCAGTACTAATAGCTCCGGAGCAGAAGCTGCAAATGGAGAATCTCCACTCCTGGAAAGCGGTTCTGGCTATTTCGATATGTTTTTTTCTGCGTCTTACCGTGCTAGTTTTGGGTTTTGTAGTTGTGGTCAGTGTTGTGGCTGTCGTCTTTCCGGTCGTTTTAGTGGACGTGGTGGAGTAATAGGAAGAGCTTGTAACTCCCAAGAGCCTCTTCGTTGTCGACATTTTTAGAGGCTAAAAACTGAACTTCTCTGACTGAACATCGATCTTATAGATTTCAAATTCGGCCCTTATTTAACTCACCCCAAATTCCTGATCATCTCGAAAATAGTTGCTTGTGCTATCGTGCTCCAGCGCGGTTCCGATATCTGCATCATGTAAAAGCTCATCTTCCGTTACACTCCCCTGCATGCTTTTCAGCACTTTCAAGCATTGGCATGTGTTATTCGAAAAATAGGCCACATATTCGGCCCCGGATTTTTCGCAAATTGCGAAACAGTCAGCGTTGAAAAGTGCCGATCTGGACACGTAAATGCCATCATCGGCAGTGAGCATTCGAAATGATGCACAAGAAATAGTCAGGAAAATGAGGGTAAGCAAGGGCATTTCCTCAAATTTAGGGGGTAGTGAAGTGCAGTCAGCCTTGCACGGGGTTGCCAGAAAATCGGGCCGCTTGGAAACATAATGGAATTCCAAAAATTATTGCGGCAATTTTGGAAAAGATGTTTGGATGCACTGCGCAGCACACAGCGCAAACGAATTCACATGGGGTTCTGGCAGAAAAAGTTAGTTTTAATTGTTTAGATTTAGATTTCTTTCGGTGATTGGCGATTTTAGGAGCATTGTGACAGGCGGTTATTTGTAAACCGATGGCGAAACAACCTGGACTAACAATTTCATTCGAACAGGCACATTAATTGACAGTCAAAAATCTTTGTGTTTGCGTTGAGTTGCTTTGCGTAGCCACCAGACATGAGGTTTTTGTCTAAAATGCCATTTTGGTACAGTAGAATGGTCAACACTTTTGGTTTTTATACGGACGGAAGCCTGGGTATCGACAACTACAACTACGCCAAAACACGCCTAAAAACTAGCAAGGGTGGTGGTTTTGCGGTTATTTCACGTACTTGGTGGCTATTATGATCTATTTTCGCCCATTCTAGCGCGTTGTCGACACCCAGTAGAAAGATAGGGGGCTAATCTGGGCTGCCCTGTCCCGTAAACCAAGTCAAACCGTCTGTTTTGTAGCATCGATTTCTCTGCAGATAGCCATATCGGGCGGCTGCGCATTGCGACAAATCATATATCCGCCTTGAAGTTCGTCTGTATTCATCACGATATCATAGTCCTTTCCTAACAATGAAATTTTCGGAAGCGTACGTTTCACACCAACCGACACCTAAACATTCCAAATCCTCCGCGCAATTATCCCAGACTTCCAATGGGCAATCGAATCGATTGCCGCGGTTTGCAGTTGAAAATAGGCTGCAGTAGCTGTTATAAAAATACAGAGAAAGAAGGCGTAAAGCATTGTTTTTTGTTCAATATTTACCTTATCTGGAAGGCCGACTTCTGGGGGCCAGACAGGTTCGTATCCTGGAGACGAGTCGTAAATTAAGGCGGGTGATGGGTACTTGTTACGTCTACGAATTTACCCTTTTTGCGTAAACATGGCCTTTGTAAGGTAATGTTTTTATTCCGAAAGCTCACTTTTTTATTAACAGTGGTATATTGTATTAAAGTCGAGCGACAGAATACTAGCGATTTCGAGCAATTCCTGTCGTCGCGGATGGTAAATTCAAAAACAGAATTGTAGGTGTTGTGAGAAAAAAAGAGAGCAAGAGAGCGATAGTGAGGGAGAGAGAGTGAGCGTGAGAGTGAGAGATAGCAAGAGAAGGTGACGAGATCAAATACTCCTTTGGCATGTAAACATCCCCGTCCGTGCGTTTAACGTCTTCTGGAATGGTGAGCAACAGGCCACCGGCTCGCTGGCCGGACACAAGCTGGTAGGGCAACGCACCATTCGCGTTGTCGCGCCCCTGAAAATACACAAAATGAGTCGGCTGTAAAAAAAAAATCTTTTTCGTAAGAATTAGTCCTGAAAATAAATTCAATCACGCACACGCACGGTTCGGCCACGCAACTCCTATTCTGAGACATCGTTCCGCACATTCCACATCCTTGAGTTGCGTTGCAAGACGTCATGGGAGTCCATGCTGTCCATCCGGATGCTAGGGGTTCTACAGTTTCGGGAAATACGAAGCAGATGAACGTCGATATCTTAGATGCTGCTAACGACTAAAAAAGGCCTTAAAACTATTACTCATACTGGCACTCGCCCCGTACGCCGCGATGTCCCTGGTGAGGTTGCTGCCCGTATTGTTGCGTAGTTTCACTTCGATACTCTTGTCTTGCGTCAAATTTGATTCCACTACACTCCCCGCAACATTATTAAGCACTCCCAGGCATTGACAAGTATTGTTCGAGTAATATGCCACAAATCTGGCGCCCGACTCTTGGCACGTCGCGTAGCAGTTCTCGGCCATCAGCTCGGTTTTCGAGACGTACAAAAAATTCTGAGCGGCTGCATACAAAATTAATGATAAGAATAGGAGAGACATTTCAAAGTTATTGGAGTTAGGAAAGTTGCGTATTTTTTACCTTTTGTGGAAATGGCTTGGGTTGAAACCGCTGCCTGGAGACGCACGATTTCATAATAATATTGGCTAATTTTTCGTGACAATTCGAGGCTAAAATTTTTTGCGGAAATTGCAGAATCGAAAAGGAAGGTTGTAAGGTAAAAACTCGTAGAAAATCTGTAGAACCAAATTTTTTCGTAGGTATTTATTTAACAACGAGGGAATCCAAGCAACGGGTGTTCTCTCTTGATTACTGGCAGAAAAACATTGATTGGACCTTGGCTTTCCCGTAAGGCTTGCAGCATGAAAGGCCCGTAACGCACAGATTTGCCGGGCAAGCAGACGTTTCTTCAGATGATCCACTATAAATTTTGATGATGTAGTTTTTGGCTTGGATCGAATATGATTATTAGGACTAATGATAAAGATTTTACAGGTACAGGAAAAGGCAATTTTTGGTTCTAAGCTGTTAGCGGGGGGGGGCTAATAGTGCAATACCTTTAGTGCCCAGTTGATTGCTGGTTTTACGGCTATAATTTTAAAATCAGCTTTCCAAGCACTTCAAACTTAAGGTCACGCACGTGCATTTGCACCCGGAAGCGCAGCTTCTCGTGCGCATAGTTTTTCCGCACATTCCGCAGGTAGCGGTGCATGCTGTCCATTCTGTCCAGGTATCAACACACGCCTCAATGCTTAGATCCTAAAGTCTCAATTTTACGGCACCGAGCGGCTTACTGTAGTCTTTGTCGCAGCAGAGGTAAGCGTAATGGTGGTGACCGAACCCTGAAAAACCAAAAATAATTCTTAGCACTAGTAAAATTGCCCCAATTTCACGGCAACGATCCAAAGGCCCTGAAAAGTCGCGGTTCAAGACATAATCAGCGTCCGTCGATAGCAACGTAACGTCGTCTACCATCTCGCAATTCCGGCCTAAATCTTGGGGTTCTAAAAGAAGGGGCCATTTTACTGATTCCCAAGCATGTCGGAGCTGATAGGCAAGCGGAAAAGCACGCCGCATCCGGTTCGGGAAGGTTAATAGCAGCACATGAGGGTTCAAATACGGCAGAAGTATCAATTTGTATAAGTAATAGGGTGAAATATATGGGTTTCATACTTTCACCTTTCTAGGCGAGAAGTCAACTCGGGTTGAAAAGTTAGCCGCTTCCAGGCAACGAAGGGGGGCAAATATCTGCGGGTTGTTGGGTAACTGCGGCCGTGAGAAGGTTTGAGATTTCAGCACTGTTTTGTGTTTTGTTTCGTTTTTCATCATTTTTTTTTGACATTTTATGTACAGGGTGTCCCAAAAAAAACGAACCATCTGGCATTTCGCCGTGTTACATGTAGTCGGCCCAAAATTTGGACCAGAGGTGTATCAAACGCTAAATAACAACAATCCTGACTTTTAGCCCCGTAGATCTAGTAGTTCTCAAGTTATAACAAAAATAAACTTTAGTTTTCTTTTTTTCATAGGGTTTACGTGGAATACCCCCGAAATATTAAGTGAAAAGATTCGGCAAGCCTTCTTTACCTTTAGAAATTTCTTCAGATGAAGATTTTAATCAAATAGGCTTCGATTTAAGCGATTTTTACAACGCAAAATTACCCAATATCTTCAGCGAAATTAGGGATTCGCAGTCGGAAGTCGATGCAAATCGATGCAAAGTAGAAAAAGAAAGCCGAAAGAGTCAGGATTGTAGTCACATTGGATACACCTCTCATCAAAATTTGGGGCACATTGGATGTACCACGACGAAATGCCAACTGTTTCGTTTTTGGGACACCCTGTATATGTTTGTCATCGAGAGGAAATGGGTACTTTAGCATTATCGGGGGGGCAACCTTTACCTTGGGACCCAATTTACAAATATAAAATGCGGAAGCTTTCTAAGCGATTTTCTGCTAGTCTTAAACGTCAAAAATTTACACGCATTTATCAAAAATATCAAAATATTGCTTTTACGACAAAAATGGTCAATTTTGTACCAGAATGTCAACTTTTTCAAAACTAAAAAATAAATTACTGGATAAAACACCACAAAAATGCTCTATTAAATTACTGTACATTTCTAGACGTTTACAAAAAAGTTGTGCAAAAAGTGGTTTGCTTATTAGTTGGTTGGTAACGGAATATAGTACAGAAATATTTATTCCACCCGGCACTAATAGCCTATTGCGGTTGACAAGTAAATATGCTAACGGAGGTATCTAACAGCATCGTATAACCGGCACAGCATGAGGAGCTAGGAAATTCACACAATGCCGCCGGGCAAAGGGTTGTGTCCACATCTTCTGACCTGGAAGATTTAGAGGAATAAAAACACCAATGCATGGTCGAGGCAAGGTGAGGGGGAAAGCCACTCACGTGAAATTTCCGTTACTTTCGCAGTTCCTGGTCCTAGTTTGATTCCCGCACATTCCGCAAGTTTCCGTGCAGCTTGACCACTCGCCCCATTCCGCCCAAGCAGCACAGGTATACTGATGAAAATTCAATTTAGCTAGATAATCAAGAATAGGCGATTTAAAGGGATTGAGAAGCGCCCCCATCGACTCCATTCAGCGGCTTTGTCTCCACAACTACGCGCCACGCCAAAAACGCAGCAAACTTGTTTTGACGTGCGCGTAGCTCTCGATAGCTAGGGATGAAAAAGTATTGATTGCTGTGTTCCTTGTAAATAAATTAGTACGCGTCGCTCGCTCGTCATTTCTTTCCAAAGTTTCAAATGTAATTTTTCTGTTCCATGGCCCACGTCGTCCTTAATAACCTACCGTAGTCGTCGGAAAAGTCGTCTGATCAATAGTTGTTTGGCCCGATTCCTACCAAAAACTGGCATAGTATAGTTAGCACTAGTATCACTACCTCTATTATTGCGCACGACTCCAGTGATCCCGTAAAGTCTCGATTCAGGACGTAGTTATCATCCGTCGATAGGAGCGCAGCGTCCAGGATCATCGTACAGTTTTGCGCTAAAAAATGTAATTTACGGAACATGAAAAGAAATATAGTTCTAACCGATCCCTAAACATGTCGAATTGCCCAGGCAAGCGACAAAACAGCTGGCGACCGGATCCGGGCTCCCCTGCGCTGCACTTTGACGTTCAAAAACAGCCGTCGAATTACAGAGCGTAATTAGTAAGCAAAGGTACAGTAAGTACGGCATTACGTGCTTTGCTACACTACGCTTTCAGTGAAATCCTCAAAAGTCTCTGGTTTACGCGAATTTCAGCAATTTGTTACTCAGTAACCCGTGAGTGTAATTTGTCAAGCTCCGTCCGTCCGCTTGGCAAGCTGTTTTTGGCTGCTTGTTTCGTTGGTTTTTGTTAATGCTATGGTTTTTGATGCTTTGCTTTAAGAATCGAACAATTGTAGTTTAATTATATTTATGGAAGCACAACAGGCCCATGAAAAACATTGCACTAAAAGAACGGTCAAGACAATTACAGATTTTTGGCTATATTTGTGCATGTATTTGCTATGCTCGCGACACGCAACACACACCTTCGCAGTAACGGCAACGCGCAGCGAGCGCGGCGCATCCATAGGGAGCGATTTGTAATCCTAAGCTCGAAATTCGTAATGTCAAAATTTGATAATGTCGAAATTCATAGTGACGAAATAACGGCATTAGGTATTTCCAAATTATCGTTTTCAACATGTGAAAAATAACCCATAGTAGCTTCTTGCTCGGCCCTTTAGTTTGTGCCATTAATAAGGCGGCAACCCATGCTGTAAGGCTCGTAACCGCTACAGCAGCGGTCATCAGGGAACATACATAACAGCTTCGCCGGGCAAACCGCGGTATCCACAGCACCGTACCTTAACGATGTAACTAGATGAAGGTATTGGGTTGCTTAATGGTGGGAACGCAATTACGGGGTTGGAGGCAACTTTTCCGTTATAGGGGGTGGCTCTACCTGATCAAGCAGCGAAAATTATGCTAAAATACTTAAGTTCGGCTCGAAAAACTTCATTGATTTTTCGGGATTTTCGGTATTTTTTCGGGAGTTTGTGAACGTTATTGGCTACTGCAACAAGTACTCTACAAAAAGCTTTAAGTTCAGCCCGAAATAACCTAACTTAAATTAGTTATTAAAAACAACAAAATACAGGGTGTCCCAAAAAATCCCCCCTACCTAGCGGGCCTGAGACGTGTCCGATTTCTACGATTTTGGTATCTATCGAGAGCTCTCGACAAGGCGAGTCCAGCACGCCTTTCGAAATTTTGAAGTTCCGAATTTTTCGTACTTTTACTGATATTTTTGCGAAAAGGGCTGAATTTCTGATGCTTTTCGGATCAACCGGTTTTTTTACAAAAATCACATTTTATGGATTTTAACGACTTTTCCGGAACCGCAAAGACACCTTTTTCAAAACCATTTGCAAAAACCCAGGTTGGGTGGCGCTTAAACCGGTTAAATTGTGGTTTTGCCAAAAAAGCGTCTCCTTGTTGCATAAAAAATACCAAAAATTGGGCAAAAAATTCCTGAATTTCAAAATTTCGAAAGGCGTGCTGGACTCGCCTTGCCGAGGGCTCTCGCTATATACTAAAAGCGTAGAAATCGCTAGGTAGGGGGGATTTTTTTGGGACACCCTGTAGTTTGAACATGCTGGGTTATTTAAGGTAAAGCGTAGGGTGTTTTCGGCATTTTTCACTTTTTGTCGGGATTACATGAACGAGGAAGTGTTGAAACTTAGTAAACCCAGTTTACAGCAAATTTTCATGAATCAATTTTTTAGCGATGATAGGGGGATAATTTTCTTTCGGGCTGAAATTAAAGTTCCTAGGTTAATTTTAGACGCGACGCTCTATCCGTTTTGGTCGATTCCGGGCCGATCCGGCCCTTTAAACGTTGAAAACGTACATCGATATTCCGTTGATTTCACATTGTCGGGTCCGGCTTTGGGTTCCGCACATTCCGCATGTGCTGGTGCAAGTTGACCATGCACTCCATTCCGTCCAGGTGTCACACACGTACTGAAGATTGTTTCTATCTGATTTCCATTGGCTATGATCGCCAACAGGCAACTACGAGCCTAGCTACGGTCGAACGTGTTTTCGCGTGACGCGTACTATGGCTAGAGAAGCTGTAAATTATCGTAGCATTTAAACGAGTCTTCATTGCCATGCGCTAATTAACCTCTAGGATCTAGGAACTGTATTACCTCACAAGAATCCGTTGACCCGGTGAAATTCCGGTTCAACACGTAGTTGTCGCCCGTCGATAGGAGCTTAGCGTCCAGCATTATGGCGCAACTTTGTGCTAAAACCGATTGTCCCTCTCGTTATCATATTGGAGAATTTTACCAATCCCCACACACGTTGATATTTCCAAGCAACGAGAAAAACAACTAGCGTCCGGATCCGGATTCCCTTGCGCTCCGCTTTGACGTTCAAATATAGCTGTCGAATTAGATAGCGTAAACAGTAACAAAAGGCAAAGTAGATACGGCATTACACCACTTTCCAAAGCAAGAACCGGCTGGAAAGTTCCTAGTTTCCCGACGGAATCAGGAATTCTATGCTACAATTAGTTGCACGGCAACGCGTGGGTGTAATTTGTCAAGTTTCGAAAAATTGGTGCCCATTTTTAGTATTTGATTTTTTCGCTTGTGTTATGGATTTGGTTTCCGAGCCCCGAACTTTTTATTTGTCTTGATTTTTCTGTACCTTTAGCCTAAAAAATCCTCAATTTTTTAACGCTAATCGATCGAGCTCGATCTGTACTTTGTAGTTTCGCAATTTTTATTCTGTTTCAAACTTTATCTACAAAGGTAAAGCTATTCCGCAGTGGTACTATATACAAAATACACATTAAAAGCTGTACAAAACCGGTAGCAACAGGACAATAATGAGATCTTCACAGCGGCGGGTTCCCGAAATCTTTGAGCGTTCTTTGGTCGGAGGTGTAGGGGGTTTTGATGTGGGGTTATAAGGTGGCAAAGTTCTAAAAAATGGCATTTGAAACTATTTTATTTTTAGCTATTTTTATCCACTATTTATGTACTAAAAAATCTATAAAAAAATCCAACCTTCGAACTCTCGCACAAGTCGTGTACGTCACATTCCGTTTTGACGGTACAGCTATCGGTGAGGCCGATCTAAAAGGGAGATAAGCTGAGATAAAAAGATTTAGGGCTCCGAAAAAGGTGTGTCTTTATCAAAATATACAAAACTATACAAAACTTACAATATTACGGCCGCATTTCACCATCACAGGTGCGCAACCGAGTTCTCGCCTTTCGCGCTTACCGAACAGTTCTGAAATTTGGACGTAATTTCAGATTTTGATACTTTTTCCAGTGCTGTTTAATCTTAAAACTATTTGAACCAAGTTTCTAAACTTGAAATTTCTTCTAAGACGCTTTTTAAAGCCCGGGTTTCCATTCGAAGCAGGAACCACAAGTTCAACAGGTTCAGCTCAAGACTTTCAAGCTATTTTTCTGCACTACCCGTTTCCCTGTACCCAGCCATCCATCAGCTTTCTGACGCGGGTATCGACAAGAAAGACATCCCACACACACACGCCCCGGAGCGTCGATAGGAATGCGCGGAATGGATGGCGGGCAGAAAAGCGCGCGTATTTTTAAATCTATGATATTCATCACTCTAAAAATTTTGTCGAAGTCAAGGAAATTCTGGACTCGTGCAAAAAGTTCCTGTCAAAAAGCAAAAAGAAAAAATCGTGAGAGGATCGGTACCCTCGTCAGTATCCTATCAAGCGAGTTGCTTACCAATTGACCATTCGACCGGTGATTCCATACTGATGGGCGAGCCTAATAAAGCTTCCTTGGATTCTAATTTTTCGCATGCAAATCGTCATTTTCCGGAAGTGCTGTATCTCTGTCCAGAGGCCTCCGCAGGAAAATCGGAAAGCGGCATCGTGATCTCCATAGTCGATTACCCGGGGGTAGCCGCGAGGGTTTTGTGAAATTCCACTTCGTCCACGTGCCCTTCCCTTGTAAAAGGTACTGACGTAAAGATTGGTAGAATTTCCAAGGACGTATATCCGAATTTTAAGGGGTACGGTACGTTAAACTACGCTTACGCTACTGTCCGTTACGAAATCCCCTGATTTTCTACACCTTTTTGCAAAAGCGATTGCGTCAATGATTCAAGAAATAAATTTTTTTCAACTCGGATCGTTCCCTTTTCCAATCGCAGAACGTCGCTAGTTGCCCGCCGTAAATCACGGGACAAATGAGAGAAAAATGGAACGCTGGGGCTGGTCGGGTCCCGCAGCGAACCGAAATAGACTGGGACTAATTACTGGGTGTGGCTTTCAAAAAAATTGGGAAAAGTTAATGGTTTTTGGCAGTTGCTTGATAGGATTGTAATGGGCAGCATTTGTAACTCGTTTCATTCCGTAAGAGTACTGCTGACGAGAGCGAGAGAGAGAGAGAGAGAGCGAGCGAGCAAGAGACAGACTTCCAAACTACCTAATCCCTTTAATCCTCGACCCTGATCTGCTACCGATTCACCAAAGTGATCCGCCTTGGATCCCCAGGGGACCACTTTCCCCCTACCAGGAACCCCACATGACTGTATCTTTCCCCTTAACAGGCTTTCTCCACCCGTTCCACCAATAACAACATTTTTCGGCGCCGGTCAGCTGGTCAGCGCGGGAGTGCCGAAAATTTTTGCAAATAGGACGCGTGCGGACCCAGAATTGGGCGAATTTGGGATTGATAGGATCGATGCACTAATGGAACCCGGCTCTCTCGTTCTCTCTCTCCCCCCTCTCTCTCTACCTTGCTGACACCATCCCTTTAACCCCCGGATCATGTGCTCCCCTAGGCAATGATCATCCCCTTATCCCCACTCGATCACTTTCCCATCCCGAATCAGCTGGTCGACGCCCCAGGGTGGCGCCGGTCGCCATGGATCGGGAGATTCGGCCCCCAAAATAACCCCGCTTTTTCCTGGAATTTATCCCCCTGATGATGATGATAATGACCGTTCCAAAAAAAACTTGTTGATAACGTTTGACGCACAGGAGTTGCCATATTTCAGGAGCCGAGAGAATGATGGATCTTGGGGCAAAACAAAAACAAGAGGGTCAAAGGTCAAGGAAGAGCTTTTGCCGTCCAAAATAAATTGTGGTAAATTAAATATTGCACTACCTACAGTAATCCAAGATTCATCTACTCACCACTCTTCTCCAGCTCGAGCACGACGCCGCAAGACTTGGATTGGAGCGTAAATCTGGATTGCCTTGGGGCTCGTCGGACTCGGAGTGCGACGTTTTCCTAAAGTAGAGATTTACTTCATTTTCTGGATTTTTCTGACCTTTTCCAACTCGATGGGGATCAAGAAACACATGTCAGGGTCCTGGGCCACTCGTGCGAGGGTGAAGCTCTGAATTAAATAGGGTAATCGATTAGCTTTACTGCCACGAGGGAAAAATATCTTGGTCTCTCGCCCTCCCCCCCTCTCCCCCCCCCCCCCTCCCCTCCTAAGAAAGTAGAGTTCGGAGGGGTTGGGGGGGGGAGGGGGGGGGGGAAACGAGAAGTGACACGTCCCACATTGGTCTAAAAACACTTTTACTAATCTTTAATTTGGAAATGCTATTTACACTATGGCTAAAATTCAACCCAGACTTGCCAATCCCTTTAAAATTCGCATAAAACTGTTTCAAACAATTTCTCCACCCAAATTTCTCGCTCACCTTCTGCGGAACGGCGGCGAATCCTTGCGCGGGCAGCCATTCGATCTGCAAATTTAGGATCATACTTTTCCAATTCATTTCCAGTTTTGAGCATGAGATTTCTCCCTCAATCGTAGGGTTCCTCTCTCCCCCTCTCTCTCTCTCTATCTCTCTATCCCCACAACTTATCAATTTTGAGGAGAGAGGACTCTTTTGAGGAAGTGCTGAGCGCTTTACTCGGCGACTGTTTCAGTTTTTCTCGGGATGAAAATGTGGGCTCTTCCCGAATTCCGCTAGGCTGATTGGGGTTTTGGGATAGCCCTCCTCGATGTTTTTCGAAACCTTGACGCGCGCCGAGGGTTTGCAATTTGGAAATATCCGTATTTTTCGTTCGGCCACCACCCTCGCGCCATGTTGGCGGCGCCTAATTTGATAGTAGAATTTTGGAGGCTATTTCGGACGTGGTTTCGGGCCGGTCAAGGTTTTGACCAGAGCAGTTTAAACCGGCTAAAACCACAGAAAAAAATGCCAGAATTGAGAAGGCACGAAAATCAAAAATGGCTAGTCACGGTTTCTCCCAAATCTTTTCAAAAACAATAATAAACAGCAAAAAGATAACAATTCCAGAATTAAGACTGTATCAAAATTTTGGGTCTAAAGAGTGTAAAAACCCAATTATTAGCGCCGTGAAAGTTGTAGTTTTGAACGCAAACTTTAGTAAGGATAATTTTCTACATGGTGTCCCAAAAAAAACGACCCATCTGGCATTTCGCCGTGTTACATCCAATCGGTCCCATATTTGGACCAGAGGTGTATCAGACCCTAAATAACACCAATCCTGACTTACAGCCCCCATAGCTACAGTAGTTTTAAAGTTATAACGAAAATACTGTTTTTCCCGGAATCCTGAGCAGTTTTATCGGCTATCTTTTGGACTTGCACTTTTGCACGACTCCGGCTGCGAATCCCTAATTACGCTTAAGAACTGGGGTAGTTTTGCGTTGTAAAAATCGCTTAAATCGAAGCTTATTTAATTAATTTTACTCTGGAAAAAATTTCTTACGGTAAAGAAGGCTTACCGAATCATTTTCACTTAATGTTTAGGGGGTCTAATTCCACGAAACCCATATGAAAAATGGAAAATAAAGTTAGTTTTTGCTATAACTGGAGAACTACTGAAGCTACCGGGCTATAAGTCAGGATTGTTGTTATTTAGGGTCTGATACACCCTGGTCCAAATTGGGACCGATTGGATGTAACACGGCGAAATGCCAGATGGATCGTTTTTTTTTGGGACACCCTGTAGGTAAATGACATATTTTTATTGCTAAAAACAACCCTACCTGCTCTATCCTCACTCCCGAATAATCCTCAGTCCCGTGGTACATGTGATCGGCGAAAATAAACGTCAACACGGTCGAAATCAGGATGACGGCAACAGCTACGATTGTCAACCAGCCATAGCTACACGATTGCTGCTCCTCGCCGTCGCCTTCTGCTTTCAGCATTTTCTAGAAAAGTATATGATTTTGTAACTTAGATAAATATTGCAGAAACAGCGAAAAATAAAAGGAAATAACGTCAAGTGTTGTCGAAGAAGCCGCGAAAATTAATGGGAGGCGTACATCAAGGAAAATCAGTTGGGCAGATTTAAAAAAGGTAAAAAAATGCAGAATTCAGTTCTTAGAAAATTATTATGTGATCGATTCCGGAATTTTCCGGCTTTCGGATTCCGGAATCCTCTTTGATCCGAAAAGCCTTCTAATTATAAGTATTTTGAAAATTAAATCTGACAAGTATTGAAAAAGGCAAAATTTGGAGTAGCAAAAAGCCGGCAAATCCCTCAACCAAAGCATGAAAACAAAGCCTAAAATTTTTTAATCCGTTCGTTTTTAGGTCTCTTTAAAAACATTAGGGTAAAAATACATAAATGTAGAGCATCACCATTAGGAAAAACAAGCTCAAATCCCCCGCCTAACCGCCAAAATAAAGCCCGACCAATGATGATGGCACGCCATCCCGGGCGCTCGGTTTGGCAAAATAGGCGCATCACTCACTCGCGCCCAGCGCGCACACAAACGCGCGTGAGTCTGTGTTTTCCAGCCAACAGATCCTGGGTTGGCTTCTCGGATCGGCGAGGCGGGGGAGGAGGCGGAGGATCCTGGGCTCTGACTGTGTTATATCGGGATGAGAGATATATCCCCTCTCCGTCCCCTACACCCCTATAGACGGTCGAAAACCATCGTCGGTCCGGGGTAAGCAAGGGCAGGGACCTGGTACACAGTTCGGTTGATAAAATTGAGATCGAATGAATTTGACAGCGCGGGTCAAAAGATGGATTAACTGAAACCGGAAATGTCATGTTGGGTGGTCGGGGTGGTATCACGCGTAGATGCTATTTATAGGATTTTCGGGCTATTTTTGGTAGCGTCGTCTTTGCTACAATCCTGCTTTTGCGATAATTGCCTCGAAAATTAGCACTTTTTAAAGCGTCCGTTCGGATTTAGGAAGAAGAAGGAAAATTCGAGCGTCGTTGTCCGCAGGTTATTTTTTACGCCTTGAATTTGGTCTATCAGCGCTGATTTGCCGATCGACACCAATAAAATACACGAAATCCGGGTATATCTCTTTCGATGTTGACTACACAACGCTCCACTGAACATAACTTGTAGTGAATTGTCTATTTTTTTGTTGCTTAAACACGTGAATGCAAAAAAGCGGCGTCAAAGTGACGTTCAAGGGGTTGGACGCACATTCCTATGGACATCTGCGTCTCTCCCTCTTTCTCCCTCTCCTTTTTGTCTTGGTCTAACTGCGCAAAAAGGGACATACGTCATCCTCCCTGAACGCACGCTTGAAATAGATCAAAATTCTCTAAATTTAAAGCTCTAGCCAGTAGCCACTGGTGCCCCCGCATCGGCCGAGCTCAATCTGTGAGCCGAGTGGATGGACTGTGTCATCGACACCGTCCGGAGCGCCATCCGGCCATTCGTACGCTTTGATCCTATCCCTCGAAGGAGTACGAGGCGCTGCTATCCACAGTCCCACTATCCAAAATCTCGCTGGCGTGTGTGGAGTGAGGAGTGCCCTTTAGACTGGATGGCGCGGGCCCGGGTTGTCAGGGGCTTCTCATCCATCAAAAACCGTCGAGCAGGGGAAAGTAGCACCAGGAAATGGGGGGGTGGTCTCCCGGGATCTGAGTCGGGAACGGCGGGTTAAAGTGATCTGCAGGGTGAAATATGCGGCCGAGTGAGATTTAGAAAACGCGGCTTCCACCGGTAATTAATTTAAAAACTAAAAAATATGACTGTAGAAATGTTTCTACGCTTTAACGATTGTTTGTCGGCATGGAAGCCCATGCATAATTTAGAAAACTGTAATTCGGCCCTAACAAATTGAAAACGTTAAAATTACAAGCAGATAAAGGTTTGTATACTTTTAATACTGTTAACAAACGCAGGTTTCTCTATTTTATGACTAAAACATACCTATAACGATAAAGAAAACTAAAATACGCGTTACTAAAAGCCTAAAAATACCAAACAAACTTCTTTCTATAATACTAAACTTTTAATAAGTTAAAAATACAGGCTGGCTTGTGTTAATGCCTAAAATACACCTAAACACCAGAAAGAAACCAAGAATAAGAGCGCTAATCCCTTCACACGTGTAAAACAGGCATTTTGTGTCCTTTCAAAGCTGAAAAAAATACATTTCAGCCGTTTCACCACCTGCATTTTCCGTCCCAGAGCTCGGTAAGCAGTATTTATGCGTAGTGCAGTGGATATCATAAGTCGAAGAAATAAAGCCGATACACTGAATGAATTCACGAATCAATTTCAGGGTAAGTTACAACAATCAAATCGTCACAGCGACTTCGATTCTTTTGGGGACCCGATAGTGCCGGTCAACAACGATACGGTACAAAATACAGAATATAGAGAAACAAAATGTTAAAAAGTTAAAAACGACGGTGCTAATGCACTGGGGGGCAGTCTGGATTTTGACTACAAGACGCTCCAAATGCCGTTTTTTAAACTCGAAGCCTCTGGAAAAGCTAAGCTAAGCCTAAGCCTAGGCTTAGCTTCAAAGAAACGAAGCCTGAGCTTAGTTTGAGCCAAGCTAAGCTTAGTTCTAAGCTAACCCATAAATGACCCCATTTTGACCTCGTAAGTCAATTTGAAGCTCAAGATAAGCTTAGCTTGGGCTTAGGCTTAAGCCTAAGCCTCAGTTAGGCTTAGTTAAACCTAAGCTAAGCCAGGCTTAAGCCAAAAACCAAGTAGCTAAGCGGAGCGCCTCGTAACCCCTACTACCAATTTTGACTGCCCCCTAACTGCATTAGCACCAAAACGACAAGTGAAGCATGACAATAGTAATCGATCGGGTTGGTGCCTGGGTGTTTAGAATCGGGCGCGCAGAAGGCAGACAGCGGGGAAATTGAGGGTATTTAGGCGGGGTGAGCAACGTTTAAAAAGTGGAATTTTGTTGAGATTTGGTGAGTTAAAAAAAAAGATAGGTTATCAAATTTCGGCCACAACCAACAGGGCAGTTGGATCGGGTTGACAAAATTTCGCTAAACTTCGGGTTTTAGACTTTAAAACTTTAGAAAATCAAATTTTCACGCGGGGAAACACTGGGCGTACTGTACGTTGAGCCGTAGCATAGTGGAAAGTTGTAAAAAACACGCGCAAACCGTAATTGTACGTTTAGCAGCGGAATCCGGGAGGGGAAGAGTGGCTAGATTAAAACACCGAAAAATTGAACACTGAAAAAGAGTGTTCAAAAAGGCAATTATGTAGCGGCAGAGACCCAATACCTGGTTAGGGCTTAGTAAATCGCATTTAAAATATAAAAATAGGAAAGATTCGAGCGTTGAGTCAAATAGGGTGTAGTTTGTAAGACAGCGGAAAGTGTGTAAGGCCAATTTTTGGGGCGGGGAGAAAACCTGACCAGAGAAAACACAAGGCATCGAATAGGGTGTGCGGGAGCTGAGGTTGTTTTTTGGGGAGCTTTGGGCATTAGTGGTGAGTACGCTGAATCGTACATCGAGAAACACGGGGTGTCAGTACGGACAGTTATGTACACGGTAGATACAGGGGTGTCTAGGGATGCCCGGGGTTCCGCGGCGGCTCGAACGGATCGGCGAATTGGTGTTCGTCGGAGTGGTGCGTAGCGGCTGGGTGTAGCTCGGTCTCGTCGGTGCTGAAAAAGATCCAATAGAAGTTTCGCCGGCCCAAGACGCCAAAACCTTGATTTTTGTTCAAAAATCAGTAAAGTTCAAATTTTTTCAATTTTCTAAAGGTATTATGATGTTTTCGTTTCAACCCCACCAAAAATTCGTAGTTAAATTCCCCAACGTTAACAGTCCAGTACCTAACGATGTCCACGAAATCCCCATAAAACTCACTGATTAACAAGCGCCATCACGGCCGATGGTGGGGGCAAATTGTTGACGGCGTTCTCGTCAAAGACCACGTTGTCGAGCCCGGTCGGCAGATCCGAGGGCTAAAACAAAAACATATAAATTTTTGCGCTTTACACTAACCGGAGAGGCCCCGCTGACCCGCATGACGAATTTCTTGAATTTTTCCTTCAACGACGTGGCCGACGAGGAGACGTGCATCGACGAGCCGGACTCGTGATGGCTGAAAATAGGAAATTGAATTTTCATTTCGAAAAGTTTAGAAACTAACAAATCCAAATGAGATCCGCAGCGCATATGCTACGCGCCCAGAAAGTCATAAGAAAAATACAGTATATCGCCGCAAAATTATCGTCTTAAAACCCCAATTTTCAAATTCGATAACCCGAAAAAAAAGCCAATACCATTTCGACATGTAATTCCAATTTAGCCCAAACCGCAACGAGCACGCTACGCATTCAATGACTGCCAAGCGGATAAAATTTTCCATACCTTGGTCTCGGTTGTACAACTTCGATGTCGCTGTCATCATCACTAGGCACCAACTGCTCGGTGTCGCCAATCGGCACGGGCGTCGCATCGTAGCTCTCAAGATGGTGATGAGAGGTCGAGGAACTTGCTGAAATCACATAATTTATAAAAAGCACTCTCCAAGAATCCTTACCTTGCTCCGGGTCGTGCAAATTCTCGACCGAGGGCTCTTCCCGCAGCTCCCGATATCGGTTCTGATCGATGAGCGGGTTGGGCTGAAACGAAGCCGATTAAAAAAATAAAATAACGATTAAAAATTATTGCTAGTATCCAGCGACTAAGTTATTAATTTCTGAAAAAGCCTATTATTAGTGGCCGCTTTAAAAACGTAATCGTAATCTTGGAAAATAGGAATTTTTACCACCACAATGGTGAGGCCCTGGATTGTGAACTGAAAGGATCAACTTTTGGAAAACGTAACTATCGAAAAATCATTAAAAAATCAGAATTATCTATTTTAGTCGGTTTCGATGATATTTCCAACGTTGGAAATTCAGAAGCCTATAACACACCCTCGAGCCGGCATCGGAATCTTCGCTGTCGGAGCCCTTTTCGCCCACTCTCCGCTTGCACATCGGGCACACTTTTCGATTCTTCGTCAGCCACGGGTCTATGCATTTGCAGTGGTAAACTAAAAAACATTTAAAGTATCGTCGCAAATTTTAGAAATAAAAAATTGCGCAATTTTGACACGTTTTGGCCATTTTGTTAAGCGGGTTTAACCAAAAAGTTTAAAATTTTCGAATTCGAAGTTTTTAGGAGCTTTTTATATACAAAAAATTTTCAAATACTGGAAATGGTCTATATTTCGCTATAGGACCGTACAAGACTACCAGGAAAAACCGGTTTCCCCCCGCTAATGGACCAGTACCGAAAACTGCACGTACCATGCCGACACGGCAGTATCCGCAACTTTTCGCCCTGCACAAAATCGTCAAGGCAGATCGCGCACGTCTCCGGCTCCTCGCCAGTCTGAAAAAATGATAGAATGACCAAAATTCAAAGGTTCACCTACCTTATACCGTCGCGTCGGAATCTTCTTCAAATTCTTCGCAGACAGTCGTTTCCTCGATTGCCGTCTGCGCTCCCGGCACACTCGGTAGAGCTTAAAATATAAGCACTGAAAAGCAAGGGAATATGTGGAAAGGGAGAAGCTAGAATCGGCGACTTCAGAGTCGATAGGCCGTGAAAATGAAGCTGGAAAAATTACCAGGCTGAAAACGAGGACGGTGAAGCAGAAGCCGATGACGACGAGGAACGGGATTAGATACCGGAAGAGGTCGTAGTAGCCGGCTGTTAGTTTGACCTGAAAAACGGTAAAATAACTGGATTTTCATAGCTTTATAACTTTAAAAAACTAACAAAAGCCCGCTAACTATAAAAATTCAATAAAGGAATTTTGATAGCTTTATAATCTCAGAAAACCACAAAATAACTGAATTTTAATGAAAATTAACTAATACAAAATTTTTATAGCTTTGTAACTTTAGAAAATAAAAAATATGGTTAATTTTAAGGCAAATTAAATTATACAAGCTTTTACCTGAACCCAATAGCCGTCCTGAACCGGAAACTTCTTTAGCAGCTGCTCCCGGCACTCATAGTCGATCATTATCAACGGAATGTTGACCTGAAATCGAGAAATAAGACAAAATATGAAAATAAATGAAATTCTGATGTTATGAACTCCTATTCGAACCCCGAGGCGCTACGTTTCGTCAGCGAACGCCAAAATGAAAGAGCCTAGAAATGAGATGCAAATCGCAGGCGGCAAGGGCAAAGAAAACAATTTTCGGTACAATCTTTGATGTTATATAGTCAATCGGACCCCGGTGACCCTGAATTCAAACAAAAATCGATCCCAAGACCAGCCGCATCCTTGACTTTTTGTAATGGCCGCAAAGCGGTCGCACGAGACACGACATTTTAGGGGCCGAGCAAACATAATCCTCGTGCTCTTTTCACTGAATAGTCCTGAAGGTTGTCGAGAATCTTTCGAAAAACATTTAATAGGTTTGGCGCACTTTTTAGAAACCAAATAATTAGCTTCTCAAACTTTAAAAACATGAAAAATTAAAAAAGTGAAAACTCACATCGTCCTTATACTTCCCGCCGGCCATCGTGATCAGCGGCTCGCCCTCGTTGTTCCCAACGATTAAGGCGCGGAAGCCGCCGTGGGAACCAGTCTGGAAAAGGAGAAAATATCAAAAACCATCCTAAACGAAGATACCTGCGCAAAATACGCCTTCTCGGAGAAGCCGCATCCGCCGCGGGGCACCAGCGCAAAGTTGACGATGCAATCGCTGATGTTCGACCTGACCATCTGAAAAAGAAAGGTTATAACGGGCCAAAATTAACGAAATTTTGGGTTTTCAACGTCCTAAAGAAGAAAATGAAGGTTTTTGGTAGCCAGGAACACTTCAACAAAAGACGGTCAGGTTCGGATTTCGATATACAAAGTGTTTCTGCAGTTTCAGCCATATAGAAACGTTACATACCTCGACCGGCATGCACGCGTCTGCAGGCGTGACCGTTTGAAGACATCCCGTCGCCGTGGGCCCAAAAGTGAATGCTGCCGTATCCGCGCCGAAGACGGCACCCGTAGCGTCACAACGTAGCACTGTTCTGCGTACGCCGAGCTTCGGAGGGGCCAACTGAAATGGGAAAATGAAGATAAGTTAACTTTCTTCTACTAAATTATCATTATCCCTAGAAATACAATGTTAAACTAACAAAAAGAGGCTAAAATTCTGGATTTTACGATAAAAACGAGCAATTCTATAGTTTCGAAATGTAAAAAATGAACTGGATACCACAAAAATCAACATCAAGTGCTGAAAAATGTGAAACAACGAGAACCACGTAATGTTTTAGATTTTGCGATAAAAGTAAATCTTTTTCAGCGTGATAAAGCAGAAAAATCAACGTGCTACGAAACCAGCGCAAAACTCGTACAAAAAACGAGGAAATTTCTGAGTTTTTTTGCGATAAAGGTTTACGGAAACGTTAAAAACCCTCTATTCTACGTTGTTAGACAAAAAAAACCCACCACTTCTAGCATAAACTGGGCGGTGGACATCTGAATAAACACGGCGGCCGACACGAGCATCCATCTTGTTGTGTCCATCCTCTGATTCGGGGCTTCTGCTTTGTGTTGTTTTCTCTTGGCCCTCCCCGCCTTCTCCTCTCTACATCAACCGAGATCGTATCTGAAATTTTATTTTTTGTTTTCTTTTCTTTTGATAAACAATACACCGTACCGAGGAATAAAATGGAGAGCAAATGTGGACTCGGGGGAAATCGGAGAAGGTCAAAATTCTGAAGGCGGTCCTGCTTGGACGCAGAATTCAGAATCTTGACCTCATAGGAAAGTGAAATGAAGAGTCGTAAAGCCGATTTGAAAGTTTAGAGTTAGAACATCGTTGTTTTATAGACATTACCACTCTCTACGATTTCATTTCCCAAAAAAAACGTAACAATTGCCGATCAATCGACCCAGTACGTCGGGAGAAAAAAAGTAATATGCAAGATAGTAAAAAAACCGCCAAAACATTCAATATACCAATAAATATTTTTGTAGAAATCGTGTATCACATGTTGTTTGGAAGAGTGGGCAAATGGGTATGGAAGTTGTGGGCCTTTGTTGCTAGCAAAGTTGGGCATTTTCAGCGGATTTTGGGGCTCATCAGGGTCGTTTTTAATAGAATTCTATAAATTAACGTCAACGACATCCCAATAAGCCCTAAAATTAGCCAATTTGTATAGAGCAATCTACGGGCGTCAATAACACGCCTGGCTAAAAAAGCCCGCCAAAATTGGGAACAATAAATTATGCAGTCAATCTCCGGGAAATAGATACGGCAAAATGATGCGGGGAGGGGCCTAGCGATCACATTTTCAGCTCCAATTATATATCAAGAACAAGCTAGATTAATTAAAAAGGTATAAAAAGTTTCGAAAAGTTTTTTATCACAGCAAATCTGGGGACGGGTATCAATGGTTTTTGATCCGATTTGGGGGGAGGTTCGGTATGGGATTCGTCTTTTAGGGTACAGGATAGAAGAATTGGTAAGTAAAAGAAGATAAATAGTATTTTAACCATAAAAACTTTTAGAAAAATGCGAGTCCAGGGTTTTGAAGATTTAGGCTGGCGATCTTTGTTTTGTAGTTAGTTTGCTAGCGCTAGTTTCCAATTTTTGTGAATCACACATTAATGAAAACATAAAACTGTCTTTTTATAATATTTTTTGTTGATATCCTACTATATATAAAAAAATAGTGTCTGTGTGTGTGTGTGTGCCACTTTGCATCCACTTCCGTATCGTTGTTCCAGTCGTATCTCTATAGGGGAAGAAGTTATGGGTGGGTATGATACGTCATTAGGTGCGTAATGTTCTAGGGATGACTGCCCACATAACAGATTTATAAAAATCTGCCATTTTCGATATTAAATTTAAGTTTTTGTAAATCCCTCTTCGCTAGGAAAAATTAGCATTGACCGGAAGTAGGAAGTCGCCTATATAAAGGGTCAGAAGCGAATCATTTTCATTTTTTGTCATCTGAATTCAGCGCAATTATGCAAAGCGTAGAATAGCATGCGGTCCAAGACGGGGCCAGGGTTGAAAAGTCGCGAAGCGGCCTTTCAACCCTGGTTTAGGTAATAAATTAAGTTTTTTTCGCTATAGAACCACCAGCCCAACCCTAAAATGCGCTACGAAACGCTAGAAAACGTGCGAAAAGCTGCCAGGGCCAACAAAAACCATAATTTTTAGCAAAAAAAAGCAAGGGTAGGGCTCGCTGCCTATAAATTTTGGGGAAAGGATATGCGGAAGCAAATTTTCATAATCTATTGGAGCACTCTCGGGGTCAGGAAATGTGTAGGTTGTAGTTTGGGCTGACGTTTTCGATTAGTCATGCGGCTTGTCGACACGGCCCGGATCGTTGACGACCTAGAAATATAATTTGGAGCTTTTTAAATAACTGATTAGGTCGAGAGCTATAAACTACAACGCTTTATCAGCTTAAAACAATCTGGATTTAACTTTTTTGACAATTTTTGTTATAAATAGGATAGTTTAGTCGAAAGCTATGTCGTATCGTACTATATATAAAAAAATAGTGTTTGTGTGTGTGTGTGCCACTTTGCATGCAACTTCCGTCATTATGTTCCAGTCGTATCTTGATATGGAAGGAAGTTAAGGGTATGTTTAATACGCCAAAAGGTGCGTAATGGTCATGACACGACTGCACACATATCAGTTTTTACAAAAAGTGCCATTTTCGACATTAAAATTAAGTTTTTATGAAAATCCGGGTCTCCCTCTTTGTTAGGAAACAATTTGCATGCGACGGAAGTGACGAAAGCCTATATAAAGGGACAAAAGGGGATTTTTTTCATTTTTCGACATGGGTGATTCGTGAAAAATATGCAAAGTGCAGAATATCATCGGATCAGACGGAGCCAGGGTTGAAAAGTCGCGAAGCGGCTTTTCAACTCTGGTGACTTTTAAAACAGTTGGGATAAGCTTTATCTAGCCATTTTCTGCGATTTCGATTCCGGTAAATAGGTTCACACTTGAGAATAGGTTCATTTCGTGCAAAGCTACGAACGACCACCTTTTAAAAATTAAATTAGCTTGGTTTAGCCAATTTCGTTTATCGAAATGCGTTTGAAACTTGTAAAAAAAACGCTGTAAAATATGAATTTTTGATAGCTACAAGCTACAAGATTTCAAAAAAAAAATTAAATTAGTTCGATTCAGCCATTTTTGGCCGTAATTTGTTCGAGAACTACAAAGACAGCCTTTAAAAAAAAAAATGCCGCATTTGCATACCTTGATCGCCTTTTTGTACCATTCCCTTCCGTTCTGATGGACATCATTCGTGTTCTCGACGACAATCGCGTCCGGTGTCCCGTAATTCGGTGGATTGGCCATCGGGTCGTATCCCAAAATGGCGAGCATTGGCGCTACTCCTGCCATATCGTCCACGACATCCTTCGGAATCTGGCCCACCCATTTCGAGAGCGCATCAACATTTACCGGTTTCACGACCTGAAAGGTTTTTTGGTGAAGATTTATCCTCTAGGCTATTGAGCTTCCTCAAAGCTCTTTGCTAGCTGACCCACCTGGTCGCTGCTCCGCTCGACCTTGCTGAGCGAGATGTCCTTGCCGATGAGTTCTTCGTGGTGGAGGACGGAGGAATTCCAGGGCAGATCCAGGAAGTTCAGGATCTCGCGCATCTGTTTCTCGGGGTGGAGCACGAGTTGTTCGTAGTGGATTTTCAAGCATTTGTCACCGACCGCGTTGCATTGTTCGAGCATTGCCTGGAAAACGGGGTTTTCAAACATTCAGACAATTGAGAACGAGATAGCGAAGGTCAGAGCGAGAGAGATTGAGCCAGAGAGCAAGAGGGATAGAGAGACAGGGAGAGAGAGAGTTAAAGTGCGCAAGAGCCGGAGTAACTACCTGAATAGCCGCATTCCACTTCTGAAGACACTGTCGATAATCAGAGAGATCGAATCCGGTGATGGTAACTTTTCGGCTGATGATGGAGTGTACGGTAGCTCGACCGTCTCTGAAATGGCGCATTGTTTATTGGAGTATGACGTAATTTAAAGCAGTTTTCAGACTTGAGGTTCCAAAAATTCATGTTTTCTGGCTTTCTGAGCGCCTACCTTATCATGAACAACATCTTGGCGTTCGGGAAGATCTCGGTGATGTATTGTGCGCTTTTCATGGTGAACGGATCTTTGTTGCAAAGCCGAGGAGCAGCAGCTCCATGACCGGCGATGATTTGCACGATGAATGAGGCGACGGCGGCGTTGATTACCTAAAATAGAAGTTAGAGGCTGAAGGGAGCTTTTGTTAGATAGGAGAGAAAGAGAGACAGAGTGGGAGAGAGAAAGAGAGAGAGAGAGAGAGCGATACCGAGTGAGAGAGAGCGAGGTGCCGAAATAAAATTTCTGCGTAACAGAATTGCGGCATCGAATTCCCAGCACCCAGAAACAAAAAGCGCTGGGTGGGTTGATTACTCACCTCGTTCGTCACGCCGGCCTGTTGTAGCCGGTTCCACTCGCGATCACTCTTCCGCCACTGCCCCCGTAAGCCCAGGATCCTGAAAAAAAGTTTGTGATTCCAATATTCTTAAATAGAAATCGGCCGTATAGCTGCAAAAGATACTACAAAAATTGATTTTGGGTCCCAAAAATTGAATTTTTCAATTTTTGTTAGTTAGGAAAATGTTCTTCTAGTGATGTTCGGTAGATAAAATGGCTTTTATACGGTCGAGTAATTTTAGTTTTTAAATACAACGTGTCTCCCCTCACCTCGGAATGACCCTGGTCTCTTCCCCGCATCTGACATCCGGATGTGCGTCGAGCATGGCCCTCATCAAAGTCGTGCCAGACCGGGGGACTCCTGTACACGATTACGCAATGAAAATCGGTTTCGAAAATGGCCTTGAAAATAATTTTAGCTATGTTTTAGTACTTTACAAAGCATTCAGTTTTTAGTAATACGAAAATTTGGGTCGGAAGTCCGCAATAATTCCTCAATAATCGCTGCTAGCCGGTTTTCGTTGATTTTTTAAGATGGAAAGCTATAACCTGAAAAATTCTACCTCCAATGAAGATAAATGGTGACTTGGCATCAACCTCATCGAACGATCCGACCGACTTGGCCACCTTGGCCACCATTTCTGGGTCGTACTTCGGGTAGTCGGCGGGCCCACTAAAATTTGGATAAATTCAGGGTAGCGTAGCTCATTTTTCCCACTCCGAACATTCCTAATCACACCCTCCACCTCATGGCCGTGCAATGCTGGCATTTGTGAGACTCCATTTGATGTGCTGACTACAGCTCATGCTCATATTAGTACGCACATTGACGTGAATTTAGTGCCACCACCAAATATAGCCCGATTCTTTGCTAGCTGTATACTTTTGGTCCTCTTTGAAATCCGGGGAATCGAGGGGTACGGTAGTCTGGATGTCACCGTTTAGGGCTTGTCGATTTCGGCTAAAAATTTGGGGAATAGGGTTGGATTTTTTTAAATCATAGTGGCTCGTAGCGCTGCAAGAATTCCGGAAAAATAAAGCCGAAACCATATCCATCTACGCTCTCACTGATCCCTTAAAACTCGTGCTCCTTCCCCCTTACCTGAGCATGAAAACCCAGAGGGTGATGAAGGCGCCCACGATGAGCAGGGCATAGTTGCGCGACTGGTTCCGGCCCATCGCCAAACGATCACAACCGCATCTGGAAAAGTGGGAATGTGATTTGCATACGGTATCGTATAGCGCGATAAAGTTTTTAGAGGAATTCATGAAGGAATGTGTTTTTAAAGTTTAAGATGCATAAAAATATATTTTCAAAGGCGACCCGTAAAAGTCTCAAACCTTCAGAAGTTTAAAATCAATTTAAAAAAGCGCATTCAATGGATTTAGCAAATTTGCCTATCAATTTAAGAAAAGAAAAGCGGAGGAATAAGTCCTAATTTAATAGGATGGAAAATACAAAAAAATTTGTATTAAATCCGCATTGCAAGGGTTGACCACGAAAATCTTAAAATTTGCATAATTTGCATATGGAACTGTGAAAAACGATTGAATAAAATAGCAATAGATTTAATTTGGTCTTAAAGGAACCAACAAGGCAAATCTGAAGCTAAATATATGCTCAAGAAAACGCCCTAATCTCGCTAGGATCCAACACCCATAATTCTGGCGATAAAACAACGGTGTCCCCTCTTCAAAACCAGTCTGATCTACTGAAATCCACCCGAAAAAACAGGCCATAAATCCCGGCACGAACATCCAATTGAGCGCGTTTGCGGTTTGATCCTCCCCGCGGGGCTGGAAACACGAGAGGGGTTCGCGCGAGCGCGCAGAATCGATCGCCCGGCGCGCCAGACACACCAACCCGGCGCGCAGCCCGGGAATTTACACGCGGAAAAACGGAAGAATCGGGACGCGCGCCATGCGTGGAATCGGGAGGACGGGGAGGAAGTAAAATAGGGTCGAGAAATCGAGATGGGGTAGGTAGAAAGGGTACACGATCTTTGGAATTCACTCGAAAAAAGGTGCGACGGTGGATTGGGAGGTCGTATAAATTTTACTACTAAAAATAAGGGCAGTAAGAGTCAACATAATAAATATAAGAGCAGCTGTACATGGATTAAGGTGTTTTAAATTATTAAAATAAGGAGGAAACGCTCCAACCTTGTAAAATTCGGATTTTTTGAGCTGCTAAAGCGTTTTCGTTCCAAAACTATTTGTTTTTCTACAAGAAGGCCGCTTCCTTTTTAACGAACTAAAATAATAACGAGTTTCCGGAAATGTACTAAAGCCAGCGAAATGCACGTCAATAGTTCAGCGACGTTCACGTCACCCGTCAAAGGCAAACCCGACAATGTTGCGACAAGCTAATCCTGGGAAGCAAGCGCTATGTAGAAATAGGAATGTTTCTGGCTCTGAGCTCGAGCTCCTTATAAAGTCGAAGCAATCGATAACGCGAAATCGTTGTTTTTTTTTAAATTGAAAAAGTCAAACGCTTTTGGAAGCCGTTTTGTGTCCTCACTAGTATAAAACTTCACACATCACAATGAAATGTCGCTGGTCACGGTTTTGCGGGTCATGTGGCCATCCTATTATTATATTTTCACGCGCGCCGGCTTTTGGCACCTGGCAATTTGCCAAGAGCACTTTGTGCGAGGTGGGGTGAAGCCGATTCGTCATTTTTTTAAACTGGAGCTTAAAAATGGAGTGAGCACGAGAATTCGAAGAATGCTTGGTTGGCTGCTAAGAAAATCTGAAATAAAGATCAGAAAAAAATGCCAGTCATTTTCACGTCGTAACCACTAAAACTTACAGCGCCCACCAATTCGCCCAAGTCGATTGGGTCATAGTTCAAGGATTTCGAGCCCGATTCGGAAAATAATCAGAAAATCGTCGTTCCCACTTCACTCCAATGGCCAGCCAGACACCGACCGACCCGTTAGATATGGGACCCCCGGGTGGGCGTCAAAAATCGGCGGATTGTTCGCGAGGAAAATCAATTTTTGGGTTGAATGGGGGTTTTCCGGGGCACTACGATTCCGGGGGCAGTCCAGATGATAAATGTGAATAGTTATTTGGGTTGTATTCAATGGAAAATGGGAGAAAAATGCTGTGAACGGGCTGAAAAATGCATGAGAGTTGCATTGATTTTTAGCTGGGCTGGTTTATTGAATGCTAAAAATGCAGTTAATACTAGTAGTGGTTTACAAAAAGCACAACATCACGGTATCAATCCTCAAAGAAAAGAAAAATTATTTCTTACGATATCGGGCTAATTCCCAAGATTTTCCAAAACAATTACGTTCAGAAATCCCCGTATTTTGGGACTACTCGTAGCGCCTAATTCTAGATCGAAAAATGCCAAAAAAAAACGTGAAAATGTAAGATTTTTAGTAGGTTTTTCAAGTTTGATTGACTTCTCCAAACCATTATGCTACGAAATTTCGTAATTTGGAGCTAGGCGTAGCGATTAACCCCTAATTGACCAAAAATACGCCTCGCTATAACCTTACGAAATCTAAAAATCAACGAAAAACTTTCCTATTATCGACAGCCAACGAAAAAGGCAAAAATATTGACACGACCCCGGGGTTTAGGCATGGCCAGCCCCGGCTCGGAGCTGTCGTAGCCCCCAAAATAAACAGAATTCGAAGCCGGGCGGCGATGGCGGGCAGCAGTAGCAATAGGCGTACGTAGTTAGGCGCGCCTCGTAGCGAAGTACGTACGTAGTTAGGCGCGTAATGTAGTGGCACGATGGTAGATAAACACTTTAAAGGCCCGACGGAGTCGCCCCCCCCCCCACAACAAATTGGCGTAGCCAACGGGGGAGAGGCGTCCTGGGGAGGGGCGCAGACTTTCTTTCCCGCGCGTAACCGATTGACTATGCCGTCGGCATCCCTTTAAAGAAGAGAGAGCGCTAAAACGCAACCTTATATTTCAGCGTCAGTTACAGGAATTTGCGCTTATCGTAATGCATCGCCTCAAAATTAGGAAAATCTATGGCCTCGAACTCATTAATCTATCCAAAACGAGGTATAAATTAGTGTAAAATCCATAGCGTACATTGTTGTGCCACGTAGGCGTCCGAGATTAGGCTTTAATTGATTTAAAAAAAATAAAGCTAATGCTCATAAAATTTCCAAATTTGACAAATGCTACTGCTTTAACTAGAAAAATCTATATGGGAGTCGGGAAGTTAAGCTACGATAAGCTACGGTACCGTACGCCTAGCCAGCTCAAAATCTTGCATTTCCGAATCAAATATACCTTACGCTACGTTACGTCAGGCTAAGCCACGCTTTTTCCAAAATCAAATTTAGAAAATTTTTTAGGTATGCTACATTACGTTACGCTAGCCCTTACACTTTTTGCCTAACCATAGCACACTCTCCACCGTACTTTCCGCTGTCTGTCCCGATATAGATGGGCAGATTCTCAAATTGCGTGCGAGTCGCTTCACGGAGGGCAAGATAGGGCACCAGAATCCGACCCGTTACCCGGTACCCAGGAAGTCATACCACGGCCTGTCAAAAGGCGAAGCACGCACGTTTTTATTATCTGCACCCAAGAATTTAGCGCATCAAAGATTACCTGTAAAAAGATAGACGGCGGGGATTGGCATGCTTTTGACGATCGGGGATGCCGAATAGGATTCAGAAAAAATAGGGGGTAGTCTCAAATTTAAAGCGAATTTTTTTAGAAGTAGTAAAGCTATTTTAGAATTGTTTTTCGGCCTCAAGCCAGCCTGTCAGATGTTCTAATCAATGTTACGGGGCAGCGTGAATGGAGGGAAAATTTTGGTCGAGTCAGCCGACACAGCAAAAAGGCCTGTACGGGGCGGCGGTCACCACCCAATCTGTACACGCCCGGTAAACAGCACGCACCAAACGGGATTTTTGTTATTGTTGTGCGTGCGAAACAAAGTGGTAGATCATTGGAGAAAATCGATGCGTAACTGCGCGGAAGTTGGCTTAAAAATGACGGCGTAATAGCTTCAAAAGCTGCGCAAAAATAGAAAGACTCCCCGATTTTTCCGTTATAAGTTATAATTGAGTATAAAAAAAAGATACTTTTGATTTTAGGAGGTACTTTCAAGTAATAAGTCTCAGATAAAGCCATTGGCGCGCTTGATCGGTAGGCTAAAAGAACAGAAAAGGAGCTACAGCCTTGAAAAATAAAGTGAAAAAGATGAAAAATGTCTGTGTTTCCGGGCTACCAAAACGTTTAGAGAATGTGGGAACCGTTCGAAGACGTTTTATATATCTTTGACATTTTAAAACCTACATAATGGAGCAGCCGCTGTTATATCAATAAATTCAGAATATGCCGAATCGAATTTTCTAGAGCAAAAGGTGTTAGCAGGCCGACAAAATGTGATAAAGCGAGTTGCGGGAGTCTTGTCTTCCGGCCAACAGGTGGAAATAATAAACCTAGCAACCCGATGGCAGTCGTCGACGGGAGAGACCCCAAATTGGACGTGCTGTGCCCCGAAACCAGAGTGCCCATTTTGTTACTGCCAATTTTGGCAAAAGGGACAACCCTGTGATTAGACTGGGCGACAAAAATTCGAAATACGCACGAGATTGGAGGTGGTAATTTGTTGGGTGCGGAAATGGTCCGGATCTTTGCGGCGGGAAAGTGATTTGGGTGGTTTGAAAAACTTGCAAAAACTCAGAATTGGATCTTACAAATATCAAAAACGGACAGTTTATCGTTTATAAAACCATTAAATTGCTATAGCTTGGACCTAGAAAGTGAGGATTATGTCATAAATTTTTAGCAGCAAGAAAAAGGGCCTTTTGAACTTTTCATCTTTTAAACTTTCAAAATTCGAAAACGTGGACCTTTTTTGGCCGTTTTTTTTACTGAAAGACAGAAGGTTTCGTAAAGTTTCATTATTTTTGATAACCGTTTTATATAAAAACTGTGTAAAATGCTATAAAAATGATTCAAACAAAAAATCCTTGGAAAAATTAGCTTCCCCTCCCCCCCTCGCTAACAGTCCAGTACCAAAATTTGTAGAAACTACTGCACCTTACCCGCAGGCCCGTAGCTGACCCAAAATTTTGGGGGGGCAAGAAATTCAAAAACATCTGCCATTTGCCGCCCATCTCCTCCTACGGGCCTGCTTACACCTATGTATCGAACTTTGAGTTTTTAAAATTACCTAAATACGGTAATAAGTTACCAAAAATCTCTACGTAACCTCATTTCCGCTCCACTACCCCCTACACCGCCTACTTGTGCACTACTAGGCGAAGAGGGGGCGTGGCCGCGATTCTTTTCCCCTCCCCCCGCTATCCCGTCTCTCCCCCGCTATTACCCCGCTCCCCCGCAACCACACCAGTCCCCCGGCCCTATCGATTTTGGCTTCGGCCTGCCGCCCCACTTTGCGATAAGCATTTTCCCGCTCGTTTTCCATGTTCTATGCAGCCTATTTCTTGCATAAAATATATTTTTTTATAGAAAATGGAGGCCGAGCGCGAGGCCAAGCTCGAACCCGAGCCCGAACCCGAGCCGCAGCCAGAGCCGGAGGCCCAATCGAGCCGAAAAAGGACGTATTCGGAGATTGGCGAGAACCGGGACAGCCTGGCGCTGCTGGATCAACTTTTCGCGCTTCCGAAATTTGAGGACTTGGTGCCGACCGAGAATTGGGCTCTGGGACCGGCGACGACGAGTATGGCAGGTACAGATTTTAAAAGTTGACATTTTACAAAAAAAAATTTTCTAATATTACAAATTAAAATAAAGCTTTTACTTTTTAAACAAAGTAAGGTTTGATAAAAAGGTTTTTTCTGTTTAACGATGGTTCTTGATATGAAAAAAGCCGCATATTCGATGCTAGAAAGTAAAAAAAATTGAAACTTACAATTTTGTATGGTTATTAGAGTAACGACTAGCACTGAAAAAGCGGAATAGGTTTAGCAAGGTCAGATACATTCAATTAGAGTAAAAAGAGTGAAAAACTGCAAGTATCCTGCATTTTAGAAATTTTTTTAGACTACCCCGACCTCGACGCCGAGTCGATTTGGCATCTCACCGAACGGGACGCTATAATGTTCTTCGTATCCCGGGGCCTGATCCAAGTTGGACGCTGCGCCGACCCCTCGCACCCGCCAATGAAGTTGACGAGCAAATCAAAAGGCGCATATCGCTGGGAATGCTGGCGTTGCCTCGATTCATCTACGTGCGGCGTTCGCAGGGACAATTGGTTCCAAAGCACCCGGATTCAATTCGCCGTCGCCCTCAAGTTGATCTTCTACTGGGCCCATGGCGAGCAGAAGACGGTCAATATGAGGGAGGAATTGAAGGTGTCCAACCGCACGGTCATCGAATGGAAGAACCACTTGCGCGAGGTGTGCACGGCCAAGATTTTGAAGGAGCGCGGCTCAGGTTGGTAGTTTGAAAGTTTATGGGGGTTTGAGAAAGCGTTATGGAGTTTATTAGATCGACTTCTGGTGCATTTACAGAATTTCAGCGAGAAAACTGTTTTTCCGTGTTTAGATTGCCTAGAATTCGCTCTAAAGTTAAAAAATTATCAAATTCGATCAGCTATAACTACAGGAAATTGCTAAAATTTCTAAAACAGCGCGTTTCTTAGCGAAAATTCGATCGAAAAGCATAAATTACGTTTTAGACCTTTCAACAACGGGACATTTAGCGAGTAAAAGATTTAAACTCCACCAAAGCTTCAAAATTAAGTTCTTTTTAGGCCAGCAACTCGGCGGCCCGGGAATGACAGTCGAGGTGGCCGTGATCACGACGCGCCAAGCCAGCTCACGCGCGGTGGAGCAGCTGCTTTTCGGTGCGATTTGCCGCGAGAACAAGACCAATTTCGCGACGATCGTGCCCGACCGGAAAACTTCTACTTTACTACCACTGATCCGCGAAAATATCGCCGCCGGCTCGCGGATCATCGGAAAGGACCTGGCGCACGGCCAAAAGTTTATCCTGGACGACGAGTACGAGTTCAAGGTGGTCGGGGAGCAGAGTGGAAGCGGACGGCCCAACACTGGAGCCCCGGAAACGGTCGGAAGGATGTGGGAAAAGTTCGAGGAATCTTTTCGAAATCGGCACGGAACCTCGGAGAAATATTTGGATGGCTATATTTGCGAGGAATTGTGGAGGCTGCGGCTCGATGGCGCCGATCCGTTCGAGGCGATTCTCGCGGATATCAAGGAATTTTGGCCGCCAGGCATCCCGGCTAGTGTGCTGGCAATGATGAGGGCGACTGCGCCAGATTTTTAAGTTGTTATTAAATATTGATAATTTTGATTCGGGTTTAACAATAAAATGTTTGGAAATTGGATGTGTTCTAGAAATGATTCCACGTTGAAAAAGTCACATTAAAAAATCAGAATCATTTAGAAAGATTTAGGGACGGGGATTTGATGGAAATAGGTAGTGTCGACAATTTTTAATCTTTGAAAGTATCGATCGGATTAGGCGCGAAATGATGAAAGTGACGTCTAAAGCTTTACAAGTCTATGATCCGCTAGTTTAGATTCTATAAAATTAAGATGAAAAGGTGCGTTAAGTAAGCAAAAGTAACATACCAAAATCGACGCCGCTTTTTTGACAATCGAGAAAATCGAGACTTTCCCGATCCCCGGGGAAGGAGATCGAATTTCCGTTCTCGGCGCCCCACCCGCACGATTTCCCTTTTCACCGTTTCCACCCTAATCTAATCGATATTTGAAAAGTATTATAAATCTTTCAAACTATTGTTTTCAAATTCAACCCATCAAATCTTCATTTCTAAAGCCAGGGTTCTTATTAACTTTATAATACGTATAAAATAGGGCAGAAAATAGCGGAAATCACGTAGTCGAGATGTCTTACGCGATTTTTTGCACTTGCGAGAGAACATGGGAGAAATAAAGCGTGAGCGAAAAGCGGAAAACGTCTGCTACTGATGCCCGCCTGAACGTTGCACAATAGCGGGTCCAGTCCGGCCGGCTACCCCCTTTGGGTCAACAGGCGCCCCGCGACACCCTCGCTCATCTGGGGGTATAGCTCAGTGGTAGAGCGCTCGCTTAGCATGCGAGAGGTCTGGGGTTCAATTCCCCATACCTCCATAACGTTTTGCTTTTTGGCGGAAAGGTGCGGGAAGGGGTGAGGAGGTGGCGATTGAATTCTATTTTGCGCTGCAGAGCAAGCGGAGGGGCGCAAATTGGAGACCAGGGGCAAACAAAGCTAATTTGGCGGCTGGCCAAGGGAGGAGCATTTTGAAAACTGGATATTTGGGGTTTTAAGAAATAGAATGTGATTAGATTGAGCAAATGGATAAGGAAAATAGAACAGCAGCTAGTTGTTGATATAATCGAATAAAAAGCATGAAATTGTAGGCTTTTAAGGTATCTAAAGCAGAATAAAGTTTTTTAGGGGTTCTAACGGCTAGAGAACCTTCTTTAGCCATTTTTTCGATAGCTGAAAAATTCTTCACGACGTCTGGGTCACGCAAAAACCCATTTTATGCATTGAAAGCGTGCCAAAGGCGAGACCTGGGCGGGGTGGAGGGTCGATAAACGTCTCGTTTCCACCCACCTACTAATCCTTTAATTATGTCTAGACATTGGCTACCCGTTTGCAACCAGCCGACTATATGATAGAATCTCACGTTATAGAATATAATGGGATTTCGCCATTTTATATACAACTTTATTTCCCTAATCCACGAGTGCAGGATTTTGCAGAAAATTGAAATTTCACCCCAAGAACGCCTACGTCCCTATTGAGTCGCAACTGGATTTGGGTTAGGATTTCGTTTTTTTTGCAAACAAATCCGGCGTTACCACGTGCGTCCGGGGGATTGCGACGGAAATATATTGAATTTTGGGTCACGTTTTAGGGGGCTGAGCTACGGAAAAACGAGAAAAGAAATGGAAGATAGCGAAATCGGAAAATTCAGCATAGATGGCAAGCTAGCGGCTATTATTTAGGAATACGCTTTTTTTCCATAGGAAAAAATGCTAACAATATCTCAAGGTTGACTAGATTCTTTAGGAATTATGGATCTTGACTTTTTTAGGTTTAAGCTGGTTTTTACCTACTTCATGTGGTGAGGCATGCTCGCAGGGTCCATTTAGGAATTTCTTCGCACCTCTTCTAATGCCTTTAAAATTTATAGTACTACTAGTAAGTGGGTTGAATGTGATACTACCCAAGGCGGCGAGAAAAGGCGATGAGCGTGCTACCCCCGGGCAAAACAACCCGAATCGGGTGGTATTAAAGGAGGCTGAAAGGAGGCTGAAAGGGGGCTACGAAAGTGTACAAAATCACGCCATCAGCCTGGGTATTTTATACTATTATTTAAAAGTACCGAAAATACGCAAATACGAAATTGATTAAACAGAGCGCGAAATCTAAACACGACAATGTACTCGTGAAAGTGCCCGGAAAAGTGGTCAGCTGTTCGTATGGCAGGAGAGGACCGGAAAATGTTGAGGGAGAAATGATCGATTATTGGCCAAAGTATGGGAAACAGGGATTGTGATGGTCAACGAGCGGAAAGTAGCGGAATCGGGGGGAATTTGGAACCCTGCGTAGGGTTGAACCTGGGTTGACCCTGGCCTTGTAGCCACTTGAAAGGGGGATCGATGGGGGACGGGTTTCACCTAGGTTCAATGCGACTGTCAGCAAGGAGGACGAGCGGTGAGGAGAAAGAGAGAGAGAGAGAGAGAGAGAGAGAGAGAGAGAGGAGAGAGAGAGAGAGCAAGAGATAAATAGAATAAATACAAAGGCAGATGATTAAGAACGCTCCCTAGAACGATCTAAACAAGGGATAGCAAGAAACAGAGAGAGAGAGAGCGAGAGAGAGAGAGGAGAGAGAGAGAGAGAGTGAGTGAGTGAGTGAGTGAGAGAGTGAGAGAGTGCGAGTGAGAGAAACAAAACAAACTATAACCTGGTCTAGATGAGGTCGAGAGATGTCTAGGGGGCTGTTCACTCCCCTCGAGTGCAATTATGAAGAATAGAATGGATTTGGAGGACGGGCCGGGGGAATACCCGGCTAAACCGTTGGAACCTGCGAAAAAAGGGCTAAGCCTGTCGACAGGAAAACCGGGGAATGCGAGGAATATGTACAAAACGGTGGTTTTAACCTTCAGCTGCAAATTATGAGAGTTAGTCGGATGAACGACAAGCCCTTTCGACGGTTGGATTTGAAAATTGTTGACAAAGGGAGAGTGACACGCAGAGAGAGAGAGAGAGAGAGAGAGAGAGAGAGAGAGATTGGGTGAAAGAATGTTTTAAGGGGATTTTGTAGCACCAAAATTGCCACCTAGCGTGGAGCCGGATATGAAAACAATTTCCGGAATACGTGAGAAGCTTCAAAATCCAGTTTTTCGATTAGAATTTTCTGAAAATAACCTAAAAACAAAAAGAATGCGCCCATTATTAGGCGTTGCGGATGTTGATTACGAAAAATAGCAGAAAACGGCCGATTCAGAATCGGCAAAGGAAGCTAAAAAACTGAAAAATTACAAGCGTAGCCGGTTACGCAATGCGCTTTTCTGGCTAATTCTTTTTGCCTTTTTTTGCCAAAAATCCCAGGTTACAAGAGAAATGATAAATTCCGAACCACTCCAAAAACCGAAAGGTTCCTGGAGACTGGAACTCGAAATCCTGAAATATACACGCGAGGGGGAGGGGGAAGAGGTTCCAGCCCTCTGCTTCTCCGTTTTGTCGATCCATCTGCTAGACGGCCCTAAAGGAGGTGCGCAAATATTTGGGACGGGGAGGATGGAGAGACAAGAAGAAGAAGAAGCAGGAGAAGAAGAAGACGCGTCTAAAAACTTCTTGTCTCGCTTCCATGAGCTTCCCTAGGCTCTTTTCCGGCTTTTACACACACGTCTTCTCTATCCACCACATGGAAAATGCCAAAAATATCGGTTTCCGCGTGTGGAGCCTGGAAGGGGCGACCGAGAAAGAACTACCAATAAGTATCCACTTTTAGTGGATTCCTAAGGGCATGCTAGCCAAGAAATTGCCACAGAGATTGACAAAGAAACAGCGGCTGCCTTGAAAATCGGTTAGGTAAACCAGCAGCGAATCTTGAGAAAAGCATTAGCCTTGAGGCGAACCATGAATTGAATAAAAGAAGCGAAAGAACAAGTTGATAAAAACACATCCATCATTAATGCGCCGATTTTTCAGTAAAGACCCCGACGGCAAACCAGCAGAGACTCCTGAGGAACAACACAGCAACAGCAGAAAAGCGGCACAAAACTTTAAAGGATTTCCACAAAAATTGTCGGTTCATTAATAAGTTTTATAATTGTCCAATCTGGCCAGCCAGCAGAGATCCTTTAGGAAATAAAAAAATCTGAAAAGCAGGATTTTTAGGAGAAATATTTGATTTGGATAAAAGTTTTTTTTAAATGATGCAAGTCTTTCAAATTTCATAAAATTTAGCTGACATCAAAATAATTATAATCTGCCGTTAGAATAAATCAGGACATTCGCCGCTGTCTTTCCTAGAGCACAATTCGGCAAATTTTCGTCTAAATATACTTAAATTCGTAAGGTTTAAGAATTCTCTATGTATCGGAATTTGCCAGTAACTCCCGTAAAATCGTACAGCCACGTAAAGTCTGTTTCCCAGCCGTCTAGACGAATTTAGCGCCTAACCATCGCCAGCTGCTTCCGTCTTATCACACCCGTAAAACGACAAAAACTCGATTCCGGGCGAGAAGAGGTCAAGGTTATCAGAAGCCGGGGATTGCCTCACTTTTCTGGATTCAATGCACGATATTTCAGTACGTTACGCTCCAAATTACGCCTAAAGGAAGACGCCAACCGCAAAACACGGATTATCACCGATAAAGTACAAATAGAGAACACACATACGGGGTGTTGTGTGTTGATCGGGTCACGGGGTATTAGCGATGGGTATATTTACAGCGGGGGTGGGTCCCGGGTGGAACCCCGGGCTACGGTACTTGACCTCGCCGGACTCGCCTAATTCCAGGGCATAATCGGTTGGCGGGGCTTGAAAAAAGGGCAGCCTCAGGGGAATTGAGGGCTAATTTTCGACATCCTAGGGCTAGAAACGACGTTAAGATGTCCTTTTTCTTAAACTTAAAACTAAAGGACCTTAATTTCGGAAAGACCACGGTTTTGTGGGGTCAGAATCTTGTCTTGGACAAGATTTAGCTCTTTCGAAGTCTAAAATGCACAGCATAAACTATCGCAAAATTTTTTAATCACCTTTAAAATCCGTTAAACTTCTTTTAATTAAGCTACAGGTTTGAATTTGAAGTAGATAATCTGAAACATTAATAGATGCTGACCTCAAGAGGATGTTTTGACCATTAATGCGTATAATAGGATTGAACGTAGCTACTCACATGTCACGGTGTCTTAGAGCGCGCACGGCGGGTGGGGACGGGCATGGCCTAGTGGTCTAAGGCGGCGGCGGGCGCGGGGTGCTGGTTCGATTCCTCCCCTCGCCAAAAGACGCGACACCGTTTTGCTTTTTTTGCAAAACGTTTCTGCAATGACACCGTCAATAAATCTTCAGCGAAGTCCACGTAGAAAATTGGGCAGATGGGACGATCCCGAGGCCGTAACCAGAAAAACTCTTGATTTTTGCTTCAAAACGTTTCAAGTCCTTATTTTTCCCGGCGATCGCCGAAATTCTTTGGCCAAAATGTTCCCTAGAGTCTTCTCTATCGATCGCCAGGTGGAACATTTGTAATTCTTTCTCGAAAAAAAGTTATAGCTTTTAGAAAGCTTTTTCCAATACATTTTGGGGGCCAAAAAGGGGCGTGGCCTAGCCCAGTCCCTCCCGTCCCCTCGTGCGCGCTCCAAGTAAGGCCTAAGACACCGTGATGTTTTAAAACGTATAATCGATGAGGATCTTACTACCTAAGACACGATTTTCTTCATTTTGTGGTTATTGAACCCTAACTTCGACTTTCTGTAATCGAAAATAGTTCGTTTTTGCTGACTCTGATTTTTACTTTATTAAAATATATTTCCTCTTATTCTCAGGATGCGCAGATGATCTCCCTAACCAGAAACCAGCATCTAATCATCAACCTCTGCGCGATCATCTCGTTATTTTTATGGGTCAACCACAAACTCGGGCAACTCGCCGACAATGGACAGCCAGGAAATTATGGACCGGTAGCTAAAGTCTCAAGAAGACCCGGAAATATTGTCATTTATAATCGGGTAAGTCCCACTTAATACAAAACGCATTAAAGCGTAATTTATGTTATGGAATCGGTATAAAAAAAGTTCTTTAAGGTCCCAAAAACCGGAAGTACAACCTTTACTAATGCCGTGGCGTACGATATGGGGAAGATTAATGGGTTTACGACGATACATTTGAATATGACGAAGAATCGGCCTGTAAGTATGACACCCACTAATCTAGCGAAATTTTTGGCCTTAAGCAATGAACAATAAATTTTAACAATAAAAAAAACAAATGTCCCTTCAAAAATTCTAAAACCTGAAAAAAGTAAAATGATGAATTTAGGTAATGAGCCTGCCAGATCAGGGAACCTTTAGTCGAAACTTGACCACATGGGACGAGATGTTGCCCATATTTATTCATGGACATGTGGCTTATGTGGATTTTGAGAGGTGGGTTTTTCACAAGATAGATACATCTAAATTAAAATCAAAATAACGAAAAGAAATGGACGAAAAATGACCTTATATTCCTGAAGCCAAAATTATAACGTTTAATGTTTAAAATATCGAAAAATGTCACTTTTTAGATTCGGCTACGCCCCGCCAATTTACATCAACCTGTTACGTGAGCCGTTGGAGCGCCTGCTCTCTCACTACTACTTTTTGCGCTACGGCGACAATTATCGGGTGGGGCTGAAGCGGAGCCGAGCCGGCAATAATGAGGTATGCTGGGTTTAAATGTTGCTTTTGATAGCAACATACCTAGACTCGCAACTCAAAATCAAACTACATTTAAACATGATTACCTTTAGCTACGTTTAAATCAAAAATTTAAACGCATCTATAAAAAGTTTAATACAATTCATTTCAGACGTTTGATCAGTGCATCCGAAGAAGCGGAAAGGACTGTGACGTCAAGCAACTCTGGCTGCAGATACCGTATTTTTGCGGTCACCACCCGTTTTGCAGGTGTGTAACGTAGTTTTGAGATAACGTACATAACAATCCGGCACATGGCAATCTTTTAAACCTTGAAAAACCCTTCATAAAACTACTGTAATTGAATAGTGCTCCTATTTCAGCGAAGTCGGCAACAAACTAGCCCTCGAAACGGCAAAACGACATCTCGTTGAGAAATATCTTCTTGTCGGGACCACCGATCGAATTCGGGACTTTATTGGGCTACTCGATGTTACATTACCTTCCTATTTTCGAGGAGCTCTCGAGCATTTTGACTCGTTGGATGGTGAGTCTCACTCTCGCTTTCGCCCTCTCTCACTCTCTCTCTCTCTCTCTCTCTCACTCTCTCCTTCTTGCTCTCTCTCTCTCTCTCTCTCTCTCTCGCTCTCTCTCTATCTCGCTCCCGCTCTCTCTCACTCTCCCTCGCTCTCTATCACTCCTTCTTGCTCTCTCTCGCTCTCGCAGTCGCTCTCTCTTTCTTTCCATCTTTCTTTTTCAGAAAATCGGGCTCATCTTCGATCTACAAAAAAGAAAATTGAACCGGCTGATGATACCGTAATCCTGATAAAGCAGACAGAAGCCTATCAGCTGGAACGGGAATTCTACGATTTTGCCAAGGAGCACTTCCAAGCGGCTTTTCTGTGAGTCATACCTTAAAAGCTTGTTCGGGTACATCAATGTGTATACTTGAAAAGGAATAGTCAAAGTTTATTAATTTCACAACCAAAAATCAAACAAAAATGATAGATGTCATATTTTAGGAAAGCGACAAACAATACGGGAAATGTCGATCAGCTACTCCGGGTGCCACAGTATCACTACGAAAAGATCAAAACTTTCCACTAGTGTTTTATGCTATTTTCTTCTCTCTCTCTCTCTCTCTCTCTCTCTCTCTCTCTCGCTCTCTCTCTCTCCCGCTCTCTCCCGCTCTTTCCCTCCCTATCTCTCTCACTTATATCTGCTCAACTCCAAATGACGCCAATTTACGGGTAGCCTCGCCATCAAAAAGTGCTTACAGAATTAAGAAAATAAACTTTATGAAAAAAGAAGATAGTTAGAGTACAAACTACACGTATCAGCACTGGGAAATTGTGATATTATGCTCGGAATAAGGGGTACAGATCAGGCAGGGGAAACACACAAACAAACGTAGAATATTAATTTAATGGGATCAATAACCATTTTTTCAAAAAAAAAACGTGAAAAGCTCAAATAAAGTCCTTGATCCCTTAAAAGCATTAAGAAGCACAGAATATAATGTTACAAAGTCTGTTCCATGCAATTCATCGGGACGAGCAGTTGCATTTCCTCATTCCCCGAAGATTCGCGAGACGATTTTTGACAGGAGAGTTGCTGGCTTCTAAGGAAGGTGAATATAAAAATGTAATATAGTTTCCAAACGCTAAAAAACTCTGCTAATTCTTGAATCTTTGCCAAACTACAAAATAAGTTTTATAATTACCTCATCGAAACCAGACGGCTTCTCCACTCGCCTTCTTCGTTCATCGAAGTGGAACGAGTGCATTTGCTGGCCTGAATTTTGGGGAATTTGCAATTAATAGGAGCTGTGAAGGCTAACTGACCGCTTTTAAAACCAATGAAATGCCCTATCTTTTATAGCCTGCCCTATCGTAGATTTTTTTCCAAAACTTCCGAAATTTTCATACCTTATTGGCTTCCACGAGTGCACACAACGCCCCACTCTTCGTTTCGGCCAACAAAATATTAAAGGCCCTCGTTAGGACATTTTCGATTTCCGTCCTTGAGTATTCACGGCTCGGGCTGTGCCTAAAGTCGGGATTTGTAAAGGTTACTCTCTCTCTCTCTCACACACTCGCTCGCCCTCTATCGGTCTATCTCTCGCTCTCACACACTCTCTCCCGCTCTCTATTTGTCTATCTATCTCTCTCACTCTGTCGCTCTCGCTCTCTCTCTCTCTCTCTCTCTCTCTCTCTCTCTCTCTCTCTCTCTCTCTCTCTCTCTCTCTCTCTCTCTCTCTCTCTCTCTCTCTCTCTCTCTCTCTCTCTCTCTCTCTCTCTCTCTCTCTTTCTCTATATATATCTTCTATGACTCACTTCAACATAAATCCAGAGATCGTCGACACCGAAATCTGCCGCATCTGTTTCCACTGCTGTGCCGTAAAATGAGAACTATTCTGAAAATGAGCCGCTCCGGCTTTTCGACACGTTTCTCTGATAGTTGAATAAGGGCTCGAGGCATCAGCGAACCTTAAAAAAACTCTGATTTTCATAGCGTAATTTATTGCTACCATTCCAAGGACGTCTGCAAAAATTCCCCAACTTTTGTGCCGTACTCTTGGATCGGCGGGCTTGTCAGGATGAGCGAGTAGTTCTGAGGGTTTGCGAGTTCGGAGAAAATAGCATTTTTTACGGCGGGCATGTCGTAACAGATCTAAAAAAATTAGCACAGGTGGTGAAGCATGTTCCTGATTTAAACTTTTGAAAAAATCAGTTTTGGCCCAAAATTCGTAATTTCTTTTCAATATGAAGAATCAAATGTTTTTTTTCTAATCATACCTGAATTTTTACCTGAACTCAAAATCTAAAAGGCATTACAAACGAAGTTATTGACTTCAAAATTTTCAATAACCTCAAAAAAAGTTTTTGGAGACACAGAAGGTTTTTAATCAATTTTTGTAGGCTGTAAGGTATCGTAAATTTGAGCAGATAGTATCGGCTACATTACACTCCAAATTACACCTCCCACCTTGGCCAGGATCTCCCTCCCAATTTGCTGCTTCCGGTTGGCGATTGTTTTCAGCGCGAATTTCGCAAAATGCTCGGTCATCGAAGTTCTTTGAATCGAGGTGAAAGAAGAGCTTTGAAGGACGGCACTTTGTTTCTAAAGAAAATACTGTAAGCTACAGTATAGCGTCATTAGTACCCTCTGGAACTTTGGAAAATTGTAGAAGAGCAGCCAGTTCGTTGCCGAGTGTACAAGAAGTAACAGGTTGCTGACGTCGGTCAGGTAGAAGCTGTTCATGTAGTGCCACGCTGCCGCTTCGTCCGAGTTCCAGCCGCTGGAAATTGGGAGTTTAAAGCGGATAGGTTTCGACAACCTATGATTAAAATGGAATGGCAACAAGGCGAGTAGTTCAGCTTCGCCTTTTGGGCCCGTTAAATCAAAAGAAAAGCGCTAGGGCACGGATTTCAAGCCGTTCAGCGCTATAACTTTTTTTAAGGGTTTAGCTTCCGTTTGAGGGATCCCACGTCGAGTTCAAACAGTTCAGGCAACTATCTCATTGCTCGGTCAAATAAGCTCCAAAAATTTCTAAGGATTCGTCAAACTCAAGCAGTTCATCCCGAGCGGTTTGGAGCTGTTCCAATAGATTTCAGTTCGATCCTCACAGAACCCTTGCTAGTCCCCCCAAAAACCACTCACGGCTTCAAGTACAGCCCAATGCCGAACAGCTCGATGAGAACGGTGTTGAACATGTACAGCGTGTTGCACAGGATGAACTTGAAGCTGAGGAGCTGAAAAATTGTAGGGATAAACCGGCAAAGGTCAACTTACAGCCAATTGGAGCTGAATGTTTCTTCTCGACTTGGCAATGAGGGTGCCACCAACATGTCTCTCGTTGCACACCCTAATCGTGCGGCCGGTCAGGAAGGCGATGGCCAGGATTGGGAGCGGGGCACGGAAGACAAAGTCGGGGATTAGGTGCAGCACTAAAAAGCATTGTAATCCGGACCGATATGAAAACATAAAAAAATGTGGGTTGCGCATGGTAGCGTTAGGCTTAAAGGGGCGTAGCGTAGTTTCCCTTTTGAACCTACACGCCGCCGTCAAGCTGCCTTCCTCCTTGATCTTCAACAGCTGGCTGTAGTGAAAAGTTTTTATCCCCTCCGGCCCGGCTTTCAGCAAGAAGCAGTCCGTTATCATCCGCTCAAACGGCACCGGGATCAAGTTCAACAGGGCCGAGACGACAACTGAAAGATTTCGATGGAATTTCTAGGTTTCTGTAGTGACTTACTGATAGTCCCGCAAATCCACTTTGATCCAAATTTGGCTTTCAGCGTTCGTTGTTCTAGCGGGTTTGTGACGGCCAGGTATCTTTCCATGGTGATGGCGAGTACTTGCCAAATTGTGGCCAGGACACAGAATGAGGCGAGAGGTTGCATTATGAGTAATGCGTAGGCCATGGGACCTAAAAGAAAATTGATTTAGCGTAGGTTGACAATTCTCAAAAAATCTTTGGTACATTGCCCCCGTTCAGCCTGCTTCAAAGAATCTCTGCTTGATTTCCGGCCTATTTTTCGGTAAATTTTGGGTTGGTGATCCTAGGTAGTCAATCCTTGAAAGGAACCATGCTTTTTCCTCCTGTCTCTTTCTGGTTATCTTGTTATCTTGTTCTCTGGTTCTCTGGCTCTCACTCACTCTCGCTCACTCTCTCTCACTCGCTCACACTCTCTCCCTGACTTTATCTCCCGATTTCTGGCTCTCTATCCTTCTCTCTTGCTCTCTACGTCTCTCTTGCTATCTCTCTCTCGCTCTCTCCCTCTCTCCCTCTCGCCACCTACCGTAATACCACATATGTCCATAGTAGTACACCGGAAAGGCATAGGTCGTCAGGCAGCACATTATCAAAACAATATCCCAAACACAGATCATCGACAGGTGAATGGATAGGCGTTTTGAAAAGGCTCGATAGAAACGGATCTAAATTTGCATAATTGTTACGACAAACCAAAAATTCTAGTTTGAAGCCGCTTTCTGACCTGCATCATCAGCAATATATTCCCCAACATCCCAAATGCCACCAAAAATAGCGAAAAACAACCGTTTATTGCAAAGCTGAAAGGTATGGATTGAAGTGTGGAGGGAAAGCGGTAGAGCGAGAGAGAGAGGGAGAGAGGGAGAGAGAAGTTTACCTGAATTGCCAATATCTCGGGAGCTGCTCCTTGAAAAGGAGATCCAGACTCGAATTCCGGATCTCATAGAACTTCTTGATGTCAAAGCACCAATCCGTGCCATTCATGTACAGGTCGAGCACGTCGACCTCGGTCTCCATTTTTCTAAAAATATAATCATATTCCGAAGGAGCAGAAGTTCAACGAGTTTAAGGTGCCCTAGAAAGCAATACAGCGGTGAAAGAGAAGTCAGAGAGACGGCGAGAGAGAGAGAGAGAGAGTCTGTGTGAGAGAGAGAAAGTGATCCAGGGTTACTAATACTTGCGGAGCAGCCAGACAACGCAACTTCAGGTTCCATTGCCTTGTTAGGGCGCACAAGCAGATGTGCACCAAATTCAACAAGTTCAAGAAATTCAGGAAATTCGCAATTTTCGATGACGGAATGAGCATAATCGTGTCTTTTATAATTCGTATTTTCAAGGTTAAATCCTTGTCTTTCCATGCTTCCCGTGACAACCCTAACAACACGAAATTTTTAATGAAATTTCCTACGAAGGGCCACGAAATGGAATAATTTGGGGGCCAAGATTTTCGGCCACCCGACCACCACCGCCACCAACAATGTTGTTGCCTAGCAGATATCCCGAGGTCTACAAACCCATTTGGCTTGTCGCGTTGAGACGCGCTAAATGGCAGCTGGAAGAAAACAAAATATTAAATAAAACAGAAACATCAGAACGGTATCGGGTTACCGTAGCAAGGGCAAGGTTTGAAGCTCAGGAATTATTGAAAATCGGAAGGGTTTCAGCTACCTTTGCCACGGTATCGAAGCGAAATTTCAATTATTAATAAGGTGGCAAATGTAGGTTTCCAAAGATGTTGCAAATTTGAGAAACCGGAAGTAGACTTCCCCTTCTAGACGAATTTTTCATCATAAAAAGCCCCTGAAAAAGTGATATGGGCTGAACTTATAAAGCGCCGGAACGCCATCTGACGTCCGGGAGAGCGAAAAACAAAAAATTGAGAAGCCGAGTTGCCGCAAAAAGGTGATATCTTTGCAGGAAAATCAGCTAGATTACGGATATTTCCAGATTTTGGCTGCCAGCCTAAGGGAGATATAAATTCCGGTATTTTCCAGGAATTCCTGGTCCAGAGGGAAATAAGCAGTAAATTCTATTTCTTGGGTTTTGTTTTGAGGATAGAGATACGATTTCCGGGTACATTTAGTATGGAAAAATTATATCTAGATGACTGGAATTAAAGGGACGTGGCAGGGCGGCAATCGACCCCTGTGGTCCACTAGGTCTCGACAGCTACGAGAGACTCCAGAACACACTTAACCCAAAAAGCCGTGTAAACCCATACGTCATTTGGCATGTCGCGTAGCTATCGGTATTCCCTTTCACTCGCCCTCTCTCTGTTTGATTTCTCTCGCTTTTGCTTTCTCTCTCCCTCTCTCCCTCTCTCTCTCTTTCTCGCACTCAGGTTAAAATTCATACGTGTCCAGTTAGGACCAAAAATGAAGCCGAAGTCAAGTAAAGATCAAACCAAACGCCTTGTTGTTGCCCAGTACGCTGCTTTATCCCAACCCACGAGGCAACCATTTGTTTTCTCGGCCCAAAAATTAATTCTCTGCGTCACCAGAGGCGCTAAAATTGGTGGAAATTTGTTTCCTAGATCACCCCGAAATAGAAAAATGGGTGGCCGAGGTGGGGGAAGGAGGGGCCGCAACAGGGGGAACACGTGCTGAATTGATAGGCTGGTAGATTGAATTTAGTCAGAAGGGGAGGAGAGAAAAGAACGGGGTTGGGTCGTATAAATTCTGGTTTGTTTGTAAAAAATAAATTTGAAGTCATAGTTCAGAATAAAGAGCGAGAACGTCAGAAAGTGGGTGAGAAAGAGACCTTGAGCCAGTGTGCGAGAGCCAGAGGGAGGTGGAGCAAGAGAGAGAGAGAGCGACAAAGAAGAACGAGGGAGCGAGAAAGCGAGAAATTAGGAGAGCGAGAGAGAGCGGCAGAAAGAGATTGGATGAGCGAGTGAGAGAAGCAGAATGCTTCCTTCAACCGATTACGCTATGAAAATAAGACATCCGGTTCATTACGGTATTAATGGCATGGTATTTCCTATCGTAACCGGTTGAAAGCTAGCATACCTAGGACTTCCAACCCTTTAAACCAACCCAAAACCGCTTCAAACATCAGATTCAATTAAGAGAAGCTGCAACCCCCGAAAGTGTGTGTTCGGCCCCTGCAGGGATTTGGTCAGCCGAAAGGAGCAAGGAAGAGAAATGGGAGGATGGGGAAGGGAACGAAAAGCACAAGCATAGCCTGGACCACACAAGAAGAGCAAGAAATCGTGAGAAATGGCCACGGAACACAGCTGTTTTTGCCTTCTGAACATTCACGCCTTGGCTCAGGGGCAGGGCAACGGAGGGGGCAGCTTGGGGAGCAACGGGTGGTTGAGATTGGCTGGTCAAGGGGAAGATTTAAAGGGACTGGGAAGTGAGCGAGATAAAGAGAGAGATAGAAAGCGAGAGAGCGAGAGCGAGAAAGTTAGCGAAAAAAGTTAGTGAGAGAGCGGGGAAAGAAAGAGAGAGAAGGAGAGAGAGAAAGAGAGTGTGAGAGAGAGAGAGAGAGCTAGATTGGCTGAAAGCCGAAATCGAAATCCGTCTACACCGTGCCTTTAAAGGCCCCAAAAACCTTCTGAGTTTCCTGAATCAACATGTGCTCAGAACGTTCTTTCGTCCAAAAATGGCCCTTAACACTAAAAACCAGAGTTTTTGCAGTAACAAAGCCAATTCCGGAAGACTCCTTTGCACTACTCTGAATATCCTCACCTCCCCTCCGTGCTCCTGATGTGACCTCAGCACACCGAAAATTGTTTTTTCCGGCTCCACCCCTTAGACCTCACTAAATTGAAGGGTGAGGAAGTAGTGCAAGTGGCGCCAGAGATTGACACTGGCCGGAAATTTTAAAATAAATTTCAGATTTCGGAAGGATTCGGGATTTAGAAATTGTAAAATCTGGTCGAGATGACGCCCGAAAAACATATGACGGGCTCGGATACCAATTTTCGGACCAAATTTTTCAAGGAAACGCGGAAGTTTACGATAAGCTGAATGAATTCTTGTTTTGCTTGTTCTGGGATCGGTGTTGAGAATTTTGAGTGCGCTAGAAATTTCCTAAGGAACTACAAAACATGTCAAAAATGGGCAAAATTTTCTTAAAAAAATGACAAAGGGAGTAAAAAAAGGATTTTCGAGCACATTTTCGTCATTTTAGACAAGCTGGGTAAGGAATTAAAGAACATATTTGCTCTAAAGGGGCTGGAAAAGCTCAGACTCTGCTCTCCGCCAACTTGGTCTAGACAGCTACACGTTGAGCCAAATCAGGTTTGAATATTCGATCTATTGGTTCTGTTGAAATAAGGTTGCACCACAATAGGCATTTACAAGTATCATTTGGCTTGCCGCGTAGTTATCGTCACCCAGCCGAACGATGGGTCGATTTGGAGCCTTCTGAATCCCTTTAAAATCGCATTAATCTAAAATGATGAAACTAGCAAGCTAAAAGTCGATGGCGCATTAGAGCAAGGTGGATTTTTAGTATTGCGGTGCTGTTTCGGGACCCTTAGCCCTAAAGTTTACAAAATCTGCTGTAGGGCACTTCCCTCAAGGCTGAATGTTACCTCGTCAGAGCCTAAAAAACACCAATCAAATTCCGGGGCCCGCCAGCTGGCCGGAGGCTTTGTTTTTTACGCGAGGGAAATGGGATTCTGTTTGGTCCAGGCAAGGGGTAGGTGGATATCCTTTTCAGGTGATGCTTGCCTGGAGTGTCGGCATGGATTTCCGAGGATTATAAGCTAAAAACAAGACCGGTTTCCATTAATTCAAAAATTCGCGTTTATGTCCGGTCAAAAATGAGCTAAACTACAGTAGAAAGCCGTTAAAAATGTCATTTTTTACATTTTGACCCTTACCAGAGATCAAGAAAACTATAGAATTCATGCCAGGCCGCCGGGCTTCCAATGCCTCAAATTTTTGAGGTCATAACCAGCTGGCGGAAGGACACAACCTTTTTTTTGTGGCAAATTTATAGCAGCAGCCTGGGATGAGAAAGGGGGTAAAATTTTAGGGGAATTCCCTGGAAGTAGTTGGGATCGGAAAAAGTGATAGAGGCAGAGAGAGAAAGCGAGAGATAGAGAGAGAGAGTGCTAGTTCCCAAATCCAAGTGCAAGCTTTCTGCACACAAACTTCATTGCAAAAACGGCATAAACGAGCGTTACGTAGCGACACCAATACAGATTTTTACCTACTATCAAGCCTAAAATAAATATTAGAAGGGTTTGTATGCTTATGACCAGCATAAGTCCGTACCACGCGCACGTCAACGGCCCCAATAAAAAGGCCAAAACCAAAATAACAACCCTTTTTATGGGAATCTACCATTTTATGGGTTTGTTTCTCTAAATTTCCTTAGAATTTCCTCAGCCTGTTTGTCTTGATGGTAAACCAATAAGGAGGGCTTCAAGGTGAGAGAGAGAAAGAGAGAGAGAGAGAGAGAGAGAGAGAGAGCGAGTGATGGGCTTCTAATTTAATGGTCTTTGAGGGAGACGGGGATTATTGGTCCGTTTTTAGGGTTCGTAAAAAGATGTGGCTCCAAATTAAAAATAGGTAAAAAGGCTAGTCAAATTCCGCTGAAATGAGTAAATGTCGTAGTCACAGGAAAATAACAGAAAAGAGAAGTAATTAGCTAGCTAAAGACCGGCAAACTTTTGCAGACGAAACCTCGGCTATTCTTCTACTCACAGGTGGAATAATTCAAAACAGATGGAAATCGATCGGAGAAATTCGTATAGGCTCGAGGCTCACGAGTTAGCAGTATCACACCATAAAAATTGGCCGTGAAGAAGAAGCTGGTGTTATTCTTGGCATGGCTTCGGTTCTTGAGAAATTGGCATAAAAAGGAGTGAATTTTGGGATACTAGGACACCAAAACACGAGGAATTGGTTGAGATTGAGAATAAGGGAGAAAGAGGGAGTGAGAAAGACCCAGAGAGAGAGAGAGAGTGAAAGAGAGAGAACGAGATTAAAATGGGTTTAAAAATGCCTTAATCTTAACTGAACAAAAACCAAATTAAACGAGGTTAAAAATTTAAGAAAATTATATTTTCAAAAACATCAATGAAATAATACGGTACGCTAATTTGCAAGCAACAAAATGCCATACACAAACGTACAGTAACGGAATCTGCTGGAGAAATCGATTTTAAACCGATTCAACAAGTCTCTGAAATCTGGTTCGTTATTTTTGGAGGTAACCTGGAAAAAATCGCATTAATGGCATAATCCAAAAAATAAAATACAACTTATAATCTTTGTATCCACATATCTCATCTAAATCACAATATGAAGCCGAAAATCTCATAGTTTGCTCACTTAGGTTTGGCAACATGACCCATGTCTCAAGTATTGAGGAGTTTGTATCTCCTCAATACCTGTCAACTCGAGAACAAGTGGCCTCTTCTTGATGTTTTTGCGGGTGGAAAAAGGGTCTCAAGAACGACGGGGGCTTCTTCCAAGATTCTGTCACGATAATATCCATCTAGGGGCAAGAAATGGAGACCGATCGGGGGACGGAGGCTGTCACAGCGTAGAAATACCTGACCTGAGCAAGATAATGTTTCGCTCCCAGTCACCACTAATCGGACCTCAAATTTTTGGGCGGTTCGAGAACGTTTCGAACAACAGGTTAAGGGAGCTGGGAAGTCAAAAAAATGGTATGTTTTACGATTGTTATATCTGGCTTTTTTGTGCCCTCTTTTTCTCTTTGGACCTCTCTCTCTCTCTCTCTCTCTCTCTCTCTCTCTCTCTCTCTCTCTCTCTCGCTCTCACTCACTCTCACTCTCTCTCACTCTCTTCATCTCTTCCATTTCTAACTTGGTCCAACAGTTATCCCACCAGCTTTAAAGGAGCGGTGAAGCCCAATTTCACCTGAAATTGGCTGGTTGGGGCATTATCAAAAAAAAACTTTGAATACGGTAACCGCGTGGCGATAAAACAATTTCTGAATGTGGCTTGATTCTCGGAAAGAGCCGGAGGATGTGTTCTTGGCCTCCGGAAATTGGCGATTAATTTGGCCTCGAGAAAAATCTGGAACACGAGTTGGACTTCCGGAGGATCCAGAACGTTTCCGGAACGTAGCCTGATGTGGAAATGTCAAGCATTCGTCGGATATGCAAAAAAAGAAGTTCAATTTCCGATTTTTGTGTATTTACGAGATTGCAGGTATGGAATTTGAGTCTTTGAAAAATCAGATGTCGCAACCGTAAACAGGTGAAAATGAAAAATTCACCGTTTTGGATAGCACGCGCTAGGTGCTTCTGCTCTTCTCTTGTTTGCCAAGAAAATCGAGTACAAAATCCAGAAATTCCGGGAAATATTCCGATCAGCTGCTTTCCACCCTCATTTCCGCAAGAAACGTAGTGCCCTGGTCTCATTATCGGGCTATTCAACGCAAAGAAGGAATAGGGAAAATTTTCGTTCTTTGAAAATATAATAAAAAGGTTGTGACAGCCAGGTGGGTACAAAAATATAAAAAAAGCTAATTAAGCATAGAAAATTATCAAATTTGACAAAACTGACGCCATAATCGAATCTTCTTCTTTTTCAAGCCGTTGCATTAAAATGTTTTTTTTTCAGCCGTAGGTCAGTCATATTTTGTAGGTATTTTTATTTTTTTATCACATATGGAATGTTCTGGCCTCCAGCTCGCCATCGATTCCTGACAATCACAAAAATTCGGGCTGCCACGCAGCTGATGAGCATGTAGATACCAAGCAATACGGTGGCCTCGGCATCAGTTGTGGAATAAGTATCCACCGTCATATTTACAGTACCTACATACAAATTTTTGATTTGAAACTACGAATCTGACCTGTTAAGACATTACACAGCAAGAAAAACCAGAGGCCAGCTCGGTTCACGTCTTCCAGCATGCACGGTTGGATTCCTTGCCACGGGTTGTTGCCTGAATGAATTATCAAAGTCGTCGAAATTTGTGTTTTAAGGAACTAGAAAGTTCCAGCATCGACTGCTGGTGATAACTAGGTCTCGACGACTACATGCAATTCCAAAATTTGCAAAAATGACAAAAAAATTGTGTTTTGCAAAAAAAGAAAAGAGACCAGAATCGACCACTGCTTTCCACTAAGTCTCGCCAACTACGCGCCAGTCCAAAAGACATGTTCAACTAATTTCTGTAGCATTTCGGAGCATGGCATCGAAGCAAAATTCGAAATTTATTTTTTCCGCGCTGGGCCTTTGAGACGTCTTTTCGAGCGGTGCGTAGTTATCAAGGTCTAGCCAATCGGAGGGGTCGACTTTCGAGCTTTACGATGGCTTTAAATGGGTTTCATGGCCTAAAAATGCTTATAAATTATCGGCTTCCCGCGCACACCTAAAACAAAGCGGTAATACAGTACCTTTCCCAAAATACGGTATCCCCGTTGCCCAGCCCAGTATGATGATGGTCTGGACCAGCAGGCAGATCCAAAGAGAGTAGGTAAGGACGGAGAGCTAAAGCTTATAATTTTAAAATTATCTTTGAGAAAATGACAATTGATACAGCTCACTTACCTGCGAAAATAGATATGCCAAATTTGCGACTCTTCGAGAAGGAGCGGCAAATACAGCAACCGCAAAGAGTTGTAAAATGTAGCAAGCACCGGCAATGAAGAATAGTTGGACGAGGCACTTGAGATTGTCGGATACTTTGTTTCTGGAAGAATAAAATGTGAGAGAGATAGAGATAGAGAGAGAGAGCGAGAGAGCGAGAGAGAGCAATAGGAAAATATTCTTACTTACCCAATCCTCATGATATGGCCTCCAATAGCACTAGCAAAATAATAAAGTGAAATATAGCCGAGAAGCGAGACGATACCCTCACGATTTGCAGAAATTAAATTATCGCGTGGCTCGTCATCGGAGAGCGCCCAATCCTGAAGATTAACTTTACGTTTGCATACCTTAATTATCATTAAATCCAAAAATCAAGTCGAGCTCTATGAAACTGTTTGTTGTTTTTGTTCATCTACCTCATTCCCTCCACTGAGCAACAACTGATGAATGCCAGCCATCACGATAGCGAGTAGTAGATGAGCACGTTGGTTGTAGATTTTGGAAAAGAGCTAAAGAGGAGAAAACCTATGAATTCCATGTCCTTGCAACTTACATGAACAACAAAAAGGGTGAAGAAGAAGTTCCAATGCACGCCGTATTCGGTGATAGAAGTACCGTAGCCGATTGCCTAAAGGGAATTACGGTATGGTTTGGGAACGAAGGGCTAGGAGCGCCGAAATCGACGCATCGACTGAGTCTTGACAGCTACCAGAAACTATGAAATTAGGCGCCTATCCACAAAACCTGAATCATTTGGCCTATTGCGTAGCTGACAAGACCCAGCCAGGCTCAAGTGTCAACTATCGTCAATCCTGCTCCCTTTGATCCCATTTTCAGAACACACTTTTAGCACCACAGTACGCCCGACACCTAGATACAGTAGCAAAGCGGAGGAGCTGGTGAGAATCGTCAAAGGAGACCTAGAATAAACAATTTTTGACCAACACGGTTTTTCTGCATACCTCTTTTTCTTGCCGTCCTCTCCGCCTTTTCGTTGCGTTTTCAAGTGATTTGATATGCCCAGAATATAGACAAAAGCGGAAACGCCAACATCCATAAGGCTGTGTCCGTAGAAGCCCGTTTTAGCGTATCTAGAAAAAAAATAGATATCTTTAGTTTCCTCATTTTCTCCGTCTCTCTTTCTCGCTCTCTCCCGCTTTATTTTTATCGTAAGATCAACCATACTGTAACGTACCGCCTCGGAAACACAGAAAAATCGACAGCAAGAATAGCGATTCCTGTGAAGATCAGCACCATACCGCTAAATAGGATAAAGCTTGCGGGGATTGATTAATTTTTCCTACCGTAAATAGGTCAGATACGTAGTTGGGTGATGTTCTTTTTCTAGAGTTGTGTTGAGGATTTCCTAAATATCAAATTAACGAGCAAAATTTCTTATTTTCTCAAAACTATGAAATTTAAGTAAACGGCATGGTAAAATCAGGCTTTAAAAATAGCTCGTTTGCATTCCCAAAAATTATAAATGCTTACCGTAATCGAGGGTCGCTCTTTAGTTGTGCAGAAAAATTTGAGTAACCTGAGGAGCAGGATAAGGGCAATAAATTCCTAAAAACAACTTAAAAACAAGCAAACGCACTCACCAAAATAATATACAAGGCAAACACGACATCTTCAGCATAATATGTCATTGTAAGGAGCACTGGGAGCACGATCACAGCAAAGTCTATTATGAATTTCAACCTGAAACTGCCCAATTTACTTTGTTTTAATTTAACTTTGATGAAGATTTAGGAAAAGCTGCCTAAACTGACCCGTATTGGAATGCATTTTGTGAGAAATTAGACCCGAGGAAAAGGTAGGGCTCTAGGAGGTTGCGGAGTAGGATGGAGAGTGGCGAGATGGCGAGCACGACGAACACCTAAAAATACGTCATTTTTCTGGTCGAAGCCTTCCTTATACTGTAGCAAAATGGCTTTTTACAAATTGGGTTCTGCCAGTTTATAAAAAACAGAAACATTTAATTTTCACTTTTTTTTTCCAAGAGGAAGAGGCCTTTTTCATCCCTTTTGGTAAATTTCGACAGTATTTTGCAAAAATATCTTTATTCAAGATTGTCCGATGACTCAAGCAAGTTCATGCTCACCTCCCACTGCTCGCACCCATCCTCCAAGCCGGCTAGCTGACGCCCGTTCATCTATCGCGCATAATTGGGCGCCGGGGAAGGCAATAGGGCAGCTGAAAAATAGATGAGACATCAATGTTGCGTCACTTGAAAATAAAAATAAATACGAAAAGAGTGCAAAATAATATCAGAGTCTGGAAAATAGGGGAAAAGTAGTGATCTGATCCTATTCGAAATTCTAAAATAAAAAGGAGTGAGAGAATGAGAGAGAACGGGAAAGTAAAAAAATAGGCAGGACACTGTGTTGAATTATTTTATAAAATGTTAGAGTTAGAAAACTTTTTAGAAGCAAGGTTTCGCGTCAAAACAGCCCCAACCTAATAATTATTTATGAAAAGCAATGAATTTCTTATCAGGGGGAAGCGACTAGCCCGAACATTCGGTCGCTGACCCCCCCTCCAAGGGCCAGCTGCCTGCCCCTACATTGATTAATTTCGGGCCAGAAAACTAGGTAAACAGCACAATAGCACAACAAAAACAAAGATCAAGGCGATAAGAATTTTAGAATTTTTTGAAAACCCGATAAAAAATAGAGTTGAAGCCCAATTTTGGCATATTTTTCGCCATTTATGCAAGAATATAGAGCCAAAAAATTCGTACCTATCGACAATAGCACCAGCAATTTTCGCAGGCCTTGAAAAGTACAAAATTGGGCCGGCTAATCCGCCTGGGAATCCAGACTTGGCAAAGGTAGCTGGGGTGGAAAATTTAATCCGCAAAAAAGAGAGGTCTCCGAGTAAATAAACAAAACAGACGAAATGTATGACTTTCAAAGATCGTTTGTTTAGAAAACTTCAGTACAACTTTGCTTCTCTCTGTCTCTCTTTATCTCACGCCGTCTCTCTCGCTCCCACACTCTCGCGCGCTGTCGCTCACTGGCTTTCGCTCTCTCTTCTCTCTCGCTTTCTCTTTCTCTATCTCTCACGCTCTCTCTCTCTCTCTCTCTCTCTCTCTCTCTTTCTCTCTGACTCAATATCTCTCTCTATCTCGCGCGCGCCCTCTATCTATCCCGCTCAATCTCGCTCAATCTCACTTGCACTCTCTCGCTCACTCTCTCTCTCTTTCTCTAACTCTCTCTCCAAGAATTAAACATAAAAAAGAAATCATAAAACATATGCAAAATTAGCGATCAGATAAAAAATTCCGCGGCACGCCACTTGCCGTTATCACCGCAGCAGTACCAGGGCTGGCTTGTTTTGTTTATGCGGTTGTCTCTGCATGTCTGTGTGTGCGTGAATTTGTGTATGTAAGTGAGTCGAGTGCCGGGGGTAAGGAGTAAATGAACGGAAATCGGATTATGGCCCTGGGGGGCCAGGCAACACACAGCGCCAGCTAGCCGAGATTCTTTCCCACGAGGAGCTGGGCTAGCTCCGGCTAATATTTGGATTGTATCCATTCTAGATTTCAATGGGCGGATGGGGCATCGTGGTGGGCGTTTTTAGGTTACGAAAATTGTTCATCATAGAGTTCTATTAAACTAATGGTACTGGCATGTTAGCGGGGGGTTAGAGGGAAGCCTATTTGTGTTTTGGGCTATTTTATCTGTTATTAATATACTGTATTTCTAAGGTGTTTTTAGTAGTCTTTAATTTTAAGGAAATAACCAAATATAGTTGAAAATATTTTAACATGAAATAACACATTTAAAATTTTCGACCATTTTGGCCATTTCCGATGAATTTTTTAATAAAAACTTAACACTGTTCATCAATTTTTGTAAGTTCTATGCGCTTTTTATATTTTAAAATCTCGAAAACAGAATGTTATATTCTATTCAATATTTTAAGGTCAGACATTCGAAAAACAAAAAAAATTATTTTGAAACGGCCGAGGCGGCCGGCCTCAAAATGTGTGCATTTGCGCGTATACTCGGGCATAAGTGGGTCTTTTTGGTCTTTTTTGGCAACCGATTCGAAAAGACGGAAAAGACATAAGGGTCCATGGCGACCGGATTATTTTCCACCACATTTGCGAGGAAAAGGAGGCGACTGGTGGGCGGAAAACATTTCACCTGTTGATGTTTACTACTTTCTGGGAATTCCGAAATCTCCCATTTTTCTACGGACATCCGCATTGTATTGCTAAGTAACTTAAAATTAAAAAACGACGTTTTCAAATTGATTTCAATTACAAAGAACCAAAAAAAGACGCGAAACAGCTCGTCGAAAACTCTTCCAAAAATGTGTGAACATAATCGCGGTCGGGCATATTTTTGGACGCCTGGCACTGGCACTATTCAAGTTGATTTTCGCTTGACTCATGCCGGTCAATTTTACAGCAATTGACCGGGGTAAGGAGCAGCGGACGGGGGTCGAACCCGGGCCTTTCGTTTGGTAGGCGAGCGCGCTAACCACTAGACCAAGGGGCTCGCAGGGGGAGGGATAGAGAAGGGCCTACACCGGCACGCCTGGCCAGTCTACGAGTGTGTATTAATTGAAATATACTGTATTTTATGCTATTAAAATTTCGCTTCACGTTGTTGCATTTTACTTTTATCGCTATGCAAGTAAACCAGGTTTCCACAAGTTTAAGGAAGCGTTTGGAATCTCAACCAAGAAATTTTAGCGATTTCGTGGATTAGAGGAGAAAGAGCCAGAGAGAGACAGCGAGAGCGAGAGAGAAGAAGCGAGAGGCTATGTAAAATACACAATTTTTACGTGCAAATCGCCGTCCTTCGTTGTAAAAAATATTTTCGAAGCCGGAGCCGGTGCGGAGCCCGAGATGTGTGTATGACCAATCCACCGCCCGGCCCTGTGCATTATTTGGTGATGCGTCAGACAGAGGGCCGGAAAAGGATCGGAAAGGCCCGGATGGTATGATTCGACTGTTTGAGGGCTGGATGCATGCGGGGGGGCGGTAGTGCTCCGGAAAGAAGGCTATTGTATGGTATTTGGATTTGGATGGAAATGTGGGGTCAGGCTGAACGAGCTGAAGTGCCGATTATCCACAGTCATATACACCCCCAGGATAGGGGGATCATATTTGGCAGTGGATAGGGGGTTATTTGGACAGCTTTTGAAAATCGAATATGGCTCTGAATACTGCAAAAGGGGACTTGGATACGGAGTGGAAACGAGAAAGAGAGAGAGAGAGAGAGAGAGAGAGAGAGAGAGAGGGAGGGAGGGAGCGAGAGAGTGAAAGAGAAAAAGTGACAATGACAATTACTTTTGTTTCTAATTTTAAAAAGATGGGATAGTTATAATATTTGGAAAACATGGAGCAATGCAGTTTTGCCCATTCTGCATAGCACATAACTTTCCACCAAGCAGAAAATGAAAACAACTTTTTCGAAAAACGCTCTATCTCGTTCCCGTTGCCGTTCTCTCTCATTCTCTCGCTCGCTCTCTCACTCTCTCTCCCTCTCTCTCTCGCTCTTTGCCTATCCTGTAGCGTTTTTGCATACCATTTCCATTTTTTCCGGCAAGGCAGCGATAATATTATTGTTCGTACACGTGGAGCGTTGGCTATGATGTATAATTATCAGGCCAGAAATCAAAATGGCATGACCTTGGCCAAAAAGTGGTGGTCTTCACGCTTTTCCGTTTGTATAGGGCCAAGGCTTATCATTTGGCAAACAGCTAGCTAACGACGGTTTTATTGCCTATATTATAGTCGCTTCAGGAGAGAGAGAAAGCGAAGGTGAGACAGAGAGAGAGACAGAGAGATACAAAGACAGCGAGGAAATCCATGTTCGATAGCCATTTGTTACGCGTGAAAAATAGCTACAGGTTTGAACCCTTGCAAAAAACTAAAATTGCTACTTCTGGGACTTGGCTGAGCTGGCTGGGCTGATGCTTGGAAAAAGCCGCGTTTTCTCTGGGGGTCCAATTGTGCGTAATTTGACGCGGATGCCCCAATTTTCGCGGGGGGTGTCACGGTGCAATAGGATGGCCAAATTGGGGGGCTTTTCGGGGTTTTTCCTGCAGATGAATTGTACTCCTCGGCTTTTAGCATAATTTCGAGCATGCGATACTCTGAAAAAAAGTCATTAAAGGTTCCGTGAAGCGACAGCTGGCGCTTTAAATAGCACAAAAAGAGTCACGAAAAAGTCTTAAGGCGCTCAGGATACCGAAAAATAGTGTATATAGCATATAAAACTAAAAAACGATGCCTGGAATGTCTTAAAAGCGGAAGATACCATCCCATAAAACAGCCCTTAAAACTTTTGGAAAAACACGACCAAAAAAGAAGGACGAGGCAAAGTTTGACGCATCGGATACGCTACTTTACGTTGAAAGACAATCAACTACGTGCAACAGCCAATCACAATCCGAAGATCAGAAACATTGGTCTCGCGGTTAGACACAACCCTTTCATCTTGTGCTTTTTATAAGACGACCCTTGAGTCATCAAAACGAAACTGATAGCACCGTCTCGTCTGTCTGAATGTTTATTCTGTAAGTAGTGATAATTCGGAGGTGAAGTTCGAGTTTATCTGATTTTTGACAAGTGTGTGAGTACTCTGAGCGAGCCACTCTTTGATCTTGCTTATAAATTCCAAAAAATAGATATTTTTTCAAAAGCTGCAGGTTATACAATTTATACAGGCTGTTTCATACCCTCTTTACAAGTATAGTTTAAGCAATGGATCCTTTGGGTGGTGTATGATATTCGACGGTTCCTTGCTTGGCCACCTTGGCTCCGTTTAGATGCAGGAAATAGTTGCGGCACCTGAAAATACGCAAATTAAAGAGCGACAGAGACAGAGAGAGAGAGAGAGAGAGAGAGAGAGAGACAGAGAATTGCGGTAAGCAAACCCACTTGTAGACAATGTAGAAGCTGACCAAGTAGCAAATGAGGAACCAAGTATCCAGCAACGCCCGCATGATGGCAACTGAGCGGCGATGCTCTAAAAAAATCAGGTTTGACCGAAAAGTAGCTTTTAGCTTACGGTAATCGTCCCCATCTTCGTGCTGCTCCAGCAATTCGGTGCTAAAAATTGCGCCTTCAAAAAATTTAATTCTCAATTACCGTATCCTCTGCCCGAATCCGATTTCGGTATTTACATCAATAGCCGCCCAGATGTAACGAACAATGAGTGTGAGTTGAATGACGATGAAGAGCAGCTGAAAATAGGATGGTGTCGTAGCTTTTTAAGGGACTTTTGGCTAGATAGCTGCAGTTACTAACGGATTCTGAGAGTTGATTCCTCAACAGCCCCCCGGCGTTTGACGCCCCAAAAATCTTTGCTAGCTTGCGCATCTTGATAAAAAATGTGATTTTTCAAGTTCCGAAAGCATCCCTGCTAGTTTGCCGGGGTTCATAATTTAGAAAAATTACCGTAAGAAACAGGAAGACAAAGAGTGGTCTCTCTTTTTCAGCTCGAAGCCCGATGAAGAGTATGAGGCCAGCGATCAGTTGCATGGGGAGTAGGATGACCTAAAAGTTTAAATGACTATAAATAAGCCTAAGCCTAAGCATAATCTCTCAAAAAAAAACTCACCGCCAACGACCAATAGTTCCCATTCACCAGCGAGATCAAGTAGATGGCCGCCATCTTGAGGCAGATTAGCAATACGAGGAAGCAGGCTGGCTAAAGGCATGCGAAAGATACAGAATTTTCAAACAACCCTACCTTACTATGGACCATATTGCAAAATACACGATATTTCGGGTTCTGATAGTCGAAGGCCAGCTCCGGGCGCTCCACTTGCCATAATTGGACCATTTTTTTTTTTCTGGAAAATGGATATGGACAATTGAAACAATAGGTTTTGAGCCCAATGAAACTTGTAGAATTTCTTTCGATCAATTCAAACTTTAATTCAGTACTTTTTATGCTGTTTTATTGACGGGTTTGAATCTAAAAATACACCATCGAAACACTAACAATAAGAAAGGATAAAGACTCAAAAATAATAATTATATTTCACCTCCAATCATTTACAAACTTTGTAAAGTGTACTTCCTTTTATAAAACACCCAAAAGCATCCAAAACAACAGTACAATTTAGCTAGAAATTCTTAAGAGAGCGTGAAGGAAAATATATTCCTGTAAATGGAACGGAAAGCCAAATTCAAGCAGTTCAGCAAGTCCCTAGCTTCCGACCGAACCTTGAAGGGCTACTTCTGATAAAAATTTAATAAATAAAAGTCCAATAGGGGAAAATTCTGATAATACCGTTTCCTGACAAACGCTGCAACTGAACTACCCTTAAAACGGATCAACAAATTTCGGTGATAGTCGACAAAACAGAAAAACATGTGGTTGTGGCTGGGGTACGAGACGACCTTGAAGGAGAAATTGGCTCCACCCCGCCGTCACCCGCATTTTCCATGGATTTCTGGTCCGGCGGGGAGGGCGTAATTTGGATTGATGTGTACTTTAGTGAAAATAGTTGGGAATTTGGGAGAACACGTCATATCAGCTAGACGGTTGCACGGATAAACAGCTAGGATCCGGATTGGATATCGACAAAAGGAGCATAACACCTAAAGGGGCTGGGAAGTGGATTTCGGTAGACTAAAATACATGGCGCGTATCTATGACCCTTGCGTTAATGACGTTCTACATTAATGGTAGGGACTTAACTTTCAGTCAGCCTGTTGGCGACTCGAGTTTGTAACTCTGCCGTCTCCAGTCTCTGTTCGTATCCCTTTAAGAAGGTGGTCGGGCTTAGGCTTAGCCGTAGCTTGAGCTTGACCTACTCCTAGGCTTGACCTTGGGCTTCTGCTAGCTTCGCTTGAGCAGATACGTGAATTACGACTTGGATCAGCTCCTACCTTTTCCATACGTCGTTCCTGTGGATTTTTGTCTTACAAGCCCCTTTGAAATCATTTCTATACCGAATTTTTGGTCAGGAACTTTCTGAATCGTACTTAAAATTTTCGGCAAAATTACTTAAGAAAGCTGCGATCTGCATCACCTCATTTAAATTTTTATTTCGACCATCCGAGCTTTTCCGGCAAACTTGGGCCTTCTCGTTCCCTTTAAAGTACACTTCCTATGTAAGTTTGTCAAGAAAGCGCGCCGCCGAGTGTAAATAGTAAATAGTACTACGCACACCTCTGAACACTGGAACACTGATACCGTGAAGTCTAAAGTTTGTCTCCGTCCGTCTTGCTGTGCTTCTTCAACAGGTTCGAAGTGATTCGACGTGCAAATAGGACCCGAAAGGCGAGGGCTGAAACAATGGTCGTGACACACAAAAGTTGTTTCCTTTTAGGCTCTATTGAGACGACGCGCGACCTCCAGAGTATTTTTTTTGCAAAATAGGCTTATTTTCAGGTTTTCAGCAGTTTGAAAGGGTCGCAGTGACTCAGAATGTTCCTATAACATCGAAAATCACGTCTTTTTTTTGATAGATTTCGAGGCTAGCTCTCAGTAAGGCTTTTTAATTTTCCGTTTTTACATTTCTAAGAACATCGCCAACTTTTCTAAAGTGAAAAGCCTACCGCGAACATGTTATGTACATATTTACGCGTTCCCACGTTTTTCACGCTTTTCACTTTTTGTCGCGGGCCTGGTTGATGCGTGAAGTGGTGGCCTCGGGACCCTTGGACCCTTGACAGGCGTGTTCGCAGTATTCCTACGTATTTTGCCGTCCCAGTTTTTGCCTTACCACTTACTGGCCCCTTTACCACCTCGTGTTTCAGTTTTTTTGAGAAGTTCTGTAACAACCTACTGAAATAATTAGTCTAAATCACATAGGACCGTCACTTTCGTAAGCTCAACAGAGCCTGAAATCAATAATTATTTCTCTAGCCATTTAAAAGCTTAAAAAGCACCTTAGAACTGGATGGTTCTTACTGACGTGACGCGTAGCGTACGCGTGGCGTTGGCTAGAGGCGCGTCAAGTACGCAGTTTTTTTTGCCTCAACGGTTGCGCGAAGCCATTTTTTACATTTTTTAAACGTTAACTTATGTTGTTTTAGAATTTTTAGCTCTCTATCATACCAAAAAAAGCTATTGACCTATGGCAGCAAAGATTTAATCCCCAAAATGGACTTTCCCCATGAACCTTTAGAACCAATTGGTACTCGATGTCGCGTCTCGCCAGCCATTTTGATGGGTCTGCGTGTGGTTGTGTTTTCTGTCAGTTTATAGCCCCCTATGGCTTCGTTTATGTCGGCCTCGCTCTATGCGACGTTGGCTCAATTGGGCCAGGCAGCCGAGTGGGGAGACATTTTTGTTTATTTCGCCCCTTCCGGGGCTCTCGGGCAGGGCTGGCGGCACGATTTTTTTCGCTTGGCTCGTCGTTGCTTTTCGTCGACACTTTGGGATCAAATTTTCGGGTCGATTTTTGGGGTCAACTTCCGTTAAAGGGGTTGGGAAGGTTCAGTCTCCACCTCTACTTGGTTTCGACAGCTACGTTTAACGCCAATTCACATATTGTCGCCTTTTCAGTCGTCCTTTTTCTCGCTCGGGCGATTTAAGGAAAGGGCGGGGGGCAAGAGGGACCCAGCGAGAGCGAGCGAGAGAGAAGAGAGAGAGAGAAGAGAGAGAGAAAGCGAAAGAGAAAGCGAGAGCGAGAGAGATAGGCAGAGCGAGAGTGAGAGAGAGAGCGCGAGAGAGTGAGAGAGGAGGAGGAGAGAGCGAGGGAGAGAGGGAGAGAGAGAGAGAGAGAGAGAGAGAGAGAGAGAGAGAAAGCTAAAGAGAAAGCGAGAGCGAGAGAGATAGGCAGAGCGAGAGCGAGAGAGAGAGCGCGAGAGAGTGAGAGAGGAGGAGGAGAGAGCGAGGGGGAGAGGGAGAGGAGAGAGAGAGAGAGAGAGGAAAGCGAAAGAGAACCGAGGCGGCGATAGAGAGGAGAGAGAGAGAGAAAGCAAAGAGAGGGAGCGAGGGAGAGAGGGAGGGGGAGAGGGGAGGAGAGGCAGAAAGAGAACGCGAGAGCGAGCGAGAGAGAGAGAGAGAGAGAAAGCAAGAGAAAGCGAGAGCGAGAGAGATAGGCAGAGCGAGAGGAGAGAGAGAGCGCAGAGAGGTGAGAGAGGAGGAGGAGGGCGAGGGGGAGGGAGGAGAGGAGGAGGGGGGGGGAGAGAGAGAAAGCGAAAGGACGCGAGCAGGTGGCCGGGGGCGCGGAGGAGGAGGAAGAGGAGGGGAGAGGAGAGCTCGCACGTCTACCTAATTATAATTGGTACTGTATTGACAACCATTGGTGCTGTCACACCCCTTTAAAGGGCTCCGACTAAAATTGTTAGTTTAAACTGCCAAAGGTAACGACGTCATCCCTCTAAACGCCGCATTTTAAACGCTTTTTAAAGTCCCTTTAGAGAAGGAAAAATGTGGCGGAGTGCTTGTGGCGATCGCCTTACTAGGCTTGTTAGGATTGTTGCACCTCGGAAAAACGGTGAAAATCTTTGCTTTGGTATCCCTTGAAAATTAAGGTTATCTTACACCCTGGAAATCTATCCCCAGGAATGCAACACCTTCCAAAAAGTTCCCGAACCTTCGTGTCTCGTCTCGCGTCTTCACGTTTCACGTAACATTCCGACGACCCCCGTTCGTTCGCTCTGGTTGTTCTATGGGTGGTCTGTCCCTGGGAACAGTATTGGGTGACCGATGACTCCTTCCTTCTTCTTCTCGGCTTTTCCCTGGAATGGTGTGGGCCCTCTGACCGGATCTTTCCCCCCTCATAGCTAGCTGTCCCCTTAACGGACCCGTCAACCACCACAAACATCCGTATCCCCTAACACACACACGCACACCAACCCACTCACTCACCTCACTTATTCCGCTTCACAGCCCCTCATCAGCAGCAACATCAGCTGTATCATTTCCGGGTCCGGTTTTTGGGCAAATGTTCTGGATTTTTTCTTGGATTATCCGGGCGTCAATCTATGGTTTTAATGGAAGGATAGCTGCCAAAATCAACCACTTCGATTAACTAGGTATTGCGCATTAACTAGGCAAAATTTTTTTTTTTTAATTTTTAAAAAATTTATTTTTTTTAAAAAAAAAAATTTATTTTTTTTTTTTTTTTTTAAAGGTTTTTAATTTAAAAAAAATTTTTTATATGGTTTAGTTTTTTTTTTTTTTAAATTTTTAAAATTTTTTAAATTTTTAAATTTTTATTTTTTTTTTTATTTATGTATATAAGGAAAAAAGAAAAAGGAGCATATTTTTTTTTACTCTCTCTCGCTTTCTGCGGTCTCTCGCGCTCTCTCTCTTCCTTCTGTCCCTCTCACTCTCACTCCTCTCTCTTCTCGCTCTCCCCCCCCTCCCCCCCCCCCCCCCCCCCCCCCCCCCCCCCCCCTCCCCCCCCCCCTTCTCTCTCTCTCGACCTTTCAGAATATTTTCTGACAAAGACCACAAAAAAAAATTCAAAATTTCCTAGACACTCGAATTTTGGTCCTAACCCCAAGAATTTTCGGCCTAAACCCGAAATTCCTCGAGGCTTTTTTGGGAGCCGGTTTTTGCGGGTTCCTTGGTTTGCGATGCCTCCGCTCCTTCGAGGCACCTGTTGTGTGTTTCGGGTAACAAATCCCGGAAAATGTTTGTCCTTTCCAGCTGTTCGCCCCTGAACTGCTACTTTTGACAACTCGTTTATGGGTTGCTAACTCTTGCTAGGGTTGCGAAGTCACGTTTTAACTGTTACTTAGGGCATCGGGTGCGTGCATGGGTGGGATATCATTAGGTCAAATGGAATTTGAAGCGATTTCCACTACCTTTTAGGGCCGATGATTATAGTTTTTCCACTCTAAATATATAAAATCGGATAAGCGGCTTATCGT